TTGCACTACTACATTTCCTTACATACTCGTTTCATCAGCAGATCAACCGACTTGAGTTTACGTGCGTGGAAGCTCATTTGCAATGATTGACGTTTTGGATGCCACATTAATTACTCTAAGTAAGTGATACAATATCGGGATGAATCTAGAATATTCATTTACACTCAAAATTTGATTACATTTTTATTTGAACATGTATAGATTGAAGCTAAAAGATCCCACACAACATATATTTTATCTGGTATAGCATAAATTTGTAAAATAATTATTTAATGCAAACACAATTTTTTTAAATGTCATTATAAATGCTGGTACATTAATATTTCACCTAAAATTGCATAAATGTCGTTGGAGTTATGAAATTGGGCACGAGTTCGTAACTTTTTTTATGTTGGGGGTGTCATTCGCAATGCATTAATTTGAAATAAATTTGTTCCTCAAGCCTCATAACGGTAAACTATAATTGTTTTTCCTTGTTAATTAATGCTGCAACGGTCCAACGAATCTTAATGTGTTGGAGAAATCTCAGCCGTTAGATTAGATACCCGACAACAGATGCGGCCCTGATCTGTTGCCACCGAAAAACACGCATCGATGCTCATAAACCCTAAATTTTGAGCTGTCAATCCAATGATTACCCATTTTGTTTTATTTCTAAAGAAAATAATTCAATTTTATTATTTTTAAAATTAAAATGTTAATTTTCAAATTAATATGCTTCGAACTTATAATTAAAAACTTAACCCAAAATTAGCCAAATACATATATCACTACAATATCGATTTTAAAAAATAAAAAATAAGAAAACTCATCAACTGTGTGTATATATACACACACGAGATTAGCCATTAGCTAAATTTCAGTAGCTTCCACTGTTTGCTTTCTCTCTCTCTCACTCTCTCTCTCTCTCTACACATTCTCCTTTCCATATTTCCACAAAGAAGAAAAACACTCGAAAAATTCAGCAATGGCGGCCAAGTATTCCGGAGCTATGCTGGTACTGATCTTCGCATTGGTGGCTGGATCTGTTGTATCTCAGGCTCCATCCGCCTCGCCAAAGACTGCTCCCACAGCGGCACCAGTGGCGGCGCCGCCCACGCCGGTGGCAGCAGCACCAGTTCCAGCACCATCAGCCACCGTTACGCCGCCCGCATCAGCTCCGCCGTCCGATTCCCCCGCCTCTTCTCCCCCTGCTCCTCCCACTTCCCCTGCCGGAGCACCCGGTCCCGCTACTCCTCCGTCGTCCATCGCCACTCCCCCTGGTGCTTCTGCTCCACCACCAAGCGCAGCTGCCGGTTTGAACGGAATCGCCGCCGCCGCCGGATCTGCAGTAGTGGTGGTTTTGTCTGCTGCTTTGTTGCTCTAGATCTCGAGTTAGGAAGATTGCTCTGTTAATTTTCTATGCCACTGTTCGCTTATTTATTTTCTAGGTTTAAATTTGATTATTTATTTTTTGGGTTTTTTATTTGATTTGTGATGTAATATGATTTGATTATTTACGGATTCTTTCATCTCTGAACTTGATCTCTCTGCTTTCTTACGTAGTATTTCGGATAATTAATCTCATATTAGTTTAAATTATTATATCAAATTATCAATACTCTCTGATTTATTGTGTTTTTTAAAATGAATTAACCGACATTCAATTAATTGTAATATTTCTTTTATATTAAACGTAATTAGTAAATAATAGAAAAGAAATATTAACAGCTTTAGCATATTCACCTTTTTTCAAATATTGTAAGATTTAAATTAATTTTACAAAGTAATTTATATGACTAAGTTTTTATAAATTCATAATAGGAGCTAGTAATATATTCGGTTCATATAATTAAATAACATAACTCAATAAACTAGAATTTAACATGCAAATCTTATGAATTTAGTAGATGATTACTAAAATGAAAATTAATAATTTTAATTATGCAAACTAGGTTATTATTATTATTAAATCTAAAACTCTACTAATCGATTAATTAATTAGCCAGTAAGACAATTAATCTAGTCGTTATAAGTTACAACCCAATAATGCCCAACTCTTACATAATTTTTTTTGTCTTTCTTAATAATATTTTAGACGATTGGGGGCAAATATAGTGAAAAGAATGCGAAATCTGTTTATAATTAAAATTAGAATTATTGAAATAATAATTAGAATAATAAAAAGGAATAAAAGGAATGGAAGACAGCTGTAAAATGAGGGGTATCAAAAATCACGTGGGCTAACAGCTGTGGAACCATATCCTTTAACAATACCCATGTGCTCTCCTTTCAATTTGCTACACCTCCACCCTTCACAATAATGTTTGTTGCCTCCTATTTTACATTTTCTTTAAACTTATATATATTTTTATTTTTAGCAAGTTTATAAGCTGTTCAAAAGAGCTTATAAGTTGATAGTTAATTTTTTTTGGAAGATCTTAAAATTTTCAAAAAATAAAATGTAGGAGAGAAAATTAATTTTATTTTTTTAAATATATTTAGACCACTTTTTTTATTTAAAATCTTATAATAATTAGTAAAAATAGTTTATAAGTTCATCATCCAAATACTTTAGAGATTCATTTAGAAAGTAAGACGTAACAACTTATCAACCATTAAAATAACTTATCAGACATACAGATTTATCAGTTGTTAAAAATAAGCCAAACAGGCCCTTGGTAATCAGGCCCCAAAACAAAATTTATTCATCATTATAGTAATTGGGCTAGTTTAGACAAGGCCCGAATTCTAAACTTGAACAATTCAACAGCATAGATGATTCTCAAATGCCCAACACCTTTCGGGCCTAACATGGGCTTGGATCAGAGCCTTGGGTCTCTTTTAACCTTATAGTAACTAATTATAAATTTATAAAGACAATTTATTTATCTTATCTTATCTTATATATAAAAGAAAGAAACGCTGGACAACCGTAAGAAACTCTAATCGCATTTCTGTAATTATTTATTTCTAATATTTTTTCTGTGCTAATTTTCTACCTATATTTTCAATAAATCAAAATTGACATTGACCCTGAAGAATTCTTCTAGCTTCAATCTTTTAATTTTTTATTAATATATCTCAAAAGTCAAATTTTAAGAGTTAAAGATTGTTTGGATTATAAATTTTACTACGTAAAAAAAAACTAATGTTATATAAAATATGAATAGTACTATTTTCTTAAATTTAATATAAAAATTAATGTTATATAAAATATGAATAGTACTATTTTCTTAAATTTTACTATATTAGTGTATTATATATTTTTTTTATGTATTAAATTGATCATTTTTTATTACTATTAAAATGCTAGTTTATATATAAAGAGAAAAAGTAATGTAAAACATAAGACACAACATATTAATCGAAAATAATAAAGGAAATTACAAGGAGATTAATTAATTAATTACCGATAGGAAGAAATTAAAAGAGGAAAATAAGGAACACAAATCTCAGAAAATGGAAATTAAAAATAGCAGAGGAAATATAATGGAAGCACTGCCTCTATCCTGGCTACATAAATCTACACTACAAAATACTTCACCATCACGAAGAAAAAGCTCAGATACGCCGCCACAGCCGGAGATAACGCCGCCGCCGCCGAAGATGGCTCTATATGAGTGCCTTCAGCTGGAGTTGCGACGCCGGTAGGGGGTACCGGAGAAGTGGTGCCGGGGATGGTGGTGCTGGACGGCGGAGATGTGGTGGTGGTGCCGGATAGTGAACCGCCACCGGTGCTGCTCGCTGCTACGGTGACGGCTAGCTTCATTCCGCCGCCGCAATGGCCAGGAACACCGCAGATGAAGTAATGAGGGCCGGCGGCCTTGAGCGCGACGGTGGTGGCGCCGCTGCTGTCCGTGGCTATGGCGTTGCCGGTGGTGCACGACTTGTAGTCGTTTGCGCTCACTTCATCCACAGTGTGGCCCGGAGCGTAGTTGAACACTGCACGAAAATTACATTTTTACCCCCATACAAAATCAATATTTACATTCCGTACCATAATATTTTTTTTTTTTATATTTGTGTTGAACTGGTCAAAATTGTAAAGTAATTTTTGGATTCCACCGATTTCAAGCGTACCAATTTTTTTTAATTCTGAATTTCGTCGAACATTTAAATTTTCGGTTTTTTTTTTCGAATATTTCGGGACATAATTGAAATATATAGTAAACTTTTAATTTAAAAAAGTTGAAGTAATATATATTAATAAAATAAAGAGAGGAAAACTAAAGTTACCGAGGGTGTCACCGACGGCAAAAGTTTTGTCAGAAGTCCAGGTGGTGTAGTCAGCTCCAATTGACCAACCAGAAGCTTCGCCCACTGTGTAAGAAGCTGCTGGAACTCCTGGAATTTTGCAACAAATTATCACCAACACAACCATTAAGCAAGCAATTCCGTCGCTAATTTTCGCCATCTTCCTTAATTACTTCTTAATTATTATAAGGCAATAATTTATAAGTGCCTTAATTCTCTCTCTCTCTCTCTCTCTCTCTCTCTCTCTCTCTCTCTCTCTCTCTCTCTCTTGGCTGGGTTGGGAAATAGAGAAATATGGTAGATGATGATATTGGAAATGCATGCAATATTTTCTTTTATAGTGCAAAAGGATGAGAGAGAATTTGGAGAGAGAAAAAGGAGATGATGATGATATTGGAGTTGCTCACTAAATTATACCTATGATTGATTACTATTATAATTTTCTTTAATTATGAGAAAACTCGTATTTTTTTTAATCGAAAATGTTTGATTATTATTGCATGGTTGTAAAGGGGTTGTAGCTAGAAAGAAAACGATTGTTTGTTTGTTTTTATTAGCACCACACTTATTTTTCTTTTGCACTAATTAAATGGAAAATTATTTGAAGAATGTATTCTAGGAGAAGAGAAAAAAAGTTTCATGAAAAATTATTTGAAGAATGTATTCTAGGAGAAGGGAAAAAAATTGAAACTTTTTTTTTTTTTGATAAATTAGAAGAAGAAAAAATTTGGGACTTTTATTGTATATTTTGAATTTTTTTTTAGTACCATAATGGAGTCGAACTCATGACCTCATCTAATAACTTGGAGATCTTTGCCACTTAAAGGCAATTTTATTTTCATTATTTGGGGTGATCCATGGCATACTTGCCCACCCCCTAGCTTCGCCCCTGACGACCTATGTCGAATATTTTTAAGAAAATATATCATATTTCATGAAATGCAAAATGTAAACTAAACTAAAAAATATGGAATAAAAATACTATCTTTGAAAATTTAATTTTATAGAATCATTGAGAATCACACAATGAAGTCATTTAAGTCTTATGATAAAAAGAATTACTTACTTAATTTATACTCAATACCTAAAACAACAATAGGAAAATGACAACTCAATTTCTTGGGGTGGTTGAAATATCCAAATACAAATACTTCGGATTTTCCTTTTGTTGTTCTTCCTAGAATTACCGAAAGGGATGTCTAATTTATTACATAGATAAAAAGATCTACTACACACTATAAGAGTGTATTGTCATTTGTTAAGGTGATTTTTTAGTTGATTCGATTCAAAGTTAATTATTTATATGCTACACCCGATAAGACTACACCAGATGGATTTTTACCATTTATTTACACACTAATGTAGGTGTATGTGTGTTTGTGTGCTTGTAAATAATAAATTGTTTTTTTTTTTACTTTATAAAAGAACAAAGGAGCTATATATGGCTTGATAACACTTTAATCTTTTTATTATTTTTTTTATTGTTTTGATAAACATACTTTAAATTTTTTTTTTAAATGGTAAAAAATTATTTATTTTCCCCATGTTATCAAGCAGGTAGAGAAGTTGGGCTAACATGAAAGAGTTTGTGTAGTAGGTGAAAAGGAGCTTTTCTTTTTTCTTCCAAATTAATAATTGAGAATTCACAAACATCATAATTAGATAGAGAGAAAGCTATAAATTAAATAAATGTATAAACATATATATAATTGTTAGGGATAATTGAAATAAAGATGAGATAAAATTCTTGGTGGATAATTGATGTAAAGAGAGAGAGAGTTGGTGATGGTTCAACTTTTTGGGGGTTGGTTAGGGTCCATGTGATTGGACCAACATCTCCTTTAAGATAAATAATTTATACTAATTAATTAATTCTTTTTGGTTTATGAAAATATTGGTTGTTATTCATTAATATTATATTTTCAATGTCAGTCATTATTATTTTTAGTTATGCCAAGGTATGAAAGACTGGTTTAACGTAATTTAACAGCATTTAAAAAACATGTGTACGTGCATTAAAAATCAATATTTGCATGATCAAGATATTGAAAAGTTGGCTGAATTTAGTTGAAATGATTACGACGTTATATCTAACTATTTATGAGTTATTCATACGGGAAAATAAATAAATTTATCTAAATTATATTAATTTAGCAAAATATTAAATTTTTGAACTAATAATTTTAGTACATTTTATCGAGTTGCGAACAAGAAGAAATTATTATTTAAACAAGGTTATTAAGTTATCGAGTATTAAATTATCGAGGGAACATGTGATATTTTGTAAATATTACAAGAAAATGCCGTTTTTTTAAATAGCTTTTTATTGATACATAAATTATTATAAAAACTTTGCTGCACGATATTTCCAGATTGACCCAGAAAATTATTACAAACAGATATGAAATCCCTGTAAACTAAATTTCAGAACGCAGAAAACAAATAATATTACTACATTGTTTACTGATGAAAATAAACATACTTTCTCATCCTACGATATCCCCCGACAATTAGAAGCCAATCCAATCGAGACGTAACTAGAAAAAAAGCCGGGTTGACTCAGCAAAACTCGTCTCTTCATTCACAACCAACTTTGACCAATGGTGATTCTCCATCTCAGCTTCTGCAGCAATAGTTTCTTCTCTTCTCTACGAGTTATCTTTATCGTATCTAAAAGAAAGAAGAAGATGGTTCCACCGCAATTCAACAGCCAATATTCCAAATACATAATAAACGAACATATATGATATATCAGGTTGTATTTTTATTCCTTCGTCGTTCCATGCATTTTTTTAGGCCATTTCAAGATTCAATAATCAAGTCGAGATGACAAGGTACAAATGAGTAATGCACAATTACACACTCGATATGCTCATTTTACTAATTGCACTTGTGTAACTTTTCAGGCAAAAAAGTTACGATTTTCCAACACGTGCCACCGAAACTTCTATATCGATCAAGATGTTTTCATCAAATAATAACATCCGAAAACTTCTCGAAATAAGAAATCCTAACATGCTTTTATGACGCTGAGAACTGAACGATTCAGAGGAAAATCAGAGCTCATTTTAACATATATCTTTTGCCATTCTTGCATATTGATATCAAATATAATTCTTTTTGGACGACATAACGAAGATATATACACATATTCGAAATACGGAGAATAGATAGTAAAAGAAAGGAAAACAAAAAAAAAAACTCACATTTCTCACATGCTAAACAAAATTCAAGAAGCTGCTTCAACACTCTCCGATTCAATAGTTGCCTTTGTCGCCTGCCTCAGAAACCTCTTACTGAACGCCACACGAATCGATCTTCCCATAAACTCCTACAACACAAGCATTACTTACACAAATTTCAATATTCACTCCACCATATATATAATTCAAAATTCAAAAAAAAAGAGGCAAAATCAATTACTACCTTCCCTTGAAAAGCGGTAAGTGCAGCCTCGGCCTCAGCCTTGGTATTAAACGAAACAAAGCCATAACCAGCCGAACGCCTAGGAGTATCTTGAAATATGATTTCAGCAGAAACAACATTCGCATTATCCGCATTAAAGAAATCCCTAAGATCCTTCGCCCTAGCTTGAAAGGGCAAATTCGTCACATACAAATTGTGTACGGGTAGCGGCTTAGGCTCCGCTACAGTCGAAGGTTTCACTTTCTTTGGCTTTGCCCAATTCAGCTGCAATACTCGACCCTCAAATTCCTATTCATTTTCGATACAGAAAAATTACACATAATTACTAAAATTGTGTGTCTGTAGTAAGCAAAATTGATCATCAAAATCGAAATTTTCGATACTTACAGAGGAATTGAGACTAGTAAGAGCAGCAACAGCTTCTTCGTGTGAACCCATTGTTACAAAAGCTAAACCCCTGTTTCTAGATTTATTATACATTGAAAACTAAAAACCAATAACAAATCAGAATTTTGGGGGAGCAAAAAAATTAGGGCAAAAATATTGATAGGAGGAGAAACCCTACCTCAATATCAACAACGGTACCGAATTTCTCGACCAGTGGGCGAATATCATCTGCGGTGCACGTCCACGGAACATTCTGGAGAAGCAGCCTCGTCTGAGAAACTTCATCTTCTTCTGCGACGTTCTCTTCGGGGGCTTCCGATTGAACGGCGGCGGGAATCGCTTCGACTTGGGGTGTGGATTGTACGATGAACAGCTGGAGATTGGCTCTCCGCCGTTTGGTGGTGGTGGTGGTCAGAGAGAGAAGGCAGGGGTTGTACGACGGCGAAAGAAGGAATAGGTGGGAGTTTTTGGAGAAGTGAGCGGTGGCCGGAGGGAAATTTAAAAGACCAAATGCGGCGGCCATTGTAGGAGCAGCTGTGAAAGCTTCGATGTTATGCTAACATATGGGTTTATGCTGATTTTGAAGTACAAAGGAGATGGATAAGGCACAGCAGTCCCGCAAAATTGCATTTTTATCCCCTAACTTATTAGATATGCTATATTTGGTCCGACTTTCAAAATTGTGTTCACTTTCCCCCCATCCGTTATAAAACTAATGGTGGTTGTTACTTGTTACTTGTCAGACAGTAGAAAAGTGTATGAACAAATGTATTAGGCTGTATTTGCATTTTACTAATTTGAAGTAGATTTGAAATTTGCAATAAAATTTCACTAAACAGAAATTTGCAGGGCCATATTATATTGTCACAAAAGAAAAGGGAGAAAATCTGCTTCGCTTCGTCCCTCTAAAAGTGAAAACGAAAATGTTTTCACGACTAATACAAATTACAAAAAGTTAGTTTTTTTTTCTTTCCGTTAACAAATCGCATATGCTAATTGTTGTGCATTCTAGATTCAGGAGAGTTGGATTGCAGCGGTGAAAGAGGCAGTCTTTGTGTATTCACATCACCAAAGTCGATTTTCTTCTCCACTGGACTGCACATCTTAGGGCTTGATTTTCGTTTCCCCTGTAACCAAGCAACCCACAAAAAGAAATCATTCAACCAAAAAAAAAAGTTAATTATAAGCACTTGCTCCTAAAAAATCCCGTACCTTTCCAGACGCGCTAGTTCCACCCGAGCCACAAATATGCTTTTCTTTAAGGCATTGCCTCGTTAATCTTTTGTTCTCCTCATTTAGTATATTGTTTTCTTCGAACAGTACATTTACCTGAAAGTACGTTTCGTATTAGCAGAAACACGTGGAAAATTGACCCTTAAACGTATATTATCTATATATATAAAATACTAATCCACATACCTCGTCTTCAGCTCTATGAAGGTTAATCTTTAAATGATCTTTATCTTTTTCCAAGACTTTCACCTCTGCTGCCAGTGCTACTGTCTTCTGAGTTAAAGGCCTCAAGCTATAATGAAATACTAATTTCAGCGACAGATTTCAAAAGAAGTAGCAACAGAAGTTTTGGCGTAATCTGAAGAGATACATCTATAATATAATTTCTCACCTAGTCCACATTTTCAGTAACTTTTGGCAAATTTCAAGTCCACCGTGTGCCTCCAAAAAACTAAGTGCATTTGGACCAATATCATCCTTGCCAAACAGAGTAGTCAACAGTGAATCAAGTAAAACTTCTTCCACATGCAGGTCATCTGTCGACACAGCATTCTCCTACAGCCATCAAATCGGAGAGATGTCAGACTCGATAGAGAATTAGAGTAATATCATACTCACATTTTAAATCCATAAAAAAATATAACTGAATAGGAGTAGAGCAAATTTAGATATGGTACATTTTCATTTAAATCTGCCAGGCATTTTAAAGAAAATCCAAACTAAAACATGTTTCAAAAGAGAATAACCTATGTGTTGTATCGCGACTGATCTCTAACATAAACAAAATGGGACAGAAATTCTTATGTTAAAGTTTCAACAAGGGGTTTCTCCCAAAACAACTCTGGCACAAATTTTCTGAATGGAATATGGCTACAAAGTGAGATAAAAGAATGAACAACACACAACAAAAATCCACCTAAAAACATTGAAAATTTATTTGTAAAGAACTTTATTTTACGCTGGAGTTTAAAGACTTCATAATACAGAGATGCTTGAAGAGGCAAATAGTACAAATGAACAAATGCCAAAATTTCACTTAATCACAATCCAAAAGATATGTCCCTTTAACATCATCCATAATCCCTTAACATTGTTTTGAATATACTATAGCAAGCATAACCCCCTCAAAATATAATATTGAATTCGTGTTAAAAAAAGGAAAATCATCATGCACAACTAAATTTTCAATAGCAATGGAAAATCAACAAAGAAACAAACCAAAACATGAGATTCAAGAAAATTAAAAAGCAGTAGAGCAAGAAATCGAATTTACCAACTGGCCCTCGCACCGAAACTTGTAGAACTGCAACTCTTCCATCAATTTCTTCTTCTCCTCCTCCAAATCATGGTTCCGAATCTCAGCTTCTTTTGCCCTCTCATCCGCCTCGTTCGCAAAATCCATTAAAGCCTCTCGATCGCGGTCATAAAGCGAGCACTCCCTCTCCCACTTGTTGCACGCGGCCAACAAATTCGAGCACTCAGAAGCAAGTTTTTGGTTTTCCTCCACGAATTTCTTCAAAGCCACAGCATTCATACTCGACTCAGCCTGAAAACAAAAAATCGAAAATTTTATTTCAAGTGTGAACACAACAATTGCACTTCAAATTGAGAGGGAAAAAAAGAGGGGAAAGACAAACCCTAGACCGTTCGATAATTTCGTCTTTTTCCTTAATCCTGGATTGCAGAGACAGATACTGATGGCGAAGATGCACGTGCGACGCTTCGACGGCGCGGAGTTTGTGAAGAAGAGTGTCGGACGGCACCGGAAGGCCGACGCTGTCATCGATCGATCCTCGTATGTAATCGTCGGTTTCTTGGGGGAGTTCCATCATCCAACCGCCGCTGTAACGAAAGAATCTCAATTCCAAAAACTAGGGTTTTGCAGATTCCGATCAAGAATTTTGGATCTCAAAATTCAGAAGTGAGAATGCCGGGAGGGTGGGGGTGGGGGTAGGGGTGGGGGTGAGGGTCTGCAACTGAGAATTCAAAATGTGGGGGTAATAGCGCCTAGCCGTTTTATGTATTGTGTGGGGTAGTGATCTAGTGCACCGCAGAACTCTGTAAGAACCAACGATCGTAAGCCGTTAATTTAAAAATAAATAAATAAATAAAATAATAAATAAAAAATTGAAGAAGCCCATATTCCAATAAGTATTGCATCTACTATGACTTTCAGTGTATCCGTGCGGCCCAAATGAGGCCCGATTGACTGGCCCATTGTAAATATCCCATGTTTATGGGTTCTAAATGAATTTGTTATTATTATAAATTTCAAGTCATTAATTTTTAAAAATAAAATAAAAATTAAGTAGATAATATAAGACACATGGATGGTATAATATAGATCATCGAACTTCGAAAATAATGTTGCATCAATAAATAAAATGGACGGTTGACATAGCTTTCAGTTAGATGAAACATGTACTATATAATGAACAAAATCAAATACGAGAAATCAAAATCAAAACTAAAAATAAAATAATAATTAAATACTTAATTAAATCCTTGAAAAGTGATCAACCGTGGTTCAAAAGGTTAGTTTCCATTAAATAAATAAAAAAATATTTAAAAAATATATATACACAATTTAAATATTTTTTTTTTTTTTTGGTGCAAAAAATATTTAAATTGTGTATATATATATAGCAAATTCCATTAGTATTTGTGTTACATGTTCTCTTCTTCACACCACATTTAAGGATAGTGTTCATAAACATTATTAGTAAATGTCATTATTTATTTTTTCAACATTTTTTTTCTCTTTTTCACACCACGTTAATTTATTGGTATTATTATTCAGAAAATTCACAAATAATTAATATACTTACAAATAAATCGTTTTTTTTTCGTTTCATGTGAAGAATGAAGAAAAACATTCAGACCATGGTTGATTACTGGTTAAAGCTATTTATTTGTTTAATTATTTCGATGAGTACTAATATAAGTGCTCATGATTACAATAATATCAGCATTACAATCCTTGACAGTGCAGTAGCTGAAGCAAAAGGAGCAGGTTTAATTTGTTTGATTTAATTTTAATTTTTTAAATTAATTATGTTTACTCTATTTATTAATCATATATGTTAAAAAAATAATATTGAAATTACATTTAAAAGCTTAATATAATTGCTAATGTTTTATTGTGCAGTTTGTTTAGATGGAAGCCCACCAGCTTATTATCATGCGAAAGGATTTGGAGATGGCGCCAATAATTGGTTTCTTTATCTCGAGGTCCAACTCTTTAATTTGTTAAATAAAATTCGATTGCGGAGAAAAAAAAATATTAAAAATATTTTGGCTTAAATATTAAAAAAAAATATTTTATTGATTTTTTGAGGTTTTTAATTATAGGGGGGTGGTTGGTGTATCTCAGATGAAGATTGTGCCGTTAGATTAACGGATAGAAGTGGGAGCTCCAAATATAAACCCAAGTCCGTTTACTTTGGACAGAACAAAAGCCAAAACCAAACGGAGAATCCAGGTAATTAATTAATTATTTAATTCGCATTTAATTAAATAGTATTATATTGTTCATCCTGCACCAATAATTGTACCAACAAATTTATTTTCCAGATTTCTATAATTGGAATAGAGTCTATGTTGGATACTGTGATTGCTCTTCGTATATGGGAGACGTTGAATTAGTAAGTCGATCTTATAATAATAAAAAAAATAAAAAATAATATACACTCGATTTATTTTTCACCTAATTTAATTTAATTTAGTTTATTGATTATTTCTTTAGAAAACCAACGTTACTCGTAGGGGTGCGAGGGTTTTTAATGCCATCATGGACGATCTTTTAGCTAAAGGAATGTCGAACGCCGAAAATGTATTTTATCTATTTCCCATCAATTTATATATTCGATACGTTCGTATATGTAAATGGTATATAATTAAAATGCAATTTGCTGACGTGGAATTTTATATATAGGCCATACTTTCAGGTGGCTCAGCCGGTGGATTGGGCGCCATGTTGCATTGCGACGGCTTCAGTGAACTTCTACCTAATGCTAAGCGAGTGAAGTGCATTTCCGATTCCGGTTTTTTCATCCATGCGTACGATTTTTACATTATTTTAGTTCAGTTTTTTATAAATATATGTATGTCAATATATATAATGTATAAATAATGTATATATAAATTTTGTTTGTTCAAAAAAAAAAATAATGTATAAATTTTGTGTGTGCATGAATTTGTAACAGGAAACATCTTCCAGGAGCCGACAAAAGAGCTGAATATTATGCCAATGTATCTGCATATCATGTATGTAAATATATATAAACAATTATACAAATTAAAAATAATATTTGTCACGTGAATGGAACATTTATTTATTTATTAAATTAAGTTTTATCTTTATAATATATATTTTGATATATACAATTATACATACAGGGTATACGCGTTGACTCTTTGCCTTCGTCATGCACGTCAAGAATGGACGAGACCTTGGTGAGAACATTATAAACAAATTAAAGTTCAAATTTATTTAATATTTGTTAAAAAATAAGCTTTATTACAAAAATAATATATATTATAGTAATAAATAAATAAATAAAATTGCAGTGCCTTTTACCTGAGAATATTATCAGAGATATCAAGACGCCCCTCTTTATAGTCGAAACAGCTTTTGACCAATATCAGGTACAATTATTAATTAATATTTGTTGAATGACCATCTCAACCAAAAGCTTAAGATTAATGATTTTTTTTTTTTTTTTAATTTGGATTTAATTTGTTTCAGTTAGCGTTAAACTACTTCTCAAATGAGTCCACTTGGTGGAATTGCACTAATAATATAGAAGTTTGCACGCCTTCTCAACTACAAACCATAAAAGGTACCCATTAATTTTGAATTTATTTATTTGTATTCGTCAATTTTTTTTTAATTAATTCCGAATTATTATTTTTCCTAAATTTATACATTTTAATTTCAGATTACGGCGTAGCACTTCGACAAACATTGCAAGAAATAAGTGATACTACATCTGTTGGAATATTCGTTCACCCTTGCTTCCGTCACGGTCACTTCTACGAGAAATCAGGCTGGGAAGGGTCATTTATATTGGGAGACAAGGTAATTTTATTCTTAATTAACCGAATTCATATTCCCCAGTAGCAATATATAATTATTATTTGACGTAATTTTTTTTTTTTAATCTGCAGACAATTGCACAGGCGGTTGGTGATTGGTTTTTCGATCGAGCTTCTTTCCAAGTAATAGACTACGATAATGAGCTGCCACGTTTCCGTAACTGCTCCAAGTTCATTGCTTCTTCATATATATGACCGAGGCTTATGAATATAAACTCATACTTGTAATTCCAATGATATTAATCATTAATTATCTACTTAAATTTGAATTTTACAAGTATATCGTGTGTACGCTTGTCCATCTTTATAAATAAGTATATTTTAATTAGAGCTCAACCGGGGGCGAATACATGATATTTTATAAAGGTGACGAGTTATTTTCGAAATAACACACCGATGAGTAGGTTAAACTTTTTTGAAAATACATCGCTGCAATTTTTTTTTATACAATAAATTCATTAAAACATGCAAATGAAGGTTGCCAAAAATCATATTTGCAAGAAAATGGGGGGCCAAAATTTAAATTTGATATATCCTATTGGGCCCATATTTTAATTAGTTCGCAATCAGATTCAAATTTAAATCCAACGAGGTTCGGGCCATTTTTATATCCTTTAAAAAGGAAAACATTGCCTAAGTTGTATTTCTTTAAATCCATTTTTATCATGTGTTAATTAAAACATATTTAGAGTAGAGATGAAATATATATATCTTAAAATATCACAACATATTTAGAGTAGAGCGTACATAATTTACTTAAATTTATAATATAAGATTTAATGTACCAAAGTTGCACGAAAGCAGATTCATGTTTCAGTGATATAATCGGGCAAATCCACTATTATTCGTCAATTATAGTGCGACATAGCCCGAGTTATCCAAATTGTAGACTACATATTTAACGAGATCGAATATATATATTTTTATTTTGAATACTAATAACTAAGAAATTAAAGTTTTTTCATCTAATCATTATACAAGTAAAGATTATATTTTCTAATCAAGCTGAAAACAATCAATCACAGTCAAAATTATTTAGATTTTTAAATATATTTTAATTTCTAAAATTATATATTTATATGCGGTTGCTGGCCCAACTACTTCTAATGATTGGCCCTGCAAGTAGAGGTATATTAGGGTGAAGGCTATGCAGACTAGCCCAGCCCATATAATTTTTCAGGGGAAAATTTAAAGTTTCATCCTTCAAGTTTTCACCAATTTCACATTTGGTCCCCTATGTTCACAAAAAACACATGTAGTCCCTTATGTTTCAATAATCCAACGTTTTTAGTCATTTTCGTCAATTTACCGTTAGCCCGTCAGTTAAGGCAGTGATCGGCCTATTAGTACTAATCGAAAACTAACGGAAAAGGACTAAAAATATTTAAAACAAGAGGGACCAAATGTGGAATAATATCAAACTTGAGGGATGAAAACTATATTTTTCAAAAAATTTCAGAGTAATGATGCGTCAAAGTTTAGGGGCAATCGACCCGTTCTAAACAAACCCAATAATTATGGGTTCTAAAAGGAGCATGAGACACGTGGTAGAATCTTGACCATATAAGTCCCAAAATAATTGTGCATCATCCGAAAATGAACGGTTGGCCTAGCTTCTTGGAAGAACATGCACTCTATATAATGAACAAAATCACACACCAAAAATCAAAGCAAAATAAAATAAATAATTATATATTTAAATAATTCCCTTGGAAAGTGATCAAACGTGGTTCAAAAGGTTAGTTTTCATTTTTCACGTTCAAGAAACAAAATTTTAAAAAATGGATATTATTATTAATAAAATTCACAACAACAAAAAAAAACTTATAATTAATTTTATTTTCGTGAAGAATGGCGATAAACATTCAGACCGCGGTTGATCACTGGTTAAGGTTACTCGTGTGTTTAGTTATTTCAATGACTATTCATGCAAGTGCTAACCTTAACAATGTCAACATCACAATCCTTCAAAGTGCTGTAGCAAAAGGAGCAGGTTTTTTTATTTTTTACTTCTAAAATTAATTAATGATTTATGTTAATTAATCGAATATTTATATTCATTTAATCTTAATGAAAATGTTTTATTGTGCAGTTTGTTTGGATGGGAGTCCACCAGCTTATTATCATGCTAAAGGATTTGGAGAAGGCGCCAATAATTGGTTTCTCGAACTTCAGGTGCAACTCTTTAATATTTAAATTAATTAAAAAACCAACAAATTAATTTAGATTACAAATATATTATTTTTATTTTAAAGATTAAATAATTATTATTTTATTTTGAATTTAAGGGGGGTGGGTGGTGTAATACAGAGGAAAAGTGTCTCTATAGAACAACACAGAGCACTGGGAGCTCCAAATATAAAGAGAAGAACATTACTTTCGGACAAATCGATAGCCAAAATCAAACCGAAAATCCAGGTAATTAATTTAACTAATAACTGATTCACGTTAATTTAATTTAAAAAAAAATACACATTTATTATATTCTACCAATAATAATATTAAAAATTTGTCTTTCAATTCCAGATTTCTATAACTGGAACCGAGTTTATATTGGATACTGCGATTGTTCTTCGTATTTGGGAAACCTTGAATCGGTAAGTCAATCGTGTGTATATTTAGTGTTATGGATTTATATATATTTCCGCGTAATTTTGATTTCTTGATTATATTTTTTTTCTTCAGAATACCAACATTACTCGTAGGGGTGCAAGAATTTTCGATGCGATCATAGAAGATCTTTTAGCAAAAGGAATGTCGAACGCCGAAAATGTACAGCTGGATTTTACGAGATTACTCAATTTATATATATATTCATATATACGATTAAAATGCAGTTATATGATCGACGTGGGATTTTATATATAGGCCATACTTGCTGGGGACTCGGCCGGGGGATTGGGAGCAATATTACATTGCGACCGCTTCAGTCAAGAAGTTCTACCTAATGCTAAGAGAGTAAAATGCCTTACCGATTCCGGGTTTTTCATCCACGCGTACGATTTTTATATTAGTATTAACTCAATTTTTTTTATTATATATATTAATGTTATATTAAAGTATAAAATTTCGCGGTAAATAAATTTGTAACAGAAAACATCTTCCTGGAGCCGACAAGAGAGCTGAATATTTCGCCAACGTAACTGCATATCATGTACGTAAAAATGAAACACTTTTGTATTTTTCTAATTTATTTATTCAGTAAATGAAATTTTAATCCTTATAATTAATGCATATATTTATGCATGCAGGGAATACACGCCGATTCTTTGCCTTCGTCGTGCACGTCAAGAATGAACGCGAGCTTGGTGAGAAAATTAAAATAAATTAAAATACTTTTTTTTTTAAATAGATAATAAACTTTTATTACACAAAAAAAATTGCAGTGCCTTTTCCCCGAAAATATTATCGGAGATATGAAGACACCCCTCTTTTTAGTCGAATCAGCTTTCGATGAATATCAGGTACAATTACCATTTTAACCCCAAAAAAGTTAATTATTAATGCATTTTTATAATTGGAATTTACATTATTTCAGTTAACGCACAACTTCTTTTCAAACGAGTCCACCTGGACAAATTGCACTAGTAATTTAGAAGTATGCACGCCTTCTCAACTACAAACCATGAAAGGTATTATTATTCATTAATCATTTTTTGCTATTTATTTATTTATTTGTTCTATTAAAATCTTTAAATAATTTCTCAATTATTATTTTACGATTTAATTAATTTCAGATTACGGCATCGCCTCTAGACAAACATTGCAAGAAATAAGCGATACTACATCCGTAGGAATGTTTGTTCACTCTTGCTACCGTCACGGTCACTTCTACGAACACGCAGGTTGGGACCAGTCTACTTTATTGGCGGGCAAGGTAATATTTGCTCATGATTTTAAAATTAATAGCAATTTTTTCATTATAAATTCATATTTCGGTAACAATTTCCTTCAATTAATGCCGTTTTTTTTTTTAATTTGCAGACAATTGCGCAAGCAATTGGTGATTGGTTCTACGATCGAAGCTTTTTCCAAGAAATAGATTATGATAATGAGCTGCCGCTTTTCCGCAACTGCTCCAAGTTCACTTCATGTTCACATGAAACGAACTTATACGCGTAAATGCACTTGTAATTCCAAAGATATTATTCGTTATTATATCTAATTAAAATCTGAAAAATCGGCAATATACATTATATAATTGGCGGCTTTTCATATTTTGGTTTTTACATTATTGGTTATTTACGAGTATATCGTGTGTAAGCTTGTATCATCTTTATACAACGTGTTAACATATTTATTGAGCAATTTCTACAACTTCTTTTTACCCATTCTTTGTGATCGATTGTTATTGGTCCTTTTATTGTTCGAATTAAATAATTAATTGTCAAATAATGAGATTGGAGTAAATATACACAATGACAAAACATAAGTAGATTAAAATACCGGTGTTTATCTAGGGTGAGATCCAAGCAACACATTTATGTCAGTAAACTGCAAAAGGTATCAATGTGTAATTTTCAAATAGCAAAAAACCCTTTTGATAAATAAACTAACAAAAAACCCCATGTGAAATTTAGTTAAAGGCAACCCCCCGGCGGGCCCCGACTGACTTAAGTGTGGCTCACTCGCGGGTTGTGCGACTGGTAGTTGGTTTTGGACGTAAAATGACGAAATTGACCCTAAACATGTATTTATATGTATATATATATTATATGTATATATATTTTCCTTTTAATTTGATTGTTTAGAAATTAAAATATGATTAAAAATAGTAAATAATTAAATTTAAAAAATATTAAAAATTTGTTAATCAAATTAAATATATATTTTTTTAAATCATCATAATGGAATTTAAGTTTTCTTTTCATGTAGCGATAATTTAAAATATATACAAAAATTATGTGATGATAAAAATAAAAATAAATTAAAAACCCCATTGTACCTTTATAATTAAGAGATAAGAAAAATAAAATAATTAAAATATTTAAAAAATATAAGAATTTATTAATTGCAAAATCTCGGGAGTATTTGTGTCTTTTTATATGAAGTCAACACTCAAATGAGAAAGGGGTCGAGTGTGCTATTTAAATAATTTCATAAGGGGGGTTTTTGCTAGTTTATTTATCATAGGGGGATTTTCACTAATTAGAGATTACACAATGGTATTTTTTGCAGTTTACTCCATTTATGTCCCTCAAAATTATCAACACAACAAGTTTGCCCAAAACTTTGATAAACCCTCGAATAATATTTCAATTTAGCCCCAACTCTTCTGTAAAATAAATTATTTTTCGGTTGAAGGAGGTGATGGAAATTGAGATAGATAGGTAAATTAGGCATTTCAATTTTATATTTATGTTTTTTTAAATAAAAGGGTAAGGTAGACAATTCAAACTCTATGTTGTAATTCTTAAGCAATCGTTGGTCCCAGGAGTTTAATTGTAACTACGGCAATATAATGTGGTGTTTTTCATAATTTAATCCTACTTTAAGGGGTCATCGTAATTTACCTCATTTATTTTTTACTTAAATGTTTAAATAAAAAAAACTATCTAAAATCCTTTCGAGATCCCAATTTATTGATTGAATAATCATCGAAATTTAATTTATCCGGGTATAATTATTGTATACTGATCTCTTTTTGTAATATTATTGATTATCAATCTTAAAAAAAAAAGTTATTAATTCTAAATTAAAAAGAAATGGACGATAAATATTGTAGTGGGATGTTGGAGGGAAGGGCTATGCAGGCTAGCCCGGCCCATATGACTATATATTACGACCAAATATAGGCCCAATTGACAATTTATAAATAACAATAAGGGTTACCCTTGGCTAGCCCGGCCCATATGACCCGACCAAATGCAGGCCCAATTAGCCATTTTAAAAATAACACTTAACCCCATGTAGTTTAAGTTTTATGTACATGACCCCCTGTAGTTTGAACTTTATGCACATGATTCCCTTCTAATTTTAATATAAGCACACATAACTACCCTATGGTATTTCACTTGGTAAATAATCATACTCAGTAGGAAGATTTTTTTTTTTAAAGTACCAAAGAGTTATGTGCCTATAATAAAATACAAATTGTTCATGTATACAAAGTTTACACCACAGATGAATTAAGTGCTATTTACCCTAACAATATTTATGGACTTTAAATGAGAACGAGACACGTGGTAGAATATAGATCATATAAGTTCAAAAATAATTGTGCATCATTGAAAAATGAATGATTGACATCGCTTTAGATAGAGGAACATTGTACTATATATAATGAACAAAATCAGAAGAAAAAAACCCAAAGCAAAATAAGTAATTGTATACTTACATAAATAAATCCTTTAACAAGTGATCAAACGTGGTTCTAAAGGTAAGTTTTCTATTTCCATTACAGTTGCATAAGTTCATAGTCAACAGCGGAACCAAAATTTTAAATGTGCAGTAACCGAATGCCGTAAAAGAAACACTATGAGATTACCGTTAACACAATCATACAAAAAAATTATATATTTATATATAAATAATAAATATTTGAAAAATATTAGGGGAGCATGCCCCCATAACCCTATGCTGGCTTCGCCAATTAATTTACGTGTGATGTGTGTTCGCTTCTTCACATCACACCTCATATAAGGATATTACTCATAAACTTCACTTTCACATTATTACCTAAAATCAATATGCTAATTAATATATATATATATATATATAATTGTTTTATTACTGTCCAACATTTGTTATTATTATTATTATTATTATTATTATTATTATTATTATTATTATTATTATTATTATTATTATTATTATTATTATTATTATTATTATTATTATTATTATTGTTATTATTATTAATAAAAAAAAATCACAAAATAAATACTTATTACTTAATTATCTATTTTATTTCATGTGAAGAATGGCGAAAAACATTCCGGCCATGTTTGATCACCGGTTAAAGCTAATTATTTGTTTAGTCATTTCAATGAGTACTAATATAAGTGCTCATTTAACTGCTGACTACAACAATATTAGCATCACAATACTTGGAAGTGCAGTAGCAAAAGGAGCAGGTTTGTTTTTATTTAATTATCTTTAATTAATTTATTTATGATGTTAATCGAATATTTATATTCACATTAATCTTAATTTAATTGCAATATTTTTATACTATGCAGTTTGTTTGGATGGGAGCCCACCAGCTTACTATTATGTAAAGGGATTTGGAGATGGCGTCAATAACTGGGTGCTTGATTTGGAGGTTTAATTTATTAATTTATAATAAATATGAATTAAATTTACATTATTAATTTTTTTAATTATTTATTTATAAATTAATTATGAGGTTTAAATATTAGGGGGGTGGATGGTGTGCCTCAGATGATTTTTGTGCCACTAGATTAAAAAACAACCTAGGCAGCTCCAAATATATGAACGGTACCCACGAATTCGGACAGATCAAAAGCCAAAATCAAACCGAAAATCCAGGTAATTAATTAATTAAATTAATTAAATAAATCAGATTTAATTATTAAACTATACAAGTGTTGTTCATCCTGCATCAATATTTGTACCACGAATTTTAATTCGTTTTTTGAATTCTAGATTTCTATAACTGGAATAGAGTCTATGTTGCATACTGTGATAGCTCTTCGTTTATGGGAGACAATATTCAATCAGTAAGTCTATCTCATAATATAATATTTTTTTTATATATATATAATTAATTTATTTTTTCAATTAATTCCCGATTTTTTTTCTTTAGGAAACCGGAATTAATCGTAGGGGTGCAAGGATTTTTAATGCCATTATGGAGGATCTTTTAGCTAAAGGAATGGCGAACGCTGAAAATGTACGTGACAATTACTCGGTTTATGTATATTTATATACAAGTGTTGGTAAATTAAAGTACGAGATGAAACTCTTGTAATATCGTAAATAGTATTTATGCGATGAAAAATGCAATCGGAATTTTACAGGCCATACTTGCGGGCGGCTCAGCCGGTGCATTGGGCGCACTCTTCCATTGCGACGGGTTCAGTGAACTTCTACCGAATGCTAAGAGAGTAAAGTGCATTTCCGACTCCGGTGTTTTTGTCCACGCGTAAGACTTTTATATTACTTTAATTTTTTTTGATTAAAACATATAATTACAATATTTTGTGTGAATAAATTTGTAACAGGGTACATCTTCCTGGAGCCGACAGAAGAGCTAATTTATTTGCCAAAGTAGCTGCATATCAGGTATATGAATACACATTAAAAATTAAATAAAAACCACAAACATGTAATATTTTATTTATTTATTTGATAAATGTAATTTTAATTTTTGTAATATATATTTTAATGCAGGGAATACCCGTCGATTCTTTGCCTTCGTCATGCACGTCAAGAATGAACTCGAGCTTGGTGAGAAAATATTAAATAACTTAATTTATTTTTATTTTTATTTTTTATTAATGAATAATAAACTTTTATTACATGTAATATATTTGCAGTGCCTTTTCCCCGAGAATTTTATCGGAGATATCAAAACGCCACTCTTTTTAATCGAAACAGCTTTTGATCAATATCAGGTACAATTAATTTTTATTTAATAATAATTAAAAAATATATATATAAGTAATGCATTTTAATTTTTTTATAATTCGGATTTAATTTTTTTCAGTTAGGGTCTCACTACTTCTCAAATGGGTCCGCTTGGAAAAATTGCACTGAGCATTTAGAACTTTGCACCCCTTCTCAGCTACAAGTCATGAAAGGTACCAATATAAATAAATAAATAATATAATATTTTTCACATTTTTTTATTTTTTTTATAAATTTATATTTTAATTTCAGATTATGGCATAGCCGTTAGACAAACATTGCAAGAAATAAGTGATACTACATCCGTAGGAATGTTTGTTCACTCTTGCTTACGTCATGGTCACACGTACGAAAGCTCGGGTTGGGATTCGTCGTATGTACTGGCAAATAAGGTAATATTTACTCACACGCATTATTTTATTTAAAATTAATAATAATTTATTCATTTTATTTATTTTGCAGACTATTGCACAAGCTGTTGGCGATTGGTTTTACGGTAGAGACTTTTTCCAAGAAATAGATTACGATAACGAGCTCCCACTTTTCAAGAATTGCACCAAGCTCACTGCATCTACATACGACCCAAGCTTATACGCATAAATGCACTTGTAATTTATTCCAAATATATTATTCATTATTTACTTGAAATTTGAAAATCACCAAAATACATATATATTATTGGTGACTTTTTCATATTTTACGTAATTGGTTATTTACAAGTATGTCGTCGTGTAAGCTTGTCGGTCCATCTTTATACAAAGTGTTGACATATTTATTGAGCAATTAATTCATGAGTTATAAAAAGAAAACAACATATAATCAAACCTTTAATTTATATAATACAATCAACCCTTTAAAATTAATTCTAAAATTAAGAGGCAACAACTCATCAGCTATTAAAACAACTTATCAGATGTAAGAGCTCATATATTTTTTAAAATAAGTTTGGTCAAACGGGCCTATAGTTTATATTTCTCTTAATTGTATATATCTTAACTAGTGCATGGCCCGGCCCATATTTTGTATAGACTGAAATCAATTTTTATTTTAAATCCAACAAGGTTCAGCCCATTTTCTTTTTTAATATAAATAGACCATTCCTATAAAATATTTTCAACAGTTATACCAGTCATAATTGATAACAGTCTTCAATTGTTTTTAATAATTTAAAAATACAAAAATATAGTTTTATACTTTTATTGGAGGTTCTACGTGCTGCCGAAATTTTCTTTATATTGACATAATTAAAAAAAAAATTAAAGTAATTAATAAGTCGTATCTTGTACAAACTAATAACATAGTTTAAGTAATTAATTTTGATCCACGCGATTAAATCGTTAATCAATTAAATCAATACAACAATAATAATAATTTAACACAATCTCAATCTTGTAATGTTTACATATATACTTAGATTTACACATATATTACGTAAAATTAAATAGGTTTCGTAGCTTTTGGGGAAGGAATGTATATCTGTACTTGTTATTATTAATTTACTATTATTATTATTATTATTATTATTATATTATTATTATTATTATTATTATTATTATTATTATTATTATTATTATTATTATTATTATTATTATTATTATTATTATTATTATTATTATTATTATTATTATTATTATTATTATTATTATTTATTGTAAAAGGAGAGAGAGAGAGAGAGAGAGAACCGTTGGGAAAACTACAGTCCAGTAAAAAAATTCACGTTCAACACTTTTTCTCTCTCTCTCCTTTTCTTGTTTTTACTTTCCTCTTGGACAATCTTTCTCTGTCTATTCGTACGCAAGTAGCCCTGAAATCTCGATCTCAAAAATCCTTCGGTCAGAATTTTAGAATCTTTTTCTTCTCGAGCGTTTTCGTAAGCGACGCAATTAATTTTCCGAAATTGAGATTCGGCGATTTGCGTACGGTTCTCTCTCACGTTTGTTTTTTTTAACGCGATCTGCTTGAATAATTTGATGATGGGGGGTTTTCCATTTGCTTTATTAGAAAGCTGATTTTTTCTCCTTTGATAGGGTTAGAGTTAGCTCGTATCGTGACTAGGTTTCAGGGGCGAAATTAATCTATGAATTTTGAAGAATTGGGGTTTTCCGGTTGCTATTTGATCCGCTGCCGTTGTTGTGTAAATGCTTTTAAGAGGGGATCTAGGATTGTTGTGCAGTTTGGTAGCGGTGGTGCTTGGATGGCTCTTCGTCCGCCGGAAATTGCGGCGCGCCGCTGCCCGGAGGGACGAGGTCAGGAGGCTCATGGCTTTTGCGTCGGAGGAGGCAGCTAGGGTTGAGCGTGAAGCTGCCGCTATCTATAGAAGCTACGGCTCCCCCCTGCCGGCTCAGCCAATTGTGGCGGAGGAACCAATTGTAGGGCCAGGATCACCTCCGGTACGGCAATTGCAGTACCAGTGCGAGGTGTGTTTTAGCCCAACCACAACTCGTTGCAAGCAGTGTAAAGCCGTTCGTTACTGGTAAGATCTTTGATCAACCCTAACCCCTATTTTGGAATTTTTATTTAATTTTTTATAGACTTGCAAATATTTATCTTTAATTTGTAGGGTTGATTATGGGTGCATCTTTTTTTTATAGAAATTCCACATAAAAAATAATAAATGAGTGAAATTGTAATTTCGATACCCTGGTAAGTAGCACAAGAAATCTGCCTGAAATTAGTGCAACAGCTTATGAACTAAGCTAAGCTGTCTTTTACTTTTCAGCTAATGATTGGATTGCATAATATCGTAAAAATGTTGAAAAAGTAAAAAATTACGAACAAAAGAGAGTGATGTTAAAACAGTTAATGAACTTCTCCGAATAGGGTAATCAATGTTAAGAAAAGTATAACTATATCTCTTAATTTGGGATAGTGCGCTATCCTTAGAATTGGAAGTTAAATGCGACGTCCTACATTTATCGTGTTCCTTTTTTGTTTTGTTTGTTCCGTACATTTCACTAGCTCTACCCCCTTGATAAATACCCTGGAAATTTAGAAATCAAAGTTGCAAGGAGGAATTAGGAATACTTGAGCTCTTGTCCAAAATGTGAACTTATGCATGCTTCATTAAAGCGTAATCCATATTCTCATGTTTAAGATGGAACGCCTTCATAATTGAAAATGGGTTGTGGAATAACTCAACTATTTCTGCAGTTTCTGCAATAGTTTAATGGACATAATATAATTTAGTAACTGTATATTTGGTCGATGTGAAGTCAAAAAAACGTGTTTGAACTATGTATAGTAATTTTTTATGTTGTTCTAGTGATTTTGGTAATTTCATGAAACCTTTTCATTACGAATTCTCTCTTTTAGATGGTAATCTTAAAGTGAAATTCAACTGCTTGAAATAATAAATGTTGACTAAGGACCAAAAAATTAACAACCGTAGGCTATACCGCCATACCATGGCATTTAGAGCCATTACAAATTCTTATCAATTATAAAATTTCTAGCTCAAATGATTCTTGTTCTGTATTCTTACTGTGGACCAAGACAAAATCTAATTGTTTAGAATTAAATAATGTTTCCTTTTTTCACTAATTAATTATAGTTTTCCTTTGAGAGATGGTGCTAAATATTAATTATTTGAAATGACTTTTTATCCCATAGATATCCTCCGGTTTCATATGATGATGTCACATCACCGACGCTAAGTCGTTGAGGGTGTTGAAGTAAACACGAAACTCAATTTCTTAACTGCACTAAAAATTTGTTCCGAAACAAGATTTTAAATGAGAAAAAATGTCGAATCCTCACAATCAAACGATTTCCTGAATAACATAGTTAAATAAAATTATTACCCAGAACTTGTTAAATTGGATTCAACATCTTTTGTCATTTATATTATCTTGCTATGTGTTATGTTCGACACTTGAATGATAATGCCATGGTTCAAATCAACCTGCTAGTTATCCTGTTCCGAGGCTTGAACTCTTGTATAAGAACAAAATTTGGAGGTGACCTTGCCTTCTTTCACCAATTTATTGCTTATCTAATCGTTCTCCGATAATAGTTTGGTTCTTCTTCTCCCACAATCTAAAAAATATGTTTCCAAGTATCTTTTTCTTAATTATGATTTTATAAGTAGGAGCCTAAATAGGCACCTTGGCAAAACTCCTTTCATTTTGACGAAGATAAAAGGAAAGGGAAAAGTAGGGGGCGTTCTAACAAACAGTGTTTAATTACTTGCTTAATGACATTAAAATACTACCATGTATATGCAATGATTGTGGTCTTTTGATGGCACATGTTCCGTTTTATATACATATCAAAATGCTGCAGCTCCAGAAGATGTCAAATATTCCATTGGCGACAAGGTCACAAGGATGAGTGCCACTCGTTTAGCAGTAATCAGAATGGTGATGCAGGAGCCCAGTCCGATCATGAAGAATTTAAGCAAAATGAGATCCAAAGCAGTCAAAATGTTATTGAGGTTGAAGTAATGGATTCTACCAAACCAGTTATATTGTCTTCTCGAGAAGACGTGGTTTCAGATAAAGTTTCTCATGTGCTTGATGAGAATAATGACACTGAAACTGAAGCTGAAGCTAGTCATGATCTGAAAAAAGCTGATATAAATGTGAAGGCACGGGTACAGTTGCTTCCTGATGAATCTTCGCCATCCGCCATTTCAAAGGACACATCTGTTGCTTTGAATAACTTAAAAGATGGTAATAAATTTGATGCACAGAGTACTATGAATGTGGAGTCCATTAAGCCTCTCTTATCAGAACAACCTACTGTGACCAGTCCTGGACATGGTATGCCTGCTGTCAGTGTCTCAAATCAGCTGAAGTCTGATTGTATCGATATAGATGAGAAGTCTGAATCTTCAACTTCATCCGGCTGCAATGACAATGGCTCGGAAGAACATCTACTTTCTGAACCTTCTTCGCCCTCATTTGATTTTTGGGGTGGAAAAATTGAACCCGTTAGATCCAAAATCAATCAAGTTCATGAGGATGATGTCAGCATGCTGAATTCTCGTTCATCACTTCGTCCATCCTCAGACAGGATTAATGGCCATGTTGAAATGTTGCGTCCTGACAAGAGTAAAGTCCTGGTCGATTATCCTTCTCCAGCTGCACCGGCTCTCAAGGAGTCAATTGCAGTATCAGAAGTGAGTGAAGATGGTTTGAAGCCCAGAGGACCACAATCATTGGCACCTAAACATTTGGACCGTGAAATTGGTCGAAAAAATGGTAGTTTAGATACTTTGAAGCGTCAACAAAATGATTCTTCAGGACTACTATCTTCTGAAGCCCGTTTCTCTTCTAGCGCCTACATAAGTAAACCTTCTGTTCTTGATGTGGAGTCTGTGAAAAACGAGCGTTTGCAAGGCGATGCTTCTTGCTCTTTGGGAAACGGTCTCTATGCGCGAAGTGCTTCAGCGAGAGTTGTGGATCAGCGGAGAGCGTCTAACTTTATTAGGCATGGTTCTTTAGGCGCTGGAAGTGGGAAAATGGGAAGATATGAGGTCTCTTTGAAGCTTCATTTTTTTTACTCATATATCATAGAAAACGAGAACTGCTAACCAGGTCTTGTTTTACAGGGTTCGTTTCCATATGACGTTTTTGTAAAGCTTTACCACTGGAACGAGGTTGAATTATGCCCCTTTGGACTTTTAAATTGTGGGAACAGGTAAAACTCAACAATTTTTTTTTCTCTTTTTTCCCTGGATGTTTTTGTATCTTATTTAACTTAAGGGGAAATATTTTGAAATGAATTTTTATCTGAACGGGTTGTGTCTAAATTTGTTAATGCTCACAAACATTTTTTTAATTTAAATATCCTGCAGCTGTTACGCGAATGCTGTGCTCCAGTGTTTGGCATTTACTCCGCCCCTCACAGCCTATTTTCTCCAAGGACTACATGCGAAATCTTGTAAGCATATTTGGTGTAATAATCATGTCAATGTACCTGCTTGTATAATCTTTTGGAATGGTGGTTAATTGTTTTTTAGATTATTATATTGTTTGGATCCTTACCTCTTCTATTTGCATCTTTCTAAAACATCAGGTCGAAGAAAAGAATGGTGCTTCACCTGTGAATTTGAGGCACTAGTTGAGAAGGCCATGGAAACCAATTATCCTTTGTCACCAGCCCGGATAATGTCCCGGATGCAGAATGTTGCAAGTCATCTGGGTAATGGTAGGGAAGAAGATGCTCATGAATTTCTGAGGTGAGTTCACGTTGGCGTACTTGATATCTGCCCAACTGAATGCATGGTTTAAGGTTCTACAGTTTATCAGTCTTCAAAATACGTCTGACATTATGCTAAATCTACAGATACGCAATCGATGCCATGCAAAATATTTGCTTGAAGGAAGCTGGAGTTAATGCGCCAGGCTCTTTGGATGAAGAAACAACCCTCATGGGGCTCACCTTTGGGGGCTACCTCCAGTCAAAGGTTATTTGAAAATATGTATCTGAACTATGGAGTTGGGGAGCTAAATTAGACGAGTTCCTAATTTCTTTTTCTTGTGACTTGTGAATTCACATTGCAGATTAAATGTATGAGATGTGGGGGAAAATCCAAGCAGCACGAAAAAATAATGGATCTCACCATTGAGATTGGAGGACAGATAGGAACTCTTGAAGATGCCCTACGTCAGTTCACTCACTCCGAGGTTTTAGATGGTGAAAATAAGTACCACTGCGGCAGGTTTGTTTTCTGTTATAATTATTGCATAAAGGTGGAATATAGTAGGGCAATGTAGAAATATCTTCAAATGAAATATGATAGAAATGTATCATTTTGGTAGATGTAACTCATACGAGAAGGCCAAAAAGAAGCTGACGGTATTGGAGGCTCCTAATGTACTCACCATTGCACTTAAAAGATTTCAGGTAACCACTTTTCGGTGAATGTAAATTTCAGAACATTGTTTTGGTGTCTTTACTATAATTACTTTCTTACGTTGTGTTTGTGCTCACAGTCGGGAAAATTTGGGAAGCTGAACAAACCAGTGAAGTTTCCGGAGATTCTGAATTTAGCTACGTTCATGAGTAGAACAAGTGACAAATCCCCGATTTACCAGCTTTATGGGGTGCTGGTTCACTTGGATGTTTCGAACGCCACATTTTCTGGTCATTACGTGTGTTACATAAAGAACAATCAGGGGAGGTGGTTCAAAGCTGATGACAGTGTGGTATGTTTCTTTTTTCTGCTCTATTTTTTGTTGCCACTCAATCACTCGATCTCATGTTTTTTTTTGTTGTTTATCATGGTCATAGGTGCAACCGGTTGAGGTCGAAAAGGTTCTGTCCAAAGACGCGTATATGCTTTTCTATGCAAGGTAAAGATTCCTCAGAAATCTACATTCTTCTTTTAAACTCGAAACTGTTTTCATCCATAAAAATCAATCCTCAACATTAATGGAATTTCTATACTAGGTGCTCGCCACGCGCACCAAAACCAATACGAGAGTCAATCGCATGCCACGATCCTATAAAACCAAATACTATATTCAGAACCCCCCATCAACCCGTTTCATTAGACAATTTGACTCCTAACGTTGACTTTTTCCGGGATATCAAGAACAACAACACGGTGAATAATTATACCAGGAGGAGGAATTTAGAAGAAAGTTCGAGCGAATGCTCTTCTACTTCTTCCTCTTTTTTCTCTGAGTCCGAATCTAACAGCACAGAGAGCAGCAATAGGGGATCTGTAAGCACAAACGACGAAATATCGTTGGATCAAAGTTTGGGCGTTGACCAAACGGTCAACTGCTGGAGCAGACAATGGAGGGGCGCCTCGGATTCGGACTCGTCACCGTCACAGTCATCTTCTTCTTCGTCTCCTCTGTGCATGAGGCGCTCGCGGCTTGCTGAGCTGGGCCATTACTCCGAGAGAAGTGGCTTTTGCTCTGCTTTCAATGTAAGTTCGAATATGGATGGGGATCGTTTTCGGGAAACGGGTAATTGTAAAGAAAGGGTTTCGCCTATTTTGTGCAGCTCGAATAAGGTGACGGTTAGGGCTTGTAGAGGTAGTTAGTTGTAGGGACAACTAATCCAATAGATTAGGAATCAATAATAAAAGTCTGAAAAAAATATGTACATTTGAGAATATGCAAGAGAGAGAGAGAGAGAGAGAGAGAGAGAGAGAGAGAGGATTGAACTTTGGTAATTTATATATATTTTTTAATTTTTTTATTTCTAAATAGGTGGGGAAGAATGGGATTGAGGAGATGGGGCTAGGGGGTGAGTAAAATTTGGTGTTATATGTTATATGGCCCCGCTCATGTTGATCCCTCAATTTTGTCAACTCTTTTCAACTCTTTTTTTTCCCCCCTATACAGATGTATAGGTTTATATATATATATATATATATATATATATATATATATATATATATATATATATATATATATATATATATATATATATATATATATATATATGTTATATGCACATATATGTAATGTTATGTAATTATTATTTTAATCTAACTGAATTTTTTTATATAATTATTTACATATTATGGATCCCCCCGGGTGTCTGAAACTGTCAGGTGTTTCTTTAGCTGCTGAAGTTTGTTATCTTATGATATGCCAGCTATTTGGGCACTATTTCGTATTTAATACATGTTATATTGGAAATACTGAATTTATATTAGGGTTTTATACTGCACTATACCCAATCATAGTTATTGGGTATATTCAATCGTACACGTGTGTGTATATATTATATATATATTTTACACATTCAACTTGAGTGCATGGGCATCTGTATCTATTTGGAAATGTCTGAAGTGGGCTCCATAAATTTGGGTAAGGTAGTAATCGTCAGGATAAAAGCAAAAGACTAAACCAGCCTCGGTTAGTAGTTGCTAGTACATCATTACATAGAAGGGGCAAAACTGTCATTTAGTATCTTTTTCTAATGATATATATATATATATATATATATATATATATATCATATTTATGGGACGAATAAGTGAAAAGGAAAATGAAGAACATGAGAGAGAGAAGTAAAAGAGTGTGAAATCGACAAGGGTTTTGAGTGACACAATAGTAATAATACATTGGACAGAGAGCAAAAGAAATTATCACACCAAAAAGCACTTTTCTGCTCTTGCTGCTGCTTCTGCATTAATCCCCAGCCACGTCTTTCAATGCAAAACCTCTATTATTATTATTATTTATAATTATTTATTATTATCCACCCTTTTTATCCATCCATCTATCTCCTTATAAACCCTACACCAAATTTTTTATATGATTTTTTCTTTTTTTGGCAAATGTTGGACATTGAAGAATTAAGATTATACTTTGGCTTTAATGTTATTTTGAAACAATATTTAAAATAGAAAAAAAAAAGAAATAAAAAAGAGAATCTTGGTAAAACAGTTGGGTAGAGTAGCGTTTGGGTAAATGACAGAAACAAGGAAAAGGACATCTGATAAAGATTTTACTCTGACTTTAAATCATATCAGCACCAGAGTACACATCTTTTTCTTTTTCATTTATTATTTTATTATTATTATTATTATTATGGAGAAAATTTATATATATATATATATATAAATTGTTTTTTTGCGAGCAGTAGAAGCGACGAAATAAAAGCTGAAGAAGAAATTGGAATGACAGCGAAAGCAGTGGAGGAATGGAATGCTTTTTTAAACCAAGACTTTTCTATTAAATAAATAAATAAATTATTAATACTTTTCCAAAAAAAGAAAAAACAATTTTTTTTTGACAGATGAACTGAATAATAATTAGAAATATATTTCTTATTTCTTAGCATGCTAAAGATAAATACAAAATATATCAAATAGTGACACACTTAATGCAGGCATAGACTATGCATATAATAAATTAATAATGCATGTGGATAATATATATTATATTTAATGTAAATAATATTAATAAAATATGGGATTTAACAGTAGTAAGAATGAAGTTCAGATTAGCATTCAGCACCTTTGTTTATATTCTTAATTAGCTGATGAACTAAATTAATTAATTAATTAGAGTAATAAACAGGTGACAAATTGCTAAACTAGTAGTCATTAACAAAAATAAAATATAAAGTGAACCAGCCATAGCAAACAGTATCGATCGGCATAAGAAAAGAGGGAAAAACTAGGGCAAATAATTTGACACAAACATTCAACTAAATCGTCACCGGCATTGCGTGAACAATTGGATCAGTACGGCGGTTGTGATGGCGGCGGCTGTCTGGCGGTGGGCGCCCATATTACATCGGAAGGCTGATAGCTGTAAATAGGAGTGCCGCCGCTGTCTCCGCCGGAAACCGCTTTTGGAGAGTCGCGGTGGTGGTTTTGGCCGCCTTCTATGGCCGCCGAGTCCGCGTGATCTACCGCGAGCTGCAGCCTGTCGAATGAGGGGCGATTGAAGCTGGCGGCGATTAGGTATATGGTTCCGGCGGAGATCAGAGGCCCAACCACGTGACCGCCGACCACCTGCCCCTGCGGACCTGCCAGGGAAATTGTGAACGAACCGTTTCCGACCGGTAGGGCTCCGGCGGGTAGGATAGTGGCGGAGATCGATAGAATATCGAAGCGGCCGTGGAAGGTGACTGTGGCGCCGGGGGTGGTGGACGGCTGCTTTATGGTGACGTTCGCAACGACGCCGTTGCCGTTGAGCACGGAGAGGCCCATGTTTCGCTTCCGGCAGAAGCTCGCCGTCGATTCGATGACGTCGACGCCGGGGGGGAGCTCGAGTACGTAGGGGCTCATGGAGGGTTCCGACGAGTCACGAGTGATGATGACCGGGGGTTTGGCTTTGTTCTTAGATCCCGGCGGCCGGCCGCGTGGGCGGCGGACGACTTCGATGGTGGCGCCGCCGTCGCTGGGTGGAGGAAAAGCGTCGTCGTCGTAGGCCTTCCTTTTGGCGGCGGAGGAGTGGTTGTAGGAAGGGCTGTGGCTGTGGCTGTCGGCTTCCTCGGAGGTAGGTGGGCATTCAGGGCCGGCGGCGGTGTGGTGGAGATGTGGGGGCGAGGGTTGTGAATGAAGGTGGAAACTGTTGTGGCTTTGGTGGTGGTGGGAGAACATGGCGGCGGCGGCGGTATTAGAGTGGTGGAGACGTTTATCTTCACCACCGTATTCCCTTTTCATTTTCTTTAATTATTTTTTAGCAGTAGAAATAAGAATGATTCTAATATATGTTTGTTTATGCAGATGAGAGAGAGAGAGAGGAGAGAGAAGAGAGAGATGGATAATGGATGGATACAAAGATAAAATATAGCAAGTGGGAGAGAGAGAGAGAGAAGCAGACGTCTGGAGAATTTCAGAGTGGATTGGGGGTGCAAGGGTAGACATGACTTTTTCAGGTAACGACAATTATCCTTTTTATTTCTTTTTCTTTATTTTAATTTCTCCCCTAATTAATTTTCTTTTTTAATATTTGTTACGATTTATATATCAATACATAAAAATATAAGGAAAAATATAGCGGGAATAGAAAGAAGGGGGTTGGTGTAGGAGCCGCAGTTATTGGGTGGCGGTAGGGGTGTAATGAGCCGAGCTAGAGCCCAAGTCCAGTTGATTAAGTGAGTTTGCACTTTAGATCTATTCTGACGAGCTCGAGTTCGAGTTCAAATACTAAATTATATTTTAAGAAAAAATACTATATTTTCTTTGGTAGCAACAAACTTTCATGCCATTTTCTCCTAATAAACGTGACAAATCCTACAACACATCCTTCTTCCAACCACAATCACCTCGCCGCTCACAGTAATCATCTTCGATACTAATTGGGTATTAAAAAATAAAATTGAGAGATTCATCGATTTTTTAGTAAAAAGTGTGTGCGCAATAGTATACGATTTTCTTATTTTGCTTCACTACTAAACAATTAGTGAATGTTCTTTTAGATCATAAACTATTTCTTTTTTAGATCATAAACTATTGCTTGACTATAAGTAAACATCTTCTATACAACTTATATGAGTGTTGAAACATATTATTATTGCTTTTTAAAATTTCAACGAATTTAAGCAAAATGCGTATGCTATAACATATGCTATTTGCTAAAAAAATGTTGAAATTCCAAATTTTTACTTTTATATTTTTTGCTAAAGCCAATTAGACAACCCATGAGCCTTAGTTAGAAAAGAACACTCGAGCTAGCTCAAACTCATCAGAATTTACTTGAGCTCGAGCCCATCATACTCGAAGTCAATTAGTTTAACCTCTATACTAAAATATAGTATACAAGTATTTTGGTTAGTCTAGGGTTGGAGTCCCCTACTTCCCTTAATTAACTTGAATTTACTAAAACAAAAAAAAAAATGTAGTACTTCTTTGGTCAAAATCCAAAAGCAGTAAAACTTGAATTTTCTCAAACACTCCTAATTACCTTTTTTCCTTTAGGAAAACGAAATATAAAAAAAGAAAATATAAAAAGAGATCCGAGTGGTGTCACTTTAAAAGCAGCTGAGCAGACCAAGTGGGATTGAGGAATAGACACAATGCCGCCCATCGATATATATTATGATGAAATCTCGTCTTCTTTTCCTTTTTTAGGTCACGGGCCCTTCTCTACTATCATCATTACCTCTAATTTCCATGGCGGTCATTAACATTTTACCCCTCAACTATATATTTATTGCAACACTTCCCCCATTTCTTTACGGACGTATTATCATGTCTCATCAAACGCGTTTTGTATAGTTGGGCTGGGGTAAAAAAGTTAGAATGCGTTTAATTGAGGGGCAAAAATATAATTTACCTTAAATACCATTCTTTAATTCCTTTCCAATAAAGTCATCTCTCTATGTATCAGGCCCGCGTCGACGTTTGTATGTCTTTGGCAACTTGGCATCGCCCACTTTATTTGACTAGAGTTGTCCTGCACTATCCCACCCATATTTTCCCCTTTAATTAATATTGAAGCTATTTAAATAAATAAATGAATAAACAGTTTTCCTTCTAACGTTTCCCTAAAATATACCTTTTCATAAATTTTTGGGTAAATTAAAACCACTTTTCTAATTTAACGATCTACGAAAAAAATTCTTATTTTTTAAAAATTAAATTCACACGCAATTTATAAGTTTCTTACATCCACCCTTCAAAATTAAATTCCCATGCAATTTACAATTTTTTTACAAATTATAGAGGGTGAATGTAATTATAGAAAAAGTGAAGTTTTTTTTCTAGTGTAAATAGACCTTATCTCAGTGGGGCGATTATTTTTGTTAGCGTCGTATATAAACAAGAGTACATAAAATTCTAAAAGGACAATTATTTTGGCACATGACTTTTTGAAACCATAAGAAAAAAAATAAAAAAGTTGCATGGCGAGTGTGTTTAAATTCTTGAATATTTTGATATATTTTGATCATTAATAAATACACTTGCCTTATTTGGTGAAGACCATATTGTAGTTTCATTGCACACCAAATGCAAGGACTTCTAACTCAATATCATATGCAGTGACCACATAAATGTTGGCAATGGATAAGATTTGTTGGTCCAAACTATTTATTCAATGAATGCAAACAAAAAAAAGTCTAACATACGGAAAGAAAAATAAAATAATAAAGAGAGCGCAGCATATTTTGGATAATCATTTAATAGGGGCGTTACGTCTGAATTATTGACATTATTAGAATGAAATGTCAAAAGGCGTTGGTCATACTTTTCTTCTGGTGTTAGATTTTGTTAGAGGGATTAATTAATTACGCCTACCTTCCTACCTAATTATCAAAACTATAACTCAATACTTGTGAAATCACTTAAATTTACTCGTTCTGACATTTATTATCATTTACTTCTCGAGGGGTTGAGGAAAATAAACGAAATAATACTCCATTCTTCCCATTTTATTCGGTTTTCCGGCTAGTGCACACGTATTTAAAGAAAAAACTAATAAATGTGCATAAATTCTGAAAAAAAAAACGTAATAAAATGACTAAAAACCCCCTTCTCACTAATTGTTTCGCGATTAAGACTCTCTTAATAAATTAAGAGTGGTAAGGGCAAGATTGAGAAAAGTAAAATAAATATTTCATTGAAATTCCGAACTCACAAAAAAAAAAAAGGGGAAAAATATCCTAAACAACAAATAAAATGGGAAGAAGGGCGTAGTAAAATCGAATAAATGATCAATCACAAAAAGTTAACAAAAAACAACAGTTAATAGTACATACGAAACAAATGGAGTGCCGTAACTGACCTACATTTCCCTTGTTTGTGAATACAAAACGACAATTCATGTATGTGGGACAATGCACTTCCACAAATCCATTATTTGTGAATGCATACACCCAAGCAAAACTTAAATATCTTAAAAGATGCATCAATAGTGAAACAAAGATTCTCTCTTAGGCACTCAAAACTCTTGAATAAACTAATGTGACCTCAATATCATGTTCTGAAGGTTATTGTAAATTGTACATGCAAATTGAGAAAGTCCAAATAGTGCAGATAGTACATGCAAATTGAGCAAGTCCGAGTAATGCAAATTGTACATGCTATAAGAGATCCAGCTTCCGTCATTGAGAAAGTCCCGATCGAAAAAGAAAGACGTATTGCAAGCATTAATCTAACGAGATATAACTCAAGAAACATTACACTAAACGGCAATAGAAATCGAAGCATAAAAAGGAAATGAATATAAACAACGGGGAAAAACCATGACAGCTGTCACATGCGAGCAACATAAGAATTAGCCTGAGTGACGTATCTCACCCAACGATACGGGTTGGAAGTTTTGGACTTCTTCGCAATCTGTAAATACTTCACCTGCATCGACACAAACCAGATTTTCGTTAAAATGCTTAACAGTTCAGTACTTAATACATTAAGGGCTCGTTCGGTTACATCTATTATTTGTAAATTCGGCCCCTCGTGTGCTAAGAGTTATATATACTCATTAATTGCGAAAGTTGAATTCATAAATCACACTCAGTTTGACAAGTTTTGAGGATTCAACACTGTTCTTGTGCCACATTTTTCATAGCGTTAAGCAATCGTAAAGATAAGTAGCACAGAAAGTGGAGAGTATGCATCCCATGCAATCATTTGGAATAAAGGAAGTATAACAATAACATATTTACCTCCAGCCTTGAAGGATTATACATAGGTATTGTGAAGGTCATACTGACGGGTCCAGCTTCTTTAGTGATATTTCCTGTGTGATCAAGCAATAATAACATGAAGGGAAATAATTCCCAGTTAATATAATGAGATAACATCATAGAGTGACGAAATCTGACATGAAATTTTCGACTCTATAATCATACCATGCAACTCCTGTGAAAAATTTAACTTTGCACGTAGAGTGTGTTCTGATCCCCCCACCATCTGTGAAACATGAGCAATTGCTTTAATACAAAGATACGAATAATAATAGTAATAAAAAAACTGGAGCTGAACTCATTGACTATTTATTCAACAGTGTGCAGTAGCATTACCTTCTTCACACTCCACTCGAGTCTCTTCTGTGATTCTTTGAAATCAGCATTCTGCCCAACTACTCCACGTTCCAAGTCAAAATTGACTCTGAAATATAATGGGGGGAATTTGTTATTTCGCACACAAATAAAGAGAGAAACTATATGAATCAGCAAAAGACAAATGTTACTCATTTCTCGGAACATCCTGGGGTACAAAGCTTTTAAGCTAGCTATTTGGGAAAAATCATAATAGGATCTAAATGGTAACAATGCAGCACTAAAGTATGCAGAGCAGCAATCATTATACAAGTGAGAAAATAATTAAATCTGGCAAAATCATAATGTTGAAAATGAGATTCACCTGGTTGTACATGCTGGCAATGGCATTTCTACTAAAACTGTATTGGCAGTGATGTTTGAAGGAAACTCGGCACGGATTTTCAAAATCACTTCAGCCTAGGATGGAAAGAGAAAAGAAAACATCAGCTGCTGACACTAAAAATGAGAGTGGAGGCAAGAATCCTGGAAACATATTATAGCTTCTCATTCTGGAAATACAACGATCTGAAAGCCCATTAAGCCCAAAATCGGTTCTCTCCAATTAATGACTTTTACATCACAAAAACATCTAATGATAAAAAAAAAAAACCTTATATACCTTGAGGGATCCCGCTTCTTCAATTAAGGTGTTAACAGTAAAGGGGGGCTTGAATTCCTGGGTAATACGATAATTCATGACAGGAAATTCGCCGTCTGGTGGTACCTAATTGACAAAAGATAGATGAAGATAGAACATTTTAAGAGGAAAAGAAAATCGAACAATGTATAGGAAGTTTGTAAACCATGGGGCAGTACTGACCAGACTCAATGTTTTATCAACCTCAAAATTGTCCATATGTACAGATTCATGAAAATTGCAATCGTCCAAAATAACTGCTCCTGACCCTGAAGAACCACTGTAGCCGCCTGCAGAGAAATCAGATTTTGCTTTGAAATAGACTTTCACAAACTCATACAGGTTGCTAGCCACAAGTTTAAGAAACATGATCTCCTAAAAAATTTCATGTATCAAATTTAGATACATGTTATACATCGACCCGCAAAAAAATATTGTTATTAATAGAAACAATAAACAATTTTGCTGTGCAGAATAGTGTAATCATGAGAATACCATAATTTGGTACCCCGCCTCTCCCGACGTATAGATCATCATTGAGAGCTAATTTGATCTCTGGGTTTCCAGTTAGATAACTCTTCATTTGAATGGTTCCATCAATTTCGGAAGTCAATACATATCCCTGTTCAGCATCAGTTTGACCTCGGTTTAATTCAATCTTTCAGCAAAGTAATAAATTAAAATAAAAAACACTCAAGATCAGATATATGAAATCATGTAACATAGAGTTAGGCGTAGAAAGATTAAGAAGCACAATGTTAGACCTATGCTGTTTCCTCTGTCCTGATAGGCTAGCAGCTTAACTTTTTATAACAAAAAGTAACTATATTTGACTCCATATACATTTTCCTACAAGTCCTGAAGATGGAGGAATGTAAATAAAATTCCCTCAGGTGATAAATAAATTATCTTATGCAATGAATTATCATATCCAACTTCAGGCACAACATAAGGCATATTGTCTGCAGCAAATTTTTGAATTAAAACATCATATGAATAACTAACATATAAAGAAAAAATCAATGAAATATATCGGAACATAAAAATTGCTTATGGGTCTGACAAGGTCTCTGCACTCACAGTTTCTCAAATAAAGTGAATGAAGAATTAGAACAAGAATAATTAGAACAAGTAATACAACGAACTGAAACTTCACTTACACTAGAGCTAAAGGTGACACTTATTTTCTCAATTATATCAACAAAGATTTCCTCCCTCTTTCTCCCCCCTGGTTCATTTGCCACAACAGATTTTGTAACTGCGGTCCCAGGCATTCGTTTGGTTCCTTGCTGCACGAAATAAAAAATTGCTGGCATCAGGATATCACATTCATAATCAGCCAGCTTAAACTATATACCAAAGCATAATAACTTAATACCATGAACAAGGATGCCGGACCAAGGGGAGGCAAACGTGCAGCATCAACCACAATTGGTTCATTGAATATATAAGACTTCAAAACTTCAGTCGATGTCGTTTGAACATAGCCAAAATCCTGCAAACAGAACAACACACATGGGCACATAAACCACCAAAAAAATTACAGCCAGGATAGTGTGAATGCACAAGTTGTCACCAGAGAAAAATCATCAAATGTCCTAAAAAACATTATATGGGATGTTATTCTACAACAAAAATCGGACTAGATTTAATTTTAATAATGGGGCATTGCCTTCTAGGCTGTTTATGATTGACATATTACTTGAATGTTAATTCTAACAAGCAAAAGTTCAAAGAAAGATAGCCGTTAAATACCAATCCATCAAATAAAGAACAATGTACAAGGATACAAAGTAAAAAAGGTGAACATGCTATGGTTGAGGGAAATGCAACAAGCACTTATTCAATAATACTTACTATGACTTCATCAAGCAGCTCATACACAAGTACAAAATTTTTTCGTAAGGATTCTTCGTTAAGAACACCAAGATAATCTTTGATGACGCGTGCAATCCTCTGCAGAAGTTCCAGAGCTAAGGAAGGGGACAAGTTGATCCTTGTGGTTGCAACAAAAAGCAGGCCAACCACCTTCACATGAAAGTAGTTTACACCATCTAGATTCTGTCGAAATGATGTGGAAGAAAATAAAGTTAGTCCCAGCGCTCGACTCATTTGTTATGTAGTACAATGCAAGTCATTAAAAAATGTAGCGAAAAAAATATAAATGGATTGGAATAATAATTCCCAATGATAGAACAATTCACTTCACAAAGTAGAATGCCAAATTATGAAATATACGAGTTTAATTCACAACATTTTTCTTACAAATGCACACCATCATAGAAATGAAGAAACAAAACATCCATGCTAATCATGTGGTCTGAGATGTTAAATTTAACATCGCTCGCTGCTGTTGGTGAATAAAAAGGTAGGAAATACCCACAAAGACAGGAGGAGCTTCCTCTTTGCCATCTTCCTTCCAGAACTTCACTTTGCGGAAAAATATCTCTGCACTTCCTTTCTGTACATCACTACGATCTGCATCATAGGCAACATTACACTCAGGAAGAAATAAAGTTTCGAAGGAAGCAAAATTAAATGGAAACCAATCAGAAAAGGATAACAAATTACAAAACAATCTAAAGGAAACTTTGTGATTGCCAAATTTCTATTGAGTTGACCTATCATTTTGAGACCTAATCTTCGTTTACAGAGGAAACTCTGTGATTTCTAGAGGAACCAAAGTAAAAACATTGAATATATAGTTTTATACGAAAGCTCGATACCAGGATAATTTCAATGCATGTCCTTTAAATCTCCTAACAAATCCCAGAAACTACCAAAAATATATATACCAATGTAAAATCTCCTCAATCAGATATCTAGCAACAGTGGAAGTCGAACTAATGCCAGCTTTAGGTTACAGATCTCCAAACCATTAAGAGAATTAACTCAATTAATTTCAGGAAGAAACATATAACTAAGATCGTCTTCCTTCAGTAAGCTCAATCAGCGAAAACCCCAAAAAAATTGCGAAAGAAATGAAGGTAAGGAGAAATAAGTCCTAATCAACACAATACTGAAGAATTAGAGAAAAAGGATGAAGAAGAAAAATCGAACGAAAGCAAACACAATACTGAAACAATGCACGTAATTCTTCTATTTCAACAAGAACATCAGTAATTTGGGGATAGATGATCTACACAGCGTGCGAGGAGAGAGAGAGAGAGAGAGAGAAATGAGCGTACAGTCTCGGAAAACGATGTTGTCGCCTCTCTGTGATAGCACGAAGAATTGAGAGATCATTGATACGATGAAGACGATGATCAACAGCTACCACCAAAACCTCGCCTGTATTAAGAGAGCTCTGTTGAATTCTAGATCGACTGATTGAAGAAATTTCTCATTGTCTTTGAAGGCGAAATTTTGCAATTTGGCCCCCTAAAAGTTATGTTTTCATATATAACACCTCTATATTTTAATAAAACAAAACTTCACCCATCTTAGTGCATAAATAAGTCCATAATGGAAAATTTTCAAATCGCTCAAAGTTAAATGATTTTGTTTTTTTTTTTTTGAGAGACAAAGTTATTTCATTAAATTAAAATCCACAATAATGAGATCATTGTGTTACAAGGTTAAAATTTATTTTAAAAAATCAACATATATATTTATTTATTTTAGTTTATTGCGATGAATTGAATATTAGTGTAGCATTTTTTAGTCACGTTGTGCACGATCTCCTTTTTATTTTTTATTTTTATTTTATTTTTTCTCAAAAAACATTCACCTAATTGTGATGAATCAATCCATGGCAAACGTAAAAAGATGCTCGATTCCGAGACTTCAAACAAGATCGTTTTCGTTATTGCTAGTGTCGAAAACAGTTCTAAGAGATGCTACAATGTAATACAAAAACCTCTACAGTATTCCATTTGTAATAATAATATTCGCATTCTAATAACTCAAGAAATATCAACAGAAATCGAAGAAATAAAAAGGAAACGAATATAAATACGGGGAAAATATAAACCACGACCGCTATCATCATACATGAGCAACATAAGAATTAGCCTGAGTGACGTATCTCACCCAACGATACGGGTTGGAAATTCCGGTCTTCTTTGCTATCCATACACTCTTCACCTACATCAAACAAAACTTTATTTTTCAGACAAGCCCTTAAGTAAAAAAAAACAATAGCAACCAGATTTTCCTTAAAATGAATGAAATAGTATACATCTCCAGGAAATTAAAAAGAAAATGGAAATTTAGTTGACACCGAAAATAGGGAGTAGTAATCACATCTCATTTTGCCTTTAAACCGTTTCGTTTTATTTTATCAATTAATTCCAAAAGTTGAATTCATAAATCACGCTCGACGGTAACACGTTTTGAGATCAAACTAACATATAAATAAATGGAGCCATAGCGAATAACAAGGCGGAATGCAACACTATTTACCTCCAGCCTTGAAGGATTATAGTTAGGTATTGTGAAGGTCATACTCACGGGCCCGGCTTCTTTACTGATATTTCCTGTGTTATCGAAGCAACAATCAATAGCATGAATAATAATTCATCAGGCAAAAATACTAAGAAATGAATTATATGATCAAGCAACTCTATAACCATACCATCTAACTCTTGTGAAAATTTTAACTTTGCACGTAGAGAATGCTCTGACCCCCCGACAATCTGTTAAACACCGGCAGTTATTAGGCACTTTGTCAAAGATACAAGTAACTATAATAATCGATACGCCAAATAAAAAAAGAAAAAAAAAAAAAAAAAAAAAGCAATACTTTCTCCACACTCCATTCGAGTCTCCCCTGTGATTCGTTGAAATCGGCATTCTGCTCAACTATTCCACGTTCCAAGTCAAAATTGACTCTGAAATACAATTCGAAGAGTTTGGTATTTCATATGCAAATTAAGAAACTAAATGAATCGTTAAACCACCAAAATATGCAGAGCAGAAATCATGATACAAAGTGAGAAAATAATTAAATTTGGCCAAAATCGTATTTTTTAAACCGAAAATTCACCTGGTTGTACATGCTGGCAACGGCATTTGTACTAAAACTGTGTTGGCAGTTATGATTGAAGGAAACTCAGCACGGATTTTCAAAATCACTTCAGCCTAAGATGAAAAGAGAAAATTAAACTTAATAGTTTTGTTATAATCTTATACAACGTAACCATCTGAAGCTCGTTAAGCTATAACCAGATTTTCTCAAATTAATCACCCCAAAGATATCTAAGTGGTCAAAAAACCCTATATACCTCAAGTGATCCCGCTTCTTCAATTAAGGTGTTAATAATAAACGGAGGCTTGAATTCCTGGGTAGTGCGATAATTCATGACAGCAAATTCTTCATCGGGTGGTACCTAATTGACAAAAGACAGATCAAGAATATAATATTAAAGAGTGAAAAAAAAAAGAATCCCAGAAGAACAACAACCATTGACAGAGTAAGCACTACTGACCAGACTCAATATTCGATCAACATCAAAACGATCCATACGTACAGATTCGTGGAAATGGCAATCATCCAAAATAACTGGTCTCATCCGTGAAGAACCACTATAGTCTGCTCGAAAAAAACAGATTAAAGACTTGAGTTCAAGAAAAACGACATACAATTTTCAAGAATCGTATTCATATAGACTTTATACATTGACATGCAAATAAGTGATGTTAGCGTAATATCGCCTTTATGAGCATACCATTATTTGGTAGTCCGCCTTTTCCAATGTATAGCTTATCGCTGAGAGCTAGTGCAATTTCTTGATTTCCAGTTAAATAACTTTTCGTTTGAATGGTTCCATCAATTTCAGAAGTCAATACACAACCCTGTTCAGCATCAGTTTGACCTTGGCTTAATTCAATTTTTGAGCAACATACTAAATGAAAAAAAAACAAATAAACAAAATCTCTATTGAAGAAGGAAAAATAAATTATTGTATCCAAAAATTCGAAAGCACTGAAAAAAAAAGCATAGGTCATTGAATGAAAGGAAAAGTATGACTTACGGTAGAGCTGAAGGTGACACTTATCTTCTCAATTATATTAACAAAGAGTTCATCCCTCTTTCTACCTCGACGCTCGGCGGATTCTGTAACAGGTGGTGCTTCCTCTTTGCCATCTTCTTTCGAAGACATTACTTAAACTTCGCGGAAGAATCTCTCCGCACTTCCCCTTTCTGTAAACAACCACGATTTGCAGCGTTGAAACACAATTTTAGAAGCAATAGTAAAATGGAAACCAAAAAAAAGAAGATCAACATCTATTACAGATTCAGAGTTGACTGATCATGCCAAAAATATTATTATTTGAAAATACTGTAATACCCTTACTTATGAAAAGAAAAAATAAGACACAAGGCTCACTTCACGCTTTACCTTTGGTGCTTCCTCTCCCTCTTCTTCAATCTCTTCTTCCTAATTTGCTAGCCTCCCTCCGGCTGCCATGCCGGAAAACGCCGCTACATCCACACCCGCAATTCCGCCTCCGATTTCGACACGTAAATTTCGATTGTTCCCCTTAAATTCGACACCTCCCTGTGATGTCGAAATTTAACATGCACATATCGAAATTTTTGAATTCGATCTACAAACATAACTCGAATTTTCTGCAATATTTCGACACTTAAACACTTAAGTGTCGAATTAAAAATTGACATTTGTGAGGCGGCAATGGAGGACTTCTTTTCCGGCGGCGATGGAGGACTTCTTTTTTCGACGGCTATGGATAACATATTTTACGGTGCCGACGGAGGGATTATTTTCCGGCGGTGGAGGCGGCGACACAAGCTTCATCGGTGTGTGGGCGAATTCTCGGCGATTCCGGTGAGCTTGAAGTCCGTGTCGTCTGGTTGTGGTCTTGTGTGTAGGAGGAATTGGCTTTTAGGTCCTCTTTCAATAACATGAGTTGGGAGGGTAATATTTTGGTATTTGATATAGGTTGGTCTTCCTCTTAGAATTTTTCCGCTTGCAAATAGCCAGCCCCTATTTTCAAACTACGATTTTAACACAATTACTTAATTTAATACCGTTTTTTTTTCTCCCAAATTTACCCTTACAAAGTTGAAACTTGAATGGCAAACGTTCTTCATAAAATGTGTTCCAAGTTCTAACATAAGTCAATGGTGCATATCTAAGTTATCTAACAATCGAAAATAAGTAAATAGCCGACGCACATACACGCGTATGAACCACGACCTTGTACTATAACACACGCACACACACACGAACACGAACACAAAAGAGACTTAGAGCGTCTGGCATAATTAAATCGATAAAATAATTATCAACAGTAAGTTTGAGCAACGAACAAATGATATAATACATCTCTCTCTCTCATGAAAACAGTGGGAGATTGTAGTAGCCACTGCTGTATTTCTGTACACAAAAAAAACTTTACATCACCAGTCCAGTGGATTCACAAACTTCAGCAAGGCTCTTTAAATCATCGACTTCCCTGTCATACTGAACCAATCAAAAATATATCTCGTTAAAAAAACATGCGCACGAGATTAACGGGATACGCTAGTCTTCCAAAACGGTAAACTGATAAACATAGTAAGAGGTCAAATCAAATTCAGGACTTCTAGAATCATATATACGAAAATTGATTTTTCTTTTTTGGACAAAAATAATATCAGACCTAAAATGAATGTAGAAACAATAAGTAAATAAATAAATATGGTACCTATAGCCGAATACAGTGAGAAGAACTATATCAGCTTTGCGTGCACTCAAATGGATGGAAACTTCCTTCAGCAAACTCGTGCATCCTGAAACGTTCAAGTATCTCAAAAGGCCTGAAACGAGAATAAATGTTTGAATAGAAAATTATGGTCAAATTCAACAAGAGGACGGATTTAATAAAATTGAGCAGGTGTAAACTAAGGGGGAGCTAATTAGTAGCATATGCTATATGCATAATGTCCCACATCAGAAAAAGAAAAGAAAACGACACCCAAAAGCAAAAGCGCAACAATAACACAAAAGACAACAAAAATAAAGTAAGGGCAGAGTTAAATATAGAGAGTCATAATACATACAGAATTGTTTCACGAGTACGACATAATCTGCGCTGATTGCCCTCCATAGCATCTAATACATTTGAAGTCTCTGGTCCAGCTGCTCCACCAGCCACAATGGAGGCGACTGGGGAATTTGGAGACCAGATCTGCATCCAATATAGTGGTGAATGAGATACCATTCCTTATAGAGATATAACTAACCGAAATATATATAACCCTTTCCCACCTTTATCGTGCTATCAATTCCACTAGTTGCAATAACACAATCATGTGGATGGCACTGTATACAGTTGACAACTGCAGATGGTAAGAATAAAGGCATTAGAAAATCATAAATACAATTAAATGAAGAACATAATCCAAACTATTTTTGTATTAGTTGTTCCAAATTCAATAAGCTTCACAACTTGCACCTAAAATTTGGTTCGCTGTGAGGAAGAGAACAAAGCTATACACAATACTATTCTGGGAATACAATTATACCGAGGGGCGGACATGTGTGTGTGTGTGTGTGTGTTGGGGGGGGGGGGGTATAGTTACTTTACCAGCATCATCTCCATGTAACATCTTTATTAAGCGGCCGGTTTTCTTTTCCCAGATAAACCATCTACCATCGTCACTTCCGCTGGCAATGTATTCACCTGGATACAATAAAAAAATCAACATAATACTATAATAAAATGCAATCTTCAAAGGGAGTTTCACTAAGGGATCAACTTTTCAGTTGTGTTTAGCCACGAATGACATTCCAAGTAAGGGTTCATTTAGATCTTACATTTGCTTGAGGGGAAAGTACAGGAAAATTCTGTTTGTTCTCATATTTATATTTAAATATTTCACCGGAAATGTTATGAGAGTCTAAAAATGATTAAAAAATTAGATAAAAGAAATCACATGGTCAATGAAGTCGAGAAAATTTATCATTCATGCCGAGTAAAAAGATTTAGAAATGATCCGGACACTAAACGACAGGAGTACAAAGGTATCTTCCTGTCTTTCTCTAGTTTCATACATTACTGAGCATTCAGTATAATAAATATAATGGTGAAAGCTGCCTTGGGCAGAAAACACACACATATTTCCCTTTCTTTGTTTATTGCACAAGTATGATCCAGAAAGGTTGCATGTAAGATCTTGAACATACCTCTCTGGCCAATAAAACTAGCTTGTTTTATATCAGTGCCTATATTACAATGACCAACATATCTCTGCTTCATATCTACCGCCATCTCAGGCTGCAACAGAACATTAATTTGTTAAGATAATCTGGCGACAATATACTGCATTTTAAAAATGAAATCAGCAAAAGAATCATAAGCATTTCAATGTTGGAAGCATATATATATATATATATATATATATATATATATATATATATATATGATTATCAAACGTGATATAATACCTAAAATAATTCTAAATTTATGAAGGAAATAAGTATAGAAAATATTATGTTTCTGAGTAACACACAAAAGGTGAAGTGGCTTTATATAACTACAAGATAGAAATGAAAGGAAATTCCAAATACAAAAGAGGACAGTATTTAAGACTTATTGACAACAGTGAGAAACAAACACATGATAATTCACTCACAAAAACCAAAAACCAAAAACTGCACTACCAACCACAGAATTCTACGAACACACACAAAGTTGCAAACAGTGACCCAGGAAGACGCCACTAACACACCGCATGAACCATGATGGTATATCTAATAAAAAACAACATAATGGCCATCAAACAGTTCAATGCACAAACACACAACAGATGATATGAGAAAAAATCAAAATTATTTTTTTGGGTAAAACATAGAACCAGAAACCTGGTAAGGAGCTTCATTTTCACACGACAATAGAGGCCATTCACTAGATCCATTCGGCCTCTCAGTTTCCACAGCTGAATCACCTATCCTGTGAATCCTCAGATTTAAGTTTCTCGGGAGAACATCAGAGTCAACATCATACCCTCCTTCAGTAGATATTGATGTGTCAAAATCCAATTCCAGCTCTTCATCATATTCAGAGTCTTCTCTTTCAGGTCCATCTATTGAAGCATCATTGTCTCCTTCGGAATGATAGATTATGTCACTCAAAGAAAGCACTCTTCCTGCCCGATAGCTTGCCTTGGTTCCTCTATCACTCTCTGTGTTAGCTTTGTCAGCTTCAGCTATAAGTCAAGGGCACAATATTACATATCTAGAGGTGTACCTAATGAAAAGTTACCGCTAGCAAACAGATCCCACACCATGAGAAGTGAAGTTAGCAATTCTAGTGAAGAATGGACTTCAAAAGGATTTCCCACTCCATTTATAGACATATATTTTATTTAAGTTTTCATAATTGCATTGACTATTGATGGAGCAGTTTGATATCTTAAGCTTGGAGATAAAATTCAAAACAGAGTCACTTTGAAGTACTAAAAAATGTTCAAGATATCAACAAGAACAACAAGTATTGCGAACCTGCAGCAACATTCTTCTTAATACTCTCCACCCTCTCCATAATTTCAGAATCAGTTGGAGCTAGAGACCGGGATGTAATAGCAAATTCCAACGCTTCCTTATGTTTTTCCAACTGCAATGACCAAAAAACCAGAGCCATCAACATAAGACCCAGACGTAGCATACAGTAAATTCTCTTCAAAATGCAGCACGGATCCTATGTGATCAAGTATAAGTCAAAGGTCACACTAAGTCAATCGTTACGACAGATCAACCCATGTAACAGTCAGAAAAGTCAAGTCAGAAAACGTATATGACATGGGACGTCAGTCGTGGAATCTTGCCGACAAGACAGTTGCAGATCAAATCTGACCAATTCCACGTCTAGAAATTGTTCTAAAATTATTGGATTAGTTAAAGACTGTTAGGCATCAGACTGCCATTCAGTTACCAAGAGAAGTGCTTCAGCCATGCAAATCAGTGCCCTGGTTGAAGAAGGATTAATAATCAGAGCTCTATGACAGTCCCTGATAGCCATGTGCGAGTCACTTTTCCACCTCCGCTGTAAGAAAGAATAAAAAAGATTAACTGATAGAGGAAAGCAGCTAGAGCAAATGAAGCTGGATAATAAATTCCAACCTTGAGCAACAAGGATGCACGTATACACAAACACTCCTGCATGAGAGTTGGCCCAATTTCATGACCATGGCCATCCAAAACTTCATTACAAGCCTCAATTCCATAATAATAATCTGTGTCTGTTTTTAATGATTTTTCAGCAATCTGAACTAATTTCTTGCACCTATCAAGCTTAAATAGAGAAACACAACCATGCATCAGCACTCAAAATTATGAGCTCGCATATCAACATAAAGCAGAAAAGAGTGCATACTCCTGCTTTATTTGTCCGAGGAAAACCATTTGAGGATACACCAGAACGAGATGAATGCATTTCTACTCCACGTAGTAGGGGACTCGAGCTGATACGATTCGAGACATCCCCCGAAGAATACCTCATTGTACTCCCAGAATCTGTTGAAAAAGAAACTATTAGTGCGCAGTGATAATAGTTTCAGACATCATGGCAGTCTGATTCTAGATTAGATAGAAAATATTACCTTTACATAAATTCTAATTCGAAATTTGAAGTAGCTTAGAAAAACATAGCATATAGTAGTACACCATACAAAATGGATATATAAAGGGTAAATTAAAAACACCTATAAATTACCAAAAAAAAACTCTTGCTTGCAGAATTACATTTACCCCCTCAAACTGGAGTCAGAAGTTTTAATAAAAATGGTTAAATGTAGACCTCATTTTCTCTGATAGCATTTTAGATAGAAACATAGTTGAGGCCACGAATAGTGGTTCAATAGATGATGAAGAAAGGGAACACTGAAAATGAAGAGACAATATATACCAAGATTGACGTCCATCAGGTAAACATGCTCCCCACTATAACTAAGAAGAACCTCCTCTCCATTAGGACTAAAAGTGACGTGAGTGAGATGCAAGCTAGAACGACCCTGGCAAGAAAGATGCGACCATAAAATTGCCACAAGTCAGCTTTTGCTCCAGAACTCACAGAATAAATTCATAACAGAGACACGTCACCAAATCTACAATGTATATATATATTATATATACATATATATCATTATATTGTATCATGGACTTACAAGGTCAGAGAGATGCATCGGGCAAAAGTAGTTCACACAAGGAGGTGGCTGCAACTTGTACTGACTAGATGATAGTGGGGGCAGCATTCGTCTGTCATACAAACGCGCAAATGTATCACTGCAATCATTAAGCACAGTAATTAGTGGATGCACCATAATAATAGGATACAACTGAAGTAACTATAAGGTACCTGCCACCAACAAGAAGTAAATGAGGCCTAGTGGAACTGATATCGAAAGACTTCAGAGCAAGGGACTGCTTAGGAGGATCTGCTAATGATTTCTTAGCTCCCAAACGCAAATCAAGCTGCAATCAAGTAGTACGCATGGCCAAATTAAAAAGTGGCAAAAGAAGATATGTTGGGAATGTCTGTTGCAAACAAAACTGACAGGAAGAATATCCTAGGTTTCAGTTTTTCGGCATTTGAAACAAGACTTCCAACTTTTTTATTTTCCAAATTTTATTCAAGAAAGCGAGTGATTTGCTGTGGGAAGAACAAGAAGGGGAAAAACAAGTATGCAAGGAGTAAGAACTCACAAGGATATTGCGACATTCTTGATGAGAGGACCCCGCAGGAGGACAAGAATCACCCTCACGGAAATCATGCTGCCTCAATGTCCCGTCTTCACTGGCACTCCAGACCACATTAGGGTTTCCGACCTCCACCTAGAACAAGAAACATATATTTACAAGCAGCGAACACATTGACAACATATAATCAATTACGAGACAGAACAAGGAGTTCACATTAAAAATAATATATAAAAAAATAAAGAAGTAGCTTACAGCTAATTTTTTAACCCTCCTTGTATGACACTGAAACACTGCTGACGGGCTGATAGCTCTCTCCTCCAGTCCACTCTTCCTCAAACGGGACAAATTGAAGAGGCGCACCTACGATGAACAGATATGACCTTAACTAAGGAATTATAAACCACTCAAAGTGAAAAGTTCGCACAAATTCATAATCTGATAACATGAATACCTTACCTCGGCATCAGCCGCCCCAGAAACAACTAGTTCATCTGAAGTTTCAGGGACGAATTTTGCACAGAAAATGTTAGCAGAATGACCAGTCTCAATGGATTGCATAAGTTTCCGGCTAGAATAGGACCAAATATTAAGCTGCAACAGATGCAACATTTCTAATTTTCAATAATAGGTAAACATTGATACAGTTATATCAATAAGTCAGGTTCATGGGCCACCAGAATAAAAAAATAGCCATGGAACAAAACTATTCATAAGAACAAAGTGATCACGTCAATAGTAGCAATTGTCATTATTACATCTTCCTTGAAACATAAAGAAATATAACACACACAACTAGGTCAGCATTAAGAAAAACCACTCTCATGTATATGTTGTAATTTGAAGTATCGCCTTTATGCACACAAAAATAAGTATGTTACCGTACTAGTAATCTTCAACCTTCATATATAAAATACAAGACCAGGCAACCACTGTAATAACCTCATATATTTGAGTGAATATGCATATAAGGTTATGTTCATCACTAATTCACTTAAATAGTATACTCATGTATAATTAGACTAGGCAACCACTGTAATAAACTCATATGTTTGGGTGAATATGCATATAAGGTTATAGTATATATTCGTACTTGTGTGTCATCAGATCCTGATATCAACAGTGAACCTTCTGAATTCCAAGCTATAGTATTCACACATCCACGGTGACCCTGTAAAACAAAAACGTCCCGGAAAAAAGGACATTCAGATTGTGGCAGGTAACCAACAACGAAATCGAAGAGCGGATACAAGGATGCTGATTTCAAGCAATGCCATTAAAGTACACATAAGCAACTCAATATGGCAGAAACTACAGACCTCAGTAACTATTTCTAACAACAAAAAAATACCAAAAAAACATTTATGAAGGGATAAAATCCATTGAATGAAGTGGCCTCTAAGTACAAGGAAAATGCATATACATTACCTCCAGTTCTCTTTCCAGGGTCAGCCTTCGCACAAGTGAGGAGTGCATTTGGAGATCGTTATTAAAATCCTGAAAATGAAAGGACGGAAAAGTAAGTGCTCTAAAATCTCAAGCCAATAATATTGAAGTATGATAACAAATTATCGTAGTAGTCCCACAGAGAAGTAATCAACAGTAGTATTAAAAAAAAAAGTCCAATGCAAAGGTTCTATTATTGCTCGATGCATCAAATAAGACTTAAAATTAGATGATTTCTAACGGTTTGAGAAAATAATCTGCAAATCCCCATATCCACCTGCCCAAGTGCATAACCATTAACATCATCGGGCCATCCCACCAAGTGCTACTTCCCTAAATGGAACGCTTTAGAAATGTATACATTTTCCCAGCACAACATTGAGCATCATCACATATTCAAAAAAAAAAAAAAAAAAAAACAATCAAACCAGACATTATTATTATGTTGCCTTCATTCTCGCATTCCCCACCCCCAATAATTTATGCAAAACGTACTGTTATCAGAGGAAACCCCTAAGTGACACAAATATATACATATATCGCCCAGTAATCATAACTCACAACTCTAGCGAAATTCGTAAAATCATAGTAAAACGCAATCAAACAAAGAATATACGAAACAAAACCATTCTGAAATCCATTACAAAAAAAATAAAAAATAAAAAAAAACAACCGAATAAAATTGATGATCGAGGGAGAGAATAGAAACAGACATGGTGAGCGCGGAGAGTGCGGCTGTTAATCAAGTCAGTGATGTTGCCGTCGTGAAAGCAGATGGAGTAGTCCATCTCAGACAAACCAGCGGCGAAGATCGTCGGTTCTCAGCTCACTATCGTACGCCAGTTGGAATTTCTCAATTTTTTCACGAACAATACCCTCGTCTGTATGCGCTATAGATACATACATTGTGTGTATATATATATGTACAACTGAGACACGTGTAGACAACTTGAAGCCGCTTTGTTGCTCACTCAGCCCATCAAATTTCCGATTACGCACAGTCAGCTGATTCGTTCCCAAATCCCATTGATTGATATAGTAATTAATTTGGCCTATATTAAACCGGACCGAACACAAAACAGGACAAGGTATAACCCGGGTTAAATCCGAGTTTTTATTTTTATTTTTTTAATTACTTTATTAATTTTAATATTTCTAAATATATATTTTCTAATGAAATGCTATTTACGGTTAGAAAATTGATATTTGCGGTTTATAACAAAACCTCCAAAACTTTTCAAGAAAATCCAAAAACCCCCAAACTGCAAATAGCAAAAAAAAAAAAAAAATTCGAAAATTCGAAATCAAGCTTGAAGAAGGGTTCGGCTTCGATTTTTTTATGTAATTTCGACTCTTTTATGTGAAATATGCATTGAGTAGGCCGATTACGGAACCAATTTCATGTTAAAAAACCCTATAAATCGATTTGTAAGACTTTTTTTTTCCGCAAAAACATGTTGGAACGCTTCCCGGGCGTTCGTACACGCCTTGGGCGCCCATCTTGGGCGTTCAATTAAAAGAAAAAAAAAATTTGCACTAGACGCCCAACTTGGGCGTACACTGCATGAATGCGCGCCCAAGTTGCACTTTTACGCATTTTAGGGGGGTTTTGGATTTTTTTAGGAAGTTTTGGGGTTTTAGAGAGATAAAATATTTTTTGTTATAAACCGCAAATAGCAATTTTCAAACAGCAAATAGCAAGTCCCGTTTTCTATATATCCTTTTTTTTTAACCCTTTCTCCCTCCTCTTTCCACCTTCACTTCCCTCTTCACTGCACCATCTTCTTCTTTTTCCTCCCTAGTCCCTACATATGCAACCATACACACCCTTTTCCGGCAATCCACGATCACCGCCAACGCAATGTTTTAGATGAAACCCGGTTCATTGGCTGGTTTCCGGGTTAACCGGGTGCGGCCGGTCGAACCAGGTTATATACAATTGGGGGTTTTAATTTACCCGGTTTTAGTTGTCAGATCGGACATGTTATCACCAGAGCTAAGTCACCGGCGAGGTTTGGCACCGGAGTGGTGGCAGATAGGCTTTCGCGTAACTTTCCTCTCCCTTCAACTTGTTTCGAATAAAAGCTCTTGTTTTCTTTTCTATGCAATATGATATATAAATATGTAGGGGATTATATGCAACATGATTTTAGTTTCACGAAAAATAAATAAATTAATTCCATCAATGATATAAATTCCATCTAAAAATCTCTAAATACATAAATAGCTTATAACAAATCAGACAAAAAAATTATTTCATATTTGTCAACGTTGGAATAAACCTATACAACAGAACCAAAACATCTTCTCCAAACAAGCCCTTCATCAATTTTGCTCACCGCCATTCTTCATTACCCGAACTTCGTATTACCTTGTAGCATTCTACACAGCACAAAAGAATCTTTATTTGTCAATTCAAATGTGAGAATGCTGACATCATCATCTGGAAAATGTTCTCGGAGGGAATTTAGACTGATCTTTTTCCCCCGTTGGAAAGCTCTCGGATTTTCCCTTTTCGAGATTCGGAGGCACTTCCGATTTCCCTTCTTTATCGAGATTTTGTTGCGTTTGTCCGTTCGCGCTGTGAGCTAGTTCTTTGTTCTCGGGTTCCGAGGTTGTTTTCTTTGATGATGATTGTTTGTCTTTGGAGAGTTTATGATGTTTGTTGTCTGAGTTTTCGACCGAGGACTGGCTATTGTGGTCCGATGATTTTGTACCTTGTTCGAGGTTTTGCACAGGCTGAGACGAACTCCTGCCTTTGTCCAAATTATGGAGCTCGGACGCAATTTGTGAGCGTCGTTCCTTTAAGAAGTTGAGTCTGTTTGTCAGCTTTGACAGAGCAGAAGTGGTTGAATTAGAGACCTGGCATTTTCACCAAAATCAAGAATATCAAAATCGTGTTCTTTTTTATGAAATTCCGCTTAGTAGAATTTAAACGACATTTAACATTTCAAATCGAGAAAATACTACCTCGCCCCTTGTGCTCGACTTTCTAGACATGGAACTGATGGGCTTATTCGTGCTCGTCTCCACAGCTCCAGTGGTGGCTTTTGATTGTGTACCATCTGGTTGTAGGATCAGAGGCGCAGATATATTTAAAACCTCGTGTTTCTTATCTTTGTCACTCCGATAAGATTCGTGCTGTACACGGATTCATTAACCAAAAAAAAAAAAAGGACGATGAGGTATGACTGATAAAAAATAGTAGAACATACTAATTATATCTTCAAACTTCAAAACGAACTCTAGCTATCTTTTTCAAAGTTAAAACGATAAAAATGCTACTGATTATCAACTGAAAGAAGTCGGAGAATCAATCGACGTAAATTCGACGGAACTGAAATGGGTATACCTTACTTCTTGAAAAACTCTCGGAAGCACTTGAGATGGCTACTCTTCCATCTATATGTTTCTCTTTCCTGAATCCACAATGAAAGAAAAAGAAAACACACTAACATCTTGAAAACTCAGAAGTGCACAAACACTTGAAAAAATTAAAACAAAAAAATGAAAAATAAAATAAAAGTCTTGTTTGGTATTTTCTCTCAAAGGTAGAGAAGAATATTAAAGTATGTGCATCGTTGCAAAGGGAGGGAGGGAATTTCCAATTAAGGTAAACATCGAATATTTTTTAGTAATCTAGCCTATCTTGGAGATAGCTTAAACGTAGGCAGACATAATTAGAAAATTATATTCTATCACGTTGATAGATGTCTTATATTTTTCCGGTTAGTCATGCAAGAGTTAGGGGAAACACAAAATAACAAGTACGTAAGGAAGAAAAGTTATTCTCACGACTTCGTTTGATGATTTGGATTCTGATGAAGCTGGTTGACTCTATCGTGTACAATCCTGGAATTTTGTTCACGCTGTTGATTAATCTGAAATTGAAGATCATCGGTCTTCTTCTTTAAATTTATAACATCTGCCTCCGCTTGAGCAATTTCCTCGAGATCTGCCTTCATCTACAGAACCGGAAAGTTGGTTATTTATTAACCGAAAATTACATCGTCAGATGACAGCGAGGCACTCTACCTTTTCGTCAACAAGAGAAGAAACGGATATAGGTAATTCTGTTACTTTGAGTCCAGCTTCAAGTGCCGCCCTCAAATCCATCTCCTTCTGTAACTGCTCTTGCAGTTTTGCCACCTACAGTGCAATTTCCACTTGAGTCTACTTTTATGTTAAATATCATTTGAACTGATATTCAGACAAGACAAAGAAGGGTTTCGAAATATTCATTAAAGTTCTTACATCTTTCTCGAGAGCTATGCGACATTCATGCAGATCATGCTTCCGCTTCTCAAGTTTTTCTTGCAGATGTGAGTTAGCCGAAGCCTGTTATTGAATTCAAGAGAATTACATAAGCCAGAACAAAAAACTAATTCAGACTTCAGAATATAAATAAACGCTTAAAGCTCTACCTCACTAGAAATTTTGGTCTGAAGATCGGTTTTAATACCCTCGAGCTTATTGATTTCATCCCTAATAACAAAGCCAACTTAGTGTGATAACCATGTGGAACAAATTTTAGTTAAGACAAAGGAAAATGCTGCATAACAAAAAAATCCTACAGCAATTAGTGTCATCTGAGTTTACAAACTTATCATGTTAAAGCAGCCAAAAGGAACAATTGATTTTTTTTAATAAATTTTTGACGTAAATGAAAGAACGTTATAAAAGGTATTCACACTAAGAAGAAATTTATGATTGTTGTAATTGTTACGTAATAACTCAATTGAGCTAAAATGTCATCGAAAAGTTGCAAGTAGAGCAATTATTTGCTGATGGAAGATCATAACTATAGCAATACTTTAATTCAGACATATTAAACAAACACAACTTAATGGTTTAGAATTTGATTGGTGGTGAAATATTTCACTTACTCCTCTTCAAACTGAACATCAATGGATTCCATGGAAAGATTCTTCTTTGCCTGAACTCAAACCAGATCAAGCGAGTTTCGTAAAATGTCCAAAAACGTAAAAGTTTCATGATCAGTTAAATTGTTTCAGAATATGGATCTGTGTATACGTATAACTGTTAATCGAAGAAAAAAAATGATATACTCACAGGAGTACGTCCCCAAACAGTGGGTCTCCGAGCACTGCGCGCAGCTGCATATGACATTTCAGAAGACAATTGAAGTGCTGATTCTTCAACAGGATCAATCTCTAATTCAGAGTAATCTGATTGCATTTTTGCATCATTGGAACTCGGAGAATCGTCACTTCTTCTCCTACTATCATGTCGAAGAAATGAAGTTTGAGGTGGGGCCGATGGCAAATTTTGGCTGGTTTCAATAACATCATCCTTTTTAGGAGAGTTGGACCCTGAACTACAACTTCGAGAGACCTGCATTTTCAGCAGAATGTGTAAGAAAATATTCTCGAGGAAGGTGAAGGTTCTTATGTGGTTGACTATGTTGCTAACTATAATTATGCTGCACTGTTGTATAAGAAGGTGTAGATAAAATAAATTAAAACCTTTTTGATCAATTTTTTGTCACCAGTCTCACTAATCGTTGGGCTTGATTCATGCTCAAGATCTTCTTCTACATCAGAACCAGATTCTTCGGTCACATCATCTTCATCATCATCATCATCATCATCATCATCGTCCTCATCAAAGCTCTCATCATCATCATCTGTAATTTCCTCGCTCTCACTTCCACTCTCTTCTGAATCAGTGTAGGGTTCATGAGTTACAGCACCATCCTGGAAACAATTAATTATATGGGTTAATTTATAAAAACATTAATAATTAAAAAAACGAAAAAAACAGAAATCACTGATACTACATTGTTGCACATGGATAACAGGATTATGCAAAGAAGATGACAAAAATAGCGAGTCAAAAAATTTGAAGCATACCCCAAATATATTCCCATATTCCTCAAGTAAAGTAATAACGATGGCTTGAGCATTATTAGCAGCAGCAGCTGCTTGCAAAAGTTGAACAGAGCCATCACCTCCCACATCAAGACCATTATCTAGATCACAGTCACCGGCAAGAAGAGGGCGAAGAAGTAAGGGAGACATGCAAGCTGCTACAGCTGATACACTCATTCGGTTCACTGCCTTGTTAGAAGCCACTGCTTGCATTGTCATAAGAATTCTGATAGAGGCGCAAACAAAATGGAAATTCAACAGACTTAAAAACAAACATATAAACTTGAAATGAAAAGTGAAGCAGGCTTTGGTAAGCAAATATTTATTAAAAAAGAATTACTAAAGAATATTAGTTTCGTAAATAAAAAGATGTAAAAGAACATTGAAATGTGACAGGGATTTAGGACTACCTCTGTAACAAGCGACGATTTGGCTCCGGAAATGTTTCACACACTGCTGTACGCATAGCATTTACTCTCATGCTACGTTCAGTTCCTAATCATCACCATAAATTGCCCACATTAAAATCTAAATGATAAGGGGGATCCAAATGTAGCGACTTTATATTGCTATTCAAAATCCCACAAAAGCCTGAATATCTAGCTTAATCTTCCCCAATTGTTGAAATTAGTATATTTTGCTATTTTTCGGCAACTTATTAAAGTAATATCTCTGTTACAGTAATATAAATACTGGTTATCCAAACCAATTTAGTTGTATCACACAGATAGTACAAAGTTCTGATCTATCAATAGTCTCTCTAAATAGATAGAAATGTTTTTATTATGCAATACACACAGGAGAAACAGAGGTAATAAACCTGCTATTTACTTTTGTCTTCAAGGTAAGTTATCCAGTTACATCTCAGAACTACAAACTTTAAAATTTCAGGTTTAAAAATGGAAGATAGCTTGAAAGAAGATTCAAAATACTAGGATTTATTTATTAAAAAAAAACTAAATACTGAAACGACAAACTTACGGTAAGATTCAAGGAGAGCCTTGCAGCAAGAAGCAGGAACTGGTGGTGAAGGCAACTCCCGAAGAACATACTGGTCATGAACCACAAAAGAAAGTATTGAATTGAACTACATCAGAAAACTCCAAAATCAAATGTTTGTACACCATTATGAAATACCTTTATACAGTCAGCTATTACATGTGCATCCTCATCGGGTGAAAACTCATTTTTTCCTGTTTTTTTTATTGAAAAGGTATCATTTAGTATTTTGATAAATACCTTATGCAGAATTAATGAAATATATAACTGCAAGCTTCAGAAGATGCACTGTTTCACATTATATCGCATAATAACAAGGAGATGTCATATAACTGTTAAAAGTATGCACTGCATTAGCATGACAGAGAAAGAGATAAATATTTCTGCGTAAGTGCCTCGTAAATATGTTATAATTCATCGAACAAAACAGGGAGATATTTAAGGCATCGCAAATCTTAAGTAGGTTCAGAAACTTTAGCCCAGATCTTTACTAGGGAAGAGAAATTCTCAATTTCTGTAAATTACTTTAAAAATGTAACATATATCATGAAACCTATGCATCAAAACAACCAACCAACCTTTTTCGTATTCGTGTATTCGACGTTCAACATCTTCAACATCAGCAGCTTGCCTCAAGATGCCTTCTGTTTTGACTCCTAGAAAACGACTTTTGCAGATCAATACCAACCAAAAGGGAAGTCATAATTCCACATAGTGTGAGTATATGAGTGAAAATAGGCATAGCATGTCTTAGCTTAGCGCATAGGAGAAGTGCGTATGGTTGCCTCATGCTAATCATTCTAACTTTAATTTTTAAAAGATAAATGCATGTAAGGATTTTCCCAAAAAGCTGTAACAATGTCATTAAAACACCGAAAACGTTAAATTTCCCCTTTATGACTTACGCCACCATAATCTAAAGTAAACTTCTCTTATCTTGTGTATGTTTGAAATGCATTACATATTAATTGGGAATAGTGCATTTCCCTTCAATGGTAAAACGAATAAAGGAAATTTTGTGTCAAGGATCATCTAGTGGAATATATGCCAAATGTAATTTACTCGAACGAGTTTAACATAGCATATTGTTCCATGCTTTCCATTTGAGCCACTGATTCAGAATGCAAGACATGCAAAATATGACTTGTGGCAGTTACTGTCTTTTCACTGATAGAATTAATTGTTATAAATAAATACCTTTTACGAAATTGAACTACTTTATTCAATGTTGCACTATAAGAAAATTCAGGCCAACATGAATATGTAAATAAACAGAGCATGAAACCACTTCTGAGTCCATTAGTACAATGAAAAGGAGGCTCACCGTGCTCTTCAAGAAACCTAAGAGCTTTTTCCAAAAAGGATGGAGCGCCGTCTATATCTTCCAGAGCAAGTAAAATTGGTCGGCCGATAACCAGGGATTTAACTGTTTGTCTGTCTTTGGCTAAAAGCAAATACAAAAATAGCAGAATAGTAAGATTCATATTTCATGCCCGACAGCCAAAAGCCGAAGCACAGAAGTAATAAGGTACTAAAGTTCAATTATATCCCCCGACCGAGCCCATAATCAACCCATAACACTCCACAAAAACATCAAATAAAAATAATATAAATGAAAACAAAAGTAAAGAAGTTAATCGACTGGTTGATATATATATATATATATATATATATATATATATATATATATATATATATATATATATATATATATATATATATATATATATAAAATGCATGCATCACATTAAAAAGAATAACCTACCACTATCTAATGGTATAATGTTTAACCTACATCACAAAATAATAACACATTGAGGTAGTGAGAGCTTACACAGTTCTAAAGAAGCATCAGCTGCATTGGACTGATCATTCCTGAATATACCCTTTTGTCCCACAACAAGAGCAGCATTAGGGGCATTCGCAAGGGCTTCCTCAAGCGCAGCCTTCCATTCATGCAAATCCTCAAGTGTTTCTGCCTGCGCCCATGTAAATTAGATGAGTGATGATTATGGTAGCAGAAAAACAACAGAGTGACGGTAAACTGAGCTTGAATTTTTTTTAAGAAGCTTAAAGCCAAAGCTAAAGTTTGGTCAAATAAATGCATACAGTTTTACCTTAAGTGTGAAAGCTCGACCGTCGCGACCATCAGTGAAGAGCACGGTGAGCAACTTCTTATCTTCTTTGACTACTACACTGTAAATGGATACAAAAAAGGAAAAAGTCAATATTCCTTGTGGCTGGGAAGTAAGGCAAATGTCCAAATTGATAGGCAACTAAAAACCAAAAGCATGACAACTAAAATAAAAAGTAATTAAAATAGTAAAAGCCAACCTGCCTGAACTGTTGAGATCAATGCCTCCAAGGGTTAAGTTTACTTCACTCCACTTTTGAGGGACAGCGCTCTTGAGGAAAATTTTTAAATAGACAACAGAAAATTTAACATTTGACGAGAAAATCTTATACAACGCATAAAGAGATAAAAAATAAATAAAAAAATGGAAAAGAAGCAACTCACCGGGTCACTTCTGTAGAAGACCAAGGAGGTTTGAGTTAAAATAAACCACCGTTTCTTCCATGATGTCCAGCCAATTCCTACATAGAGGAAAAAATATTGAGGAAAAATATTGGCCACTGTGAAGAAACACAGTTTTTCTCCTTATAAGTTATTTAGTAAGGATTATTTTGGAAACATAGAATGCTTCCTCGGTACCAACGCACTATATTATTATAGGTTTTGGTGCACTTCATACCACTTAAATCTAAACTCATTCAGCAAATAGAAGTATCATAACAAACAAATGTGAGGAAGGGACCAAGAAGGATGTTCACGCTTGGCGATTCGTCATTTGTTCTTTCTAGTAGAGAAAAGAGCAAATGGAATGGCAAACAAACCTTTCGATGATAAAAATAGTGGCCCGCTTTTAAAAACCTGCAAGATGACGTAAATGAGAGAACTAGAATAAGCTGATTGTTCCAAATATATAAAGCAAAAAAACAAAAGTTAGAAATAACCAGGAGTAAAATATCAATGCCCTAATATCAATCCTCACGCTTTGGTATCACTCACGTATAATTCATAATCCTCAAACGAGAAGAAGGCTTTACAATGTCAAAGACCTATTCCATAGTTAAACCAAGAGTGTTTTTATCTAGTTTTTGGTAAACATTCTTCCTAAGTTAACCCTCAACGGCCAACGCATAACGTGTGCTGCCTGAAGCAGCTATCACCTTTGAATATGTAGAAACCATCTTAATTAGTTCTTACGCAAATTTATCAACTATCTGTCACCACCTTGTAACATGTCCAAATTCATGATTCTATCTCGTATTTTGTCCGAAAAATTGAGCTTAAAGCCACATCTCTAAGCCTGACTAAAAAGTAATCTCCTGAGGCTATAGGCCTGCCATCCTGGGAATTGCAGGCATATGATTCAGACTAATGTAAACATTAACGCTTATCCTCCACAATGCAGAAATTTTCACACCTAGTCTTCTATTTCATATGCAGCAAAATTAAACCTCCGATTAATAGGGGGGGAAAACACGATACGCTAGAAAAACGAATTTAGATATGCAAAATTTTGAATGAAAAAATACCTTACTCCCGCCATGAAGAGCGGGGCCTGGTTGCGCAGCGGGTGGAGGAGGCGGCTCAGTTTTTCCGCCACCACCTTCCACCTGAAATTATCATGCACAAAATTCACATTTCCGCGATCATCATCGTCATCAACAAACAACCGTCAGATTTGGGAAGACGTACCTGCGAGGGATCCGCTGCTACATTCAGATTCGTCATCTCGCAAATTATGAACGGATTAAATTAATGGAACCCATGGAATCAGAATCTGCAAAAATGCATGATGAATCTTCAATCAAAGCTCAAATCTGATTCATATTCTCATTGATTTGCTTTAACGGCGTTCACCTTTTCTCCTTACATTAATCTAAGAAAATGCACAAATTCTGAGAAACCGGGTATTCGTCACAATCACGAGTGCGGAGGAAAAACATCATACAAATGCGGGTGTGTATGTGGAGAGAGAAAGAGAGAGAGGAGAGAGAAAAAAAAAAGAGGAGAGGGAAAGAGAGAGAGCTTTTTTTTTGTTTTTTTGTTTTTTTTCTGTATTTGTATTTTGGGTACGTACGGTATTGATTAGTTGCCTAATTTTAATATTTAACTTTCTTAATTACGTATTATTAATTAAATAAATAAATCTGCCATTAATTCAATTTTATTTTTGTAGATTTAATTTTTTAGAGTTATTACATTCGATCTAACGTATGATTAATTAGTGCTAATCACAAGCCGAATGTCCAGCGGAAGCAAACTCGGTACTCCCAAAAACAGCGGGTGTTTTTTGCATGCTTTGTGGCTTGTATTTATTAGACGGTTAGACTAATAAACTTTCTAATTATACATTTAATTAATGCAGCTTAATCTACTTTACTAATGGCTGTTAGATTCAGAACATTGATTAATCACCGTTTATCTTATCCTCCTTTCTAATTGAAATATTCAATAATTTTTGGCAAGATGGAATTAACGGTACGCATTACTTAATTTGAATTAACGGTATGCATTACTAAAGTATTGTTTAATATGATGATAAATTTACAATACAATTAAACCTTTTCTTTTCTTTTTTATTATTTACAGACTATTGCACTGATAAATCGATTGTTTTTTTTTTAAATAAAATATATGTAATAATAAACTTATCTGAATTGATTTCTGTCCGTCTGCATAAATAAATAAATAAATAAATAAAAATATCTTGAATTTCTACAGTATTATATTATATTGAGAAAATTGAATTGTTAGTGCAATCACCTTGGAATTGAGATAAATAAATACGCAAATTACATAATAGTAATAAATTGCGGCGGTACAAAAAAAAAATTATTATTATTATTATTATTATTATTATTTACAACACAAAGTGATGATTCATATGCAAAACAAAACATTCCCTTTTGCTGTAAAGTTGGCTGTTCAATGTTTTCACATAAATTAACAAATGCAGGCACACACACAACAACACAATGCACCTACATTGCAGCATACAACAATATCTTCAACCATATATAAGAATATATTTTTTAATCTGCACACCTTAACATAAACACATGAAATGACACTGCAATAATATCTTTACGATAATAATTTTACGAGTGATAATCCTGCAGTGCACCGAGTAGATTCTTCACTGCACTGTCATAGTACATGAATCCCATGAACCAGAACTCGTGACCGTCGACAGATATAATCTGGATATATTTTTCAGATGCATTTGTTTTGTTTGTTGAAGGATTAACTGCTTTCAGTTGATACAACGGGATAACCACCTGCACCCATAAATGACCAATAGTATTCAGTTTATTCGTTCACATAATACATACATATATATATAGATATAAATATCCAAATATCATGTTAATAATCCACACGATACCATAATTAATTTCTACAGATGTAACTGCAATCATATGAAGGAACTTGGTGGTAATTACGATAAATATAATCGTGTCCCTCCAATAGTGGAAAATAAATAATAACAAACAGACACGTGTTTGCAAAACATAGAAAAAAACAAGAATGAGTTCTGATTTGTATCATACCTTATAATAGCTCCAAGAAACCTCGTCACCCACTTTGTACGAAAGAGGACTATCGCTACAAAATGCTACTTTTGCAGACGACAAATATAGGACTCCCACAACGGGACCCACAGAAGTAGACAAGTAGCACCCGTAAGTCTTGAGGAGTTTCTCCTCTGGGATATTTTCAAATGTATTCTGAAAGACCTTTTCATATCCCCCTTCGGCCAAAACCTTGGTACTTTGTGCTATTCTTCCAACAGCAGCATCTGCCAGGCTTGGGCCCGTTTTCACTGATAAAAATAAATAAATTAACAACGGAAAACCCTTACCGTGTTACTGACATTCTCCGATTTTAGTTTTGTCTTAACAGTTATTTGGTCCAAAGCTAAACTGTAACCTATTTAGTTTCCAAGTGACATAGGATTCCTCAAACTAAGTGCCACGTCTGTCTCGTGGGTCGTTTTCAAAGTTAAAGCATATTTAAGGATTACCACAAGACGAAAAGGGTTTCGTTGTTTCCAATATGTGCAAAATTGTGTTCGATGCATGTTAAAGTGTTGTAAGAACTACAATCGGACCTTGAAATGACCCCAATTTGACCTTATGATATCCACAGATAACAAAATCGAATTACAGTCTATGAAATGGCCAGTGATAAAAAAACAAAAAAAAAAATTAAGTAACTAAAGAAATAACAAAATTGAATCACGCTCATATCACACGGCTTGCTTATTTACGGACTTACTCCTAAATAAGCCAATACTTACTAGAAAACGCATATGGTCCAATTTATGTTTGTTGCGGTTTTCGCCATTAAACCTTTGCAATTGATCGAGTATGAAAACCAAAACCCGTGTATCTAAAATTTAGAAACTCGAAACAAAGATCTGAATTCACAGAAACAGGAATTTTGTATCCTATCACACATCAGATTTCAAACACAATGTGTAATATTTGAGAACATTAATGTAACGAACTTCACATTTATGGCGATCAAAACACTATTAACAGGTACGCATCACACAGTTAATAGGAAGAATTGAAGGCAAAAAATGGAGCTCCTAAATTCACTAATTATCGAAGGAAACGAAAAGGATGAACTCACAGTGCTGCCACATGTTTCCGGCCAAGTCTTCAGCCGCCTTAGTGGCCTCTGAAGCCTTCTTACCCCATTTACCCAAAACATCCTTAACCTTGTCGACGTTATCTAATCACCCCGCAATCAAAATTACACAAACAACAAAAATATTAATAATTAAATCAGCCACAACTGATCATCGATAACGAAAAAAAGCAGGAAACGGAACCAAAATTAAAAAAAAAATAAAAAAATAGCATACTCTTCATGGAAGACTCCGTCACGGGATCGGCGGAGATATAGGGATTTGACTCGTTGGGCATGGTGGTGGCGGGGATCTGACCGGGGGTGAATCTCGGAGGCTCGCCGGCAACCGGAACTGACGTCGTGGTGGTGGTCCAGGTATTAGCGACTGGAGCGACGTCGTCTGGCTCGAGTTTCGGATAGGGAGCGTACCCCGCATGGTGGCCGCCACCGCTACCGCCGGCAACTGGTTTCGATTCTTTGGAGTGGGTTAGGGTTTCATCGGAGGGATTTGCTTTCGTATACGAGTTCATGATTATATTATTATTAATTATTGTGCAGACTTTTTTTTTCTTTTCTTTTTTTTTTTTCTTTTTTTTTTTTTTTTTTTTTTGAGAAGAATTATTATGCAGATTGCTGGTTGTTGAAAAGTGGGTTTGCGCCTTCAAAAAAAAAAAAAAAGAAAAGTGGGATTGCTTCGTTGCCGCTGATGTAACATTTTAATTACAATAATAATAAAAGAAAAATTGTTTGAATTGGTAAATTAAAAATTATATGAGGGTATTTTTGTCTTTCCAGGATAATTACATTTCTAGTAAAATTAACGTGGTTAAAATTACACTGTTCATGATAGTATTTGATTGTCTTGTATTTGAAATTTGTAATTATTAATTACTTGATTGTGTTAATCTATAATTATGATTGTATAATCATAAGGGTCGACAAAATTCGAAATTGGTAAGTTAAATATATGTTAATTAGGAATAATTGATTATTCTATGCTAATCGGACTCTTGGAGCTTGGAAAGGCCCATTACTTAATTATAGTTAATTCTATACTAATTGGACTATTGGAGCTTCGAAAGGCTTAATATTATTGGTTCTTGGACCCTATTAGTAAATAATCAATTATATAAAATTATAAATCATTTATATCCGAAAAATGCAAAAAATATAAAAATATTATTAAATGGAAATAACGTGTATTTCTAAAAAGAAATAATCATTTTATTCGGGAAGTTATAAGAAAAAATAAAAATTCATAATATATATTTAACGGAATATTCCATTTCATTTGAGTCCTATTTTATTTATTTATTTTGGAAATAGATATGTGTAAGACAAATAATAAAGAAAGAGAAAACAAATTTAAAAAGAAAATAAATAAAAAATAAAATTTGAGAGAAATAATAATAATAATAATAATAATAATAATATTATAAGCAAAGCTTGGCCTGGGTGGAAGAACCAAACAAACAACCACTCGAAAATATCGAAAGGTCAATCGAAGAACAAAGAGAATCTCATGTTTTCTCATCTCTTCGCGCAATCAGGCAATCTTCTCCAGCCGAAGATGGCCAGCATTTGCTAGATTTTAGGGCTACGACCACCGCAGGATCAACCTATTTACATACTCTCTCTCTCTCTCTCCTCTTTCTCTCTCACACAAACACGCGCGTAGAGAGAGAAATTTTCGATATGGCTTCCTCAATCTCAGCTGGACTCTCTCTGAAGCTGGGTCCACAAAGACGGCTCGCCGGCAAGGTACTGCATTCTTCTTCCTCGCATTCTCCATTCCACAACCCCTCCCTCGTCTCGTCGTACCCGTTCTCCGCCACCGGAGCGATCCATTTCCGCGGCCAGCGGGCGGCGCGTGATGCTCCACCACCCACGGCGATTTCCAATTCCGGCAACGACGTCGCGGTGGCGTCCAAGGCGGTAGGGCTGGAGAAGGATCCGCGTGAGCTGTGGAAAAGGTACGTGGACTGGCTTTACCAGCACAAGGAGCTGGGCCTGTACTTGGACGTCAGTCGGGTCGGGTTCACGGACGAGTTCCTTCAGGAAATGGAGCCCCGACTCCAGAAGGCCTTCAAGGATATGGAGGAGCTCGAGAAGGGGGCGATTGCTAACCCGGATGAGAGCAGAATGGTGGGGCACTATTGGTTGAGAAACCCCAAACTAGCTCCCAAAGCTGTGTTGACTCAGCAGATTGAGACTACATTGGACAAAATCTCCGAATTCGCTGCTCATGTCATCAGCGGTAAGGTCAGTTTGTTCACTTCGTTTTTCATTTTTTTTTTCTACTTTTGCTGTACGACAAGATATTTCATACTGTATAGAGGCGAATTTGTAAATCAATCATGGGAGAAAAAATATGATTCAACATTGATTGATTTAGCAAAGGCTCAAATGAGAATGAGGTTGCAATCTTACGCTGCAGATTAGGCCTCCTCTGAAAGATCGTTTTACGCAAATCCTCTCTATTGGAATTGGTGGTTCAGCTCTCGGGCCGCAGTTTGTTGCAGAGGCGTTGGCTCCTGACAATCCTCCTCTTAAGGTACTTGGGAACATCATTGGTGTAATAGACTTCTCTTGTTTTCATATTTTAGATTGAACTATGCTCCTTCTCTTATCATGTTGCCTCGATTCCCGTCTTGTTTAGTATCTGCATTGTAAAATATGTTGCCCTCGTATTAAAATTCGAGTGTATGTATCGATCGTTTGTTTTTTTGCATGTTTCATAGTATATATAATTGTATATTAATACCATGACACGTAACCTAAACTTTCAATTGTAAATATGTAACTGATTTCTACTATCCAGAATTTTGGCGCTCCGTGTATTTTTCACGCCGAGAGCTTATATTGACACTCCTGGTGTTTCGAATTCTGATATAATTTTCTATGCTCTGGTTCAATCCATATACTTAAGTTGACACTTGAAAATATTTCTGGGTCTTTTGCTTTATATTCTTGCTGTGAAATCTTAATAGTTAATACTATGTTTCTATAACATTTTCAGATCAGATTTATCGACAATACCGATCCTGCCGGGATTGATCATCAAATAGCACAACTCGGCAATGAGCTTGCGTCAACACTTGTAATAGTGGTTTCTAAGGTATATAGTTGAACGATTCCACTCTTCTGGTTAAGTCATTTCACAGTTAGCTCTACGTATCTTTTGCATATCATTTTTACCCTCCTTTGTTTCTGTTAGAGTGGAGGTACTCCCGAAACACGAAATGGTTTACTGGAAGTTCAAAAGGCTTTCCGTGAAGCTGGCCTGGAATTTTCAAAACAGGTCTAAGTCTCAGGTTCTTCTTTCTGCATTAGTTATTTTCCATCAAATTTCGGGGTTCTAATTGTATATGAATCATGGCAATAGTGATCTAGCAAAATATGTCCCCTTGTTGGATTACATCGATATTCTCTAGATTTTTTTTTGTTCAAATATAGAAACTGTTGTGACATTGTCCTTGGTACTGGTAAACAGGGTGTTGCTATTACACAAGATAATTCGTTACTTGATAATACAGCACGGATTGAGGGCTGGATAGCTAGATTTCCTATGTTTGACTGGGTGGGTGGTAGAACATCCGAAATGTCTGCAGTTGGTTTACTAGCAGCTGCACTTCAGGTTTTTATTTATTTATTATTATTTAATTCAGAAAAGTTTGACTGTTTTATTTATGCTGTTAATTTTCATGTAAGGACTCTGAATTTACATGATTCTCACTAACAGGGAATCAATATTAAAGAAATGCTTGCTGGGGCAGCAATGATGGATGAAGCCAACAGGACCAAAATAGTAAGACAACTCTTCCTTCTTTCTGAAGAAGCATGTCTGTTAAGTGGTATTAACGATTGTTATAATTTGATATCTTATGTTCACAATAGTTCATATACCGCATTATTATTCAATCTAATGGCAGTTTCTTATATTACGATGTATATAAATGTAGGTACTGTTATATTTGAAATAAATCATTGGTATAAATAGAGCTAACCTGTAATAATCATATGTTGTTCAGGTCAAGAATAATCCAGCAGCTTTGCTAGCTTTATGTTGGTATTGGGCGACCGGTGGAGTAGGATCCAAGGTTTGTGCTATTCAGATTAGACGAATCATAATATAGATATTCTTTTAAAATATTTCCTAAACTGACAAAAACTAAACTTCATTTTTTTGTGGCCACTGCAGGATATGGTTGTCCTTCCTTACAAGGACAGCCTTTTGTTGTTTAGTCGGTACTTACAGCAGCTAGTCATGGAATCTCTTGGAAAAGAGTTTGACCTAGATGGTAACAGGGTATGCTAAAATAACTCGACTTAGTAAACTTGTTTATTTTCTACATAGTAAACTTGATTAGTTTAAATATCTCGTTCTTGGCATCTTCGTTTATCTGCAGGTAAATCAAGGATTAACTGTATATGGAAACAAAGGGAGCACTGACCAACATGCGTATGTGTTTTATTCACGTCTCTGATTTTTGATTGACACAATCAGATTTGTGCTGCATCTATCTGATAATCTCTCTCTCTCTTCAGCTACATTCAACAGCTAAGAGATGGAGTCCACAACTTTTTCGCGACATTCATTGAAGTACTACGAGATAGGCCACCCGGTCATGATTGGGAGCTTGAGCCAGGTGTCACCTCCGGTGACTATCTGTTTGGATTTTTACAGGTTAGTATATTTTTGACCTATCAGCTCTTTCCAGTAACAGTTCCCTCCACCACAAAATAAAAAGGATTTGGTCAAAATTGCTGTGCATTTGGATCCTTACCTTCTAGTGATAGATGTTTTTGATAAAATTGGAAAGTTACATAATTGTTTATTTGCTTACTTTAGTTGCTATACAAATAAAATTGTTTGGTGCTTCCAAATTTTGATATACAGGGAACAAGATCTGCTTTATACGCCAATGACCGCGAGTCCATTACAGTCACAGTGGAAGAGGTAACACCAAAATCTGTTGGGGCTCTAGTTGCACTTTACGAGCGAGCAGTTGGGATATACGCCTCTTTGGTTAATATCAATGCCTATCACCAACCTGGTAAAATGTCCATCTTATCCTCGTGCATATTTCATGGTCATATAATCAGTAATTTTTTTTATTTTTTTTTATTTTTTTCAAATAATCTGTTATTGCTGAGGCTTGTCATTCATTCATGTACTGTTTTTGGATTCATAAATGGCTTTTGACAAAAAAAAAATTGCAGGAGTTGAAGCTGGCAAAAAAGCAGCAATAGAAGTTTTAGCTCTTCAAAAACGTGTTCTTGCAGTGCTGAACGAGGCGAGGTATTCTTACTCGCTAGATAACTTATAGGATCCCTCTGCTTACAGTTACAACCTATTCTAATTAATTAAACAAAAGAACCTACGATAGGAGGCCTCTTTAGTTATGATAAAGGAAAAAAAAAAGGTGTTAGATTAATTCATTTTTCCCTGCGATCTTGTGCCTTATTGTAGCTGTAAAGATCCAGTTGAGCCATTAACACTTGAAGAAATAGCCGATCGTTGCCATTCCCCCAATGATGTAAGCTATCATCAAACTCCATTTTATCACCCTCAATAACTACCTCCAATTTCGTTTTATACGTTTTTTTTTAAATATTTTATTAAACACCATTTGAATTTTGGTTGGCAGATTGAAATGATCTATAAGATTATTGCTCACATGGCTGCAAATGATAGAGCTCTAATCGCTGAAGGCAGTTGTGGGTCCCCACGAAGTGTTAAGGTTTACTTAGGGGAGTGCAATGTCGGTGAGATGTATGATTGAAGACATCATCCGTTTTCCATCAAGTTGTTTTTCAACATTTTTGGTACGAGGTTTCTTTTAGACCACAAAAAGACAGAAGGTGAATTTTGTGGCTTTTAGTGACAATAAATGGATGGTTTATTTTATCAAGAAAAAAGAAAATTGAAAATAAGAGTTTTCTTCAAACCTGCACCTGTGTGTTGTATTTGAGAACCAAAATTTTAGGAACAATATTTTACATTCCATTTTGTTTTCATGTTTTTTAGTAAAGAATAATATGTTTTTTAGGGCAAATTATGGTCACCCAGAGGTAAGATCAAATTACGAAAACCCTCATCTTGTTTTGGCAATCAGAACCACATTACCTAAGGGTTCTTTCACTTTTTTTTTTCTTTTAAAATTTAATCTTCCCTTGGGTTGGCCATAATTTGCCATTTTTTTACTTTCCTACAATAGTACGAACAATATCTTTCATTCCATTTTTTACTTAAGAAAAGAATGATTTTTCTTTTTTTGTAAAGTACCAACTACCAACTCCTAACTCATCTGTTCATAGAATTAGAATAATTCATTTTGTAAGCACTCAATTTTTTTCAACCAGAAAGAATTTAATTATATGGTTATAACACTAGGGAGGTCGGTTTAATACTACGGTAAATTTAAAGATAGATTGAAGTTTCCGCAAAGGAAGCTTGGCAGCTTAAGTTTCGTTGCAAAAGTCCACGTATAGTTTATGGCTCATTGACCTAAAAGATACACAATTACTTACAACACTCTACAATTCACAAAGTTGAAGATTGAAATGGCATCCTATAATAACTGCCAGATTTGTTTTCATCTTTTCTTTTTTCGTTTTACCTTGTGTACATCTAATCTACCTTATACATTTTATAAGTATCTAGTTGAAGAACCTCCCTCTCAGCTCTAGGACCTTCCATATCGAGATATGAAGACCAATCGACTACAGATTTTAGAGGCAGAAAAAAAATGAGCAATGGAGCGCCTCTGTGCATAAGTCGCTAGATCAAAGCACCAAAATGCCAGAGCAAAACATATCGAGCGACCAATAGCAAGTGTTGTGTCTTGCATCTGAGACAGAAAAAAGTTGGTCAAAACAAATTGATAAGAGTAATTCCACCACTGCAACTAGTAAAATTGCAGAGCAAGACAAATCACCTTGTTTACTTCTATCTCCATGCTAAATAAAACCAAGGACCCTTTTTAGTTACTGCACAAGCCTCATGGAAAAAGAACCATTCATAACGATTTCTGGAAAGAAAGTATGGTACTTTTTTTTAGGGAATCTTGTAATATATGCAATCATAAATTTATTATCCTAAAACACTTGAAATAGTTTGGAAAATATGGTAATAATTAAGTGGAGAGGTAAGAATAGTTAACCCTTTCACTTTAAACCTGCAAAGCATGTGCTTTGATGATATTAACAACTGACAAACTGGTTCATTAGTAAGTTTCTTAACACAGATATTTAGTCTTCTGAACATATATATATATATATATATATATATATCACATACCTCAAACTAGGAAGACTCCTTCAACTTCAATATCTGCTGTCAACTATAATCTGTCACGTCATATGTGTTTTCGTTTTGGAGTTTTTCTGACCACCAGTCTTACGAAGTTGAGGATTTTCAATGGAATACAATAGAAGGCTTCCATCTCTAGTCCCAGCTATAAAGCATTCTTCAGGGGTCACAGTCAGTGAACTAATTGATTTTCCAGTCCCAGTATATTTTATTAATATTTCAAGGGTGTTCATCGAGCGTACGACTATTTGCCCCTGGTCTCCTGCGCAAACTAGAAAGTCGCCACAGGTACTCAGTTCAAGGCAGCTAAGGCGGCCATTGCAGTCAGCACTTGTAATGTGCCTTCCATTAATAGAATAAAGGTGCAAACTAAGATCATCTGCGTATAGGACAATTCTGCCATGACGAGATACAATAAGCTTGGACAACGGTCTGCCATGAGGATGCCGAAGAGATCTTACGTATCTACCTTCCTTTAAAGTATGGAAAATACAAGTGCCATCTTTCGAACCGCTTATCACTATATCAAGCTCAGTACTTGCATATAAGCATGTGATGATGTCATCATGTCCACAAAGAATATGGAATGGAGTTTCGGCGACAACAGAGTCCTTCCAAGGAATCTCTGTCCGATTATTTCGAGATCTTTTTTCGGGGGCTCTAACACGAAGAATTTCCCAAACCATAACAGTGGTGTCGTAGCCTCCAGTAGCCAGTATGCTTCCATCAGTTGTAACTGCAAAATCATGAGTAGATTTCTCTAGTGTCAAATCCATGAATTTTGTAAGTAAAGGACGGTCAAGCAAAAGTTATACTGACGTCGTAGGGACAAGCATCGCGAAAACCAAATGTTCGTTCTAAAAGAACTATAGTTTTGTTGAGTAAAATGGCAAGTTTCTTGAAAAATGGTCCAACTTATGCCAGATGACAATATTATGTTCTCTTATCAAAGAATTGTCTAAAATTGGCTGACATAGAAGGCCGATGTTTTAAGAAGAACTAAGCTCTGATAGGATTATCTAATAGTTATAGAGCTCTAAATACCTGCAATGCAGCTCACTACGTCTTTATGATGTCTAACACTCTGCACCATTCTACCATCACTGAGGGACATGACCTGGAAACTATTTTCCCAGTTGCCACAGGAAAGGAGGAAGTTCTCAGATGGTGTTTGCAAGGTGGCAAAGCATTGTGCTCCAATCTCAAAATTGTCAGCCAGAGGACTCCCAATTTTACAAGGAGAGAGCACGTCAGAACCAATCCCAAAAAACGGATCCTACAGGAAAATGCTAAGTCAATAAATATACATATATGCCTACATATGTTTATATTACTCGATAAACAAGCAACTGTAACATGGATCAACGACGTACCTGAGAGCCAGAGAATGTAAAGTTCCCACCAGAATGCAATTGAGTTGTCAACCACATCTTAACAGAAATTTCAAGGCTTTCACTCACAGTGACGATGTAGGAGTCCAAGACATTGACATAGAGCACCACAGAAGGAATATTGCTTATACTCGAAACAACAGAAGTTAAGTTGATGGAGCCAGGAGCAAATCGCAAAGGATGAGCAATTGGGATTGGTGGCCCCCTCCTTGGATGTTTCTTACGAAAAATTTGAATTGGTGTCTGACCGAAATTAGCAATCTGGTCTTCTATGGCTGACCTTTGCAAATCGTCATCCATGTTATCCAAGTTAACAGCACCTTCATAAGTTAAATAGTAAAAAATATTTGCAGCCTGCAGACCAGTGTTTCAAAGGTCAGGCCAATTCACAATTATTGGTATTCACATTGACTGAAGGGGAAATAATATTTTCTGCAAACCTCAACAGCTGGCTTTCCACGCTGTTTGTGACCAAACACCAAATCAATCCAGTGGTGAAGGTTTGAACTAACATACTCACTTTCAAGGGCCTCCCTGTTTTTATTTATGAATTCTTCAGGTGAGCCCTGCATAACATTTTGATGGGAGATCATTAAATGATACCGCGAACTTGTGAACAACATAGTAACATCCGTCACTTGGACATGAAACCAATTAGCTATAAAACAAAAGTCAATTTCTCGACAGCAATTATTCAAGACTCGTCACTTTTATCATCTTCATCACCTATCCTAACCCACAAATGGACCATCAAAAAAAGCTTTTCAAGTTTATCTAAGAACCACCAAACCTGGGTTTCAAGGACACCACCACAATTGGATAATGAGAATGGAATAAAGAAAGAACAAAGTTACATGCAAATTAAATATACCTTAGCCCAGCGGGGAAGGGAAACATCACCCAATGGTTCCCCATCTTGTTTCACTCCAAAATGATACGAGTTTGAATTCATTAGAAATTCTGGCATGTAAAAGAATTCAGGAATCAATTCCTTCACATCACTGGTATTGGAAAGACAGTTTTTGTAAGTGCCTTCAATGCTTTGGAAAAGTCGGTCTGCATGGTCAAATTTACCACCCTGATTGAAGATAGAGCAAGAAAACCTTTTGAGAATATAGCTGAATGATAAGTCCAGAAAAAACTAATAAGATGGGGCCGGATTAAATGAAAAACCTAAAGAACTGTCTATTAATGTAGAAGAGTTGATTTACTGTGGTGATTCGAAGATTCTGGTGGAAAATTTAGGTTTCAATTTAAGCACTAAGCTACGTCGTTTTGTAGAAGCCGCGTTAGTACTAATAAAAACCCGTAATAGCTTCTAGCGTTTTGTCTTCTGAAGAGCCCGTGAGGCATGAGCGGGTTATCTGCATTGCTGCCCAAGAAAACCTACTAAAAGAAGGAACCTCTAGCTTTAAATATGGAAAGTTGCTGAGTAATATGTAAGTTTTGGACTAGGTAGCTTGAGCTAGTGTAGGTAGCTGTAGAGATCTTCCCTAGTTATCACGTCTTTGATCTGTTTTGTAAGGCTTTAATTGCCATATCTTTTCATTCTATTACTATAAGAGCTCACAGCTCACTTTTGGAGCTTTGAATGAAGAATTCCTTTTCTGTTTTCTCTCAGTTATTTCATGTTCAACCCTAGTACATGACATTTAGGATGAATATCTTTGAATAATATTTTCTGTTAGCCATATTTTCAGATTTTCTTCTATTTAAGAGAAGAAATATCTCTTTGTAAAGTATGCAATGAATAACATTTTACTCTCTTCGTTTCTACTAAAATTCTGCAAGAACTATCAGGAGCTAACTATTAGAAGAAGAAAGTTAACTTCAGGTCCTACATAGAAAGCCTCTAATAGAATGCACGCGACACATACAGTCATTATGGACAATGCAGAACATACCTGCAAACTACGGTGGAGTGCAGTAAATGGCTCTAAGCGAAGTAGGTAAAATAGCACGATTCCCATGCTTGAGTAGTGCGAACCATAATAGAAACTGTTCAAAGCACATTGAATCATCATGAAGATGAAAATGATAAAGATTTTGTCTTGGAAATTAGAGTCATAAAATAAAACAACAAAAGGGGTCAAAATTACCTGGGAATATCAGGATCGATAAAGTTGTGATATCTATCCTCAAAAGCCTGAGTCATCGAAAAAGAATTTAAAAACAAATAGTATTTACAAGGAAAAAATTCTGAAATGAGAAAATAAAATTGCCCAACCTCAAACCGTTTTTGATCAAGAGCTCCAACGGGCTTTGATAAATCTCTGAAAGTCGACGACTTCTTCAAATCAAGAGTATCAGAGGAATAGTCCGCCAATACCCATGGAAACACAGGATACTGGGTTAAATCATTGTATGACCTTCCTGCAAGGGTGTTGAGGATCATCAGATACTCAAAGTTTGTAATCTCTCTTCTCCTCCATCTTTCTCTAGCAGTTTCTGCCATTTCTTGAGCTACGCGTCTATCAACAAATGAAATAACTCCAGTCTTGTCCTTCTGCCCCTTGAGGAATATAGTTTCATTTTTTGTTGCTACTATCAAGCATCCGACATCTTTTGCATCTTTTGGGGATGCAAAATCAAAAAATATTGGAGCCTCAGAGTTACTAAAAAAGATCTCTATTGCAGTATATCTCAGCAAATATCGAGTCCAATGCACAGCCTTAATCTACATCCAGAAACAGAAGTGTAGCAATCAGATTATATACACATAAGGTTCCCAAATACAAAAAAGTAAAAATTTCAAAGAAAGTTCTAGTACCTTAGATATCTTCCACCACCTATGATGCTTAATACTTTTGTGCTGCTTTTGATCATTATCTTGGTTAATTGAATTGGTATTCTGATTGACATTTGGTTTTTGAGAATCGAAAGTCAACGGCATGGGCCATTTTAGAAACTTCTGCCTATGAGGTACACCAACAGTTTCTGGCTTGCTGTGGTCAAAATTATCTGAAGAATAATAGGTTTTAAGAGCAGAAGATGACCCTCCACTACCTTCAACCAAAAACTCACCAAAGAAATGTAAGAAATTTTTCATAATTGCCAATCGCCCAGCTAATTTTCTCTTTGGTGTTACAAGAACACACGGGATTTCCCTGAGAACCTGAAAATAAATTAAAAATCTAGGATAACCTGAAGGTAAAAGATAGGGGCAATTATAAATGTTTTATGCTAGATGCTGATGTTCATATTCATACCTCACTGTTCTCTGACTCTGTCAATGAAGGATAATCTTCTCGGTCTTGCACAGTTTCCTGCTTGCTACTTTCTTTCGACACTTCAAGAGACTGCCCGTCTGAAGAATCCTCAATCTCTGGTATATTGGCCTGGCTAGATTGAGCGTCAATTTCACTTGTTTCTGTAGACCCATCATCAGTAATTCCTTGAATTCCTTTCAGTTGAAATTGTTTCATTTTCTCTAAAGTAAAAGCCCCAAAACCAAGTTTGCCATCATTGGTGGAAGGAAGTTCTCCAGCACTATTTATTATGGAGGGGTGGCAAAGCTTATCATTAAAATGATAATTTCTTCTTAACTTTTGCCTACGACGCCATGAATCCTCTGTTTTATCAAGTTTCCAGTGTGCAACCATGCTATTTGGGAAAGGATTAGCCGACCATGGACCCCTTTCATCAATCAGCAAGCGGAAAGTATGAATCCACTTTTCCTGTCGAAACAGCATTCAAGATTTATATATAACAAGAGCCAAGGTTCGAAATAGGTAATTAGTCAAAGACTAGATTCCTAAAATTACCGCAGCAATTTGCTGGTTCTCATCCAAAGATAGCTGGAACAAAGATCTTCTACTGAAATCAGAAGCAAGAATTGTATTCAAATTAATTTGTATTTGATCCTCAAAAGCTTTTTTCTGATTGGAATCTATTAACATATTTTCTTCAATTCTATGTCGCAGTTCGTCTAATTGCAAAATTCGGTCTGCTGCTACACTCTTAATGTACTTGACTTCATCCGCAATCTGCAAATCATTGGCTAAATTTCAGAAAACATGAAACACCCTTCACTTTTCAAAGGAAATGACGAATTAGTTATAAAAAAATGCATATTTACTAATTTTATGTTTGCATTAGGTGACCTGTCAAGAATCCATTTTGTCCCAAACAGTTGCTAATACTAAAAAGCAGGGAATAAAATTGGACACGCACCGCACCAAGAAGTCGGTCCTTTTGGATGAAATTGAATATAGTGTTTCCTTCCTTTGAATTACTACCTAAATCAGATAGATCATCACTACCCATGATACTTGTAGCTAGCATCGACTTCCCACAGCTGATAGTTTCCCGTATCAAGCTGGAAAGGACGTGAATGCGGGCACCACCATCAAGCACTCCATACTGGGACCTAACGGCAAGCAAGGACCTATCAAACAATCAAGTGGTCATCAATTCTGAAAAGCAGATTTCACAAGAATATAACCATGTAGAAAATCCATCTTATAAATAAGCCAGTCTCACAATGATGAAATTAAGATAGCTAATCCTCACAAACATTTCAGTTAGAACTGTGAAAAAAAAGAGTACCAGATAAGAAGTTGCAGCCTATTCTTGCTTTGGTCATCATCAGCAGTCAGAAGGGAAGGCAGAACAGGGATAACCTGTTGAACACAACGCGATGCTCTCTCAAGCGATGATCTACAAAGATAGAGAATCATAAGGCGGTTAACAAATCTTAAGCATCTTTCCGCTCTCAATAGCATAGCCTTATCCACAGTTCTATTTGGCTTTCCAACCAAGGCACTGCTAATCCCCCCCGACACAACTGCAGCCATCTCAGCAGCAGGGATGTTTAGTGACTCTACCAATCCACGAGCTCTTTGGCTTAAAGATGGCATCATAAATGATGATGATCTTGGTAACTGCTTACTTGATCCCTTGCCATACATTTCAATGATAATGATCCAAAGGTTGTCATATATATTCCACCAATCATCAGCAGTTTTTTCATCTTCATTGAAGTAATGCTGGTTCTCTACCCCTGTAGTCCTATTAAGAAAGTGAACAACATAAATAAACAAATAAAAATGGCAACTGATAATTAAGGTTAATAACTATAGTCAAATTCTTCATTGTTGATGATTCATAATCAAGTTGCGGGTACCCCGATAAGTTCCCAGAATCTCCCTGCAAGGCCTCAGATAAAGCAGCGTTGAAGTCTGGGCAGTTATCCAGTTCGAGAGACTGAGGAGGGAACTTGGAGCTGCATGCAGGAAACTGTTGCAAAAGAAGAAGGATTTGTTCTTACAGCAGAAGACTGGACCAAATGTCTAAGGAATATAAACAACAAAATTATCTCTCAGCAATGCCAGATCCAAAAGAGCAATCCAACAACATATTACAATTCAGTAAGGAAAAACAAATTCAAAAACTAAATTACAAGTAGACATGATATCTATAGAACAGGTCAATGTTGTGCAAATAAATTATATGATATATTCTGAATAAATTAATCTATTGTAACTTAGTCTGAGTTGAGGTTTTTTTGTTCTTCTATTTTTTCCTTCATTTTCATTCTTCATATCAAGTATTTTCAAGTATATTTCACTTTCTAAATTGATGTTTATATGAACATAAAAATATCTGTTTAATATATCGTATAATTTTGACTTTATATAGAAAATAATATTTTATTGTACAGGTAATAATTAATGAACCTAATATTTTCTTTTTGTCTCATCAGTCTAATTAGTTTAGATTGATTAATTGTTATTTATTTAATATGGTACCATCATAGAAAGTGAAATTATTACTTTTGTAGAAGTTCACCAAGAAAATATTTTGAGCCCAACAGATTCATAAAGTTGAAGAAAGCTACCGCAAATATGATTTAAGATACATACCGGAAGCCGGCAATCCATCTCAGAAATGAGCACTTCATCAACTAATTTTACAAGGTATAATGTGTTGTCGCGACATGGCTGAGAGACAAAAATATTTTCTTCGATAGGAGAGTTTATTAGCCTCTGAATTAAATCTTCATATAAATCACGAATAAATGATTGATATGAGATTCCAGCCTGCAAATAGAAGAATTTTATGAAGATTTTCCTTCGCTGATGTTTAAATGCGAAAAAATCATATTGTGAAGCAATAGTGGAACATACTTTTTCACTTTCAACCAACAGGAAATTCACGGTCTCTTCTAAATTCTGCCAGCCACCTTTTACAGAAAGAATATAGTGACAGAGAACAAGACTGTATACATTTCTCACGAAATATTGCTCATCCATATCAGTGTCGTGGCCAATTTGCATTTTCATTTTGTAGTTCTTTATCACATCGAGTTTCAAAGAGGCAACCAACCAATCATGCCATCCATTTTCCTACATGAGAAGTTCTACTATTCAGAAGAATGATTTCTTTAGCAAAGTTCACAGCAGACCAAAATATTAGTACCATAAGAGCTTCAATGTTCGAAGGATTTGAATCTAGAAGATCTAGCAGATCACCCATAATTTTCATTCTTGAAGTTCGATCCTCACAACCTGACAAAAATCTGAAAACGAGAGATAAAACCTGAGGAAGAAAAAATTGGGAATTGTTTTTGCCACTTTTTGGACGATCAGATTGGTTATGCTTCCGCAGAACCTGCAGATAGACCAAATTGATTATGCTTTCTGCAGCATGCAAGATCACAGAAACACTGCAAAATAACTACGGTTAAATGGTCTGTGAACATATATAGAAAACAAATCTGATGCATAACCTGTTTCGGGCTAGCACCACCTAGAAGAACATCAAACAGTGTAGCACATAGAAGATCTGTCTGTGGAAATTTGAAGAGCCTGTCCGATATTATGGAGAAAATTGGTTGAGTATGCAAGCTTATCTTTTTAGGACCTTCAGATAGAGATTTAGACCGCCCGACTGAAATGTTAAAAAATTTAGATCCTTTCTTTTCTGCTGGAAGACCAACAAGAAGTCTTCCAATGAACTGTAATCCAAGCAATCTAACTGGCTCAAAATCCCTACAATGGTGACATTTATAAATATATGAAATCAGCATCACCAATTATTTCCTCAACTGATGCAAAGAACAAAATCTGGACAAATGGAAAAGAAAACAAGTTTTAAGCAATATTATTCTTCACAGTGACATCGAAGAGGACATGTCTCGCAAAGTAGTCTAAATGGCTCAAAAGATTGAGAACACGCTTGTCAGTATCTTAACCTTCATGTTGTGAATAAAGTGCAAAAGTATAACTAAACATACTCGAAATTAGTTCATACACCTTAAACAAGGTCCAAACCAGCAAAGGTTGTCCAACAAACTTAAACCAATGACTAATCTAATAACCCATGAAACAAACTATTGACTGCAAGAAAAAAAAAATCCACTGAGAAGAATGAAAAAGAAGAGTTGGAAGAATTTGAAAGAATGTCACGGATTAAACTATGACCGCATAACAAAGATCATGTACAAAATAACTTGGTATTTGATGTTTTATACATTTAATGAATTATTTAAGCAAATATCATCTTCTCTCTCTCTTTTAAGCTTTAATTAATCTGTTTAATCCCTTTCCAGTATAAGAATATTGGTGGGAGTGGAAAGTTCAGTACATGCAGTTTGTCAAACTCAGAGAAGGAAATAATTAAATAAAGAGATGTTATCGGCATAACCATAAAATAAGGTAATGATTCTAAAGAACACGATCTGTTGCGCTTCTATTCTAAAAGATGTAATAAAATTCTGTTATCATCATCTCAAACCCGAACCACATAGTAAGCTTAGGGTAAATACCTCAATAGAAGATTAACAAAAATGTGACAGCCTCCAAGTAAATGCACTTGTTCTAAAAAGGAAGGAAGCAGTTGTTTGTGGGAAACAGTGCGTATGATCATGTTTAGAATGTCTTCAACGCAAGTCATATCTTGACAGGTTTCACAGAATGCAATGAGTGCTTTTATGTCAGACACTGCTATATGCTCCCTGCAAAATCCAAATAAAACCAATAGTCTGAAAACAAAAGCTCTTTAAAATCATATATACCAGCTAAATTGTAATTTAGGAGCGCCATTGGAAAAACGTCACTCAATGATAGAATTCTCATACAAAAGCACATATCATACCTGATACTCATCTCACCAAGACTTAATAAAAGGAGACGAATTTTATGTACTTCTTCTTTGTCAGGCTTCTCTCCAACAATTTGGTCCACCATGACATGTACAGTTGACTTGTTCTTGACGGCAGGTTTGAATTCTGCATTGTCCCAGTAAAACTGTCGAATAATATCAAGCACACGAGGAAGCCCACACAGACTCTTTAGCAACCTCGGATCATTATCAAATTGCTGGATAAGGAACATGTACAGTTCACGTTGAACCTTGTAAACTGTACGGACCCATATATGAGGGTTAAGAAAGATATTTGAAATAGCATCTTTGATCAGGAACTCTGACAACCCTGGAGGTGAACAAGAAGTAATTAAATACTCACCAAAAACAGTTCGAAGAAAAAAACATTAATCTCAAATAACTACTGGTCGAAAATTGATAGGTAGAATAGGCGTCATGCTTTACCACCATTAGCAACAATAGTAAACAAATGCTTCAACGCTGAAAGAGTATCCAAATTTAGCTGCTTGGCTGGCACTGATTGCAGCAAAAATCCCAGAACAGAAAATCCTGAAAGTAGCAGCATCTGCTGTTGATTGGCCAAATTATCATCCAGAATAGAAGCTACGAGCTTAATAGTCTCAGTAGTCAAATGCCCCCTGCTAATAGGAGAAAGCAACATCTCTTCAACTTTTTCACTTCTGTCGTCTTCATAAATATCAGACTGTGTTAAAAGAGGAAAAAACACAGATACTCCCCCAACACAATAAATTATCTGCTGCAGCAGTCGTCGAGAGCATAACTGTGTGCCACCCATTACAGTTGCTTCAAAAGGCTTCATATCAAGTGCATGATCAACAATTGGTGAAACATTAAATAATGCCCTACCCTTGCTTGCCTGAAAAAAAAATAATTTTGCTTGAGTTCGTGTGGTCACATAATAAATAAAATTCCTTATTCACAATTAAATATTTCTTAGAAAGGAGAAACAACCTGCGCGTTAATTCCAAAGATAATTTTTGATGCAAGGCCATCTTTAGCATCAAGAACTCCACCAGACAAAAAGTTATCAACATAAACTGAAATTTCATTATCAAGGAAGTAGTACATATAACTAGGCCCTAAAGAGCAGATGCCCTGCACAAGTTCAGAAGAGATAGCATCGCTGAAGAAGTATGTGGGACCAATCTGACCAAGAAAAGGATAAGACTCTTTGACAGGATGTGCGACATTCTCATCCTCGTAAACAGGCAGATCGAGTTTGGTGCCAACTGTGCAGCTACTCAATGGTTCATTTATTTTTGCATATCTGAAATCCAGAAGATTCGAATTGAAAATTCACCTGCTAGCTGAAGATACTAAAAGTTTTAGCCTTCCATAAGAAAAAAGATTACCTGCACTTTTCTGCAGAAACAAGGACCCCATCCAAATAACATTTCAACTGGCTTCCCCCTGAAAATGCTCTACCAACAGAATGTACTAAACAGAAAAAGTGCCACTTCTTTCTGACAAGGTTCAACTTCATTGAAACACATTGTCGTTTCTGATTGATCGACTGAAATACACGAGCAACACAATTAAATGCAAAATAACATCAATCCATATCAACAAACAGACTCTTTAACTTTATCAGATATGATTGATGCAGTCTCAAATTGTGCAGATATGACACGAGACTTATCTTTACCTCATAAATTAACTTGTCTTTCTCAAGGACAGCATAGCACCCCCGTCCATTTTCTGTGAGGAAACTGAAGATCCCCATTGCTCCATTTTGAGGAAAGCTTTCTACCCTGAGCCAACATGTAAATGAAAATCCCTTGTTCGTGGGCCACTGAAATGGTGTTTTGATTACAATGCCCTGCATGCACAGGTTACATGATAAATCAGTCATGTAAACAGCATAAGTGACCTGTTAAAAGTAAGACTTCAGCCAAATAAATTATGCCGCCACCCTTTCTTTTGCTCATTATTTAAAGGGTTAAATGCAAAAACACCCCTGTACTATGGACTTTGTATCATTTACCCCCCTGTACTACACATAAATACAAAAACCCACCTCACATTGCATTTTTTCCAAAATATGACGAAAATACCCCTACTCAAGCATATATATATATATATATATATATATATTGAGCCATTTTCCACTATATATTTTACCATTTTCAGTCAAATTTACGTTGAGAATTTTGGTATTTATACTTTTTTCTCCAAAACATCTAATTGCTTACATTTTTTTATTTTCTAAATACAACCTTTTATTTTTGCCATTTTGAGTTTCTTCATTTTGTTTCTTAAATGTCTTCCGGTAGTTCAAACATCCTAAGATTACAAACATCTTTACAATCCTATTATTGTTGATAATTTGAACTACCGGAAGACATTTAAGAAAAAAATGAATAAATTCAAAATGACAAACATAAAAGGTTTCTATTCAGAAAATTTTAAAAAAAATCTAAGTAATTAAATGTTTTGAAGGAAAAAATAAAAAAATAAAAATTTTCCAAGTAAAATTGACCGAAAATGTTAAAAAATATAGTGGAAAATGGCTCAAACAAACCCTTATATTTATAGGTTTAGCAGGGGTATTTTCGTCATATTTTGGAAAAAATATAATAGCAGGGGGGTTTTTGTATTTATGTGTAGTACAGGAGGGTAAATGATACAAAGTCCATAGTACAGGGGTATTTAAATTTAGTAGTACAACAAAAATAAGTACACGAGTATAGTAACTGGATGTTAAGTTTTTGGTTAAAATCTGGTTTCTAACCGTGTAACTTCCAAAGATAATTTCAAGAATCTATATCATATCGCAATCTGTAAGATTCATGATTATAGAGTCCTCAAGTAACTTCATAACTGTTATTTTTTTCGTGCTGCTTCCTTCTCCTAACTGCAAGTTTAAGATGCCCCACAAGAAGGAACTATAAACGTGCTTATATAGGTATAGAACCTAGCTTAATGCTAATTCAAAATTCTCTTTATTTTCTTTATTTTTTTGGGGTGGGGTAACTAGCAAAAGATGGGTGATATATTTGTTAGGGAGGATTGTTGAACTTACGGAATCAATCCCATTAAGATCAAAGAACGCTGTTGGTCCTTTCTCATTTAGCATTGTTAACATGCTTGTTAAGAGTAGTGAGCTTGACTGCTGCTGACGACTAGTACTCTTACTACGAAGCAGAGCAAATATTTTCCGGATATCCTTTCCAGATACGCTATGTCCACCAATCACCTGAATTAACTGGGAAATTTTCCAAACAATAGCTTCACCACTGTCTTGTGAAAACCAAGTGAGAAGAAATTCGAGCATTCCTGCTCTAACACATGAAGCTCGATTGGGTAGAGAATCCCTTAGCAGATGAAGGAAGATATTGAGACCATGGTGCTGCAACAAATCACTGCTCTGCCCAATTATTGAATGATGAGGTAAATTATTCAGATCAATTTTACATTTAACAACAACTAATAGGAAAAGAAAACCCACTATTCAAGTGGATAGGGTAAAGACTAAAAAGATTATGCAAGCTCATGAATAACAAACCTTTTGAAGAACACTGAGATAAAGCAAGATCACATCTTCATTCTGTTAAATAAAACAAGAGCGATGAGAAACATATGCAGGACAGATATTAAAAGCCAAAAGGAGTCCATGTTAGTCACTATGTATTCATTTGTACCCTGCATCAATAGGTTACCTTTATGACACAATTCGCTTTAAGATCAAATTTTCCATCGACCAGCATATCAAGCAGCGCGCTTAAGAGTGCTTCACTAGGCTGCCATTGGCAGAAATCCAACAGCAAACTCTGAAAAGTCTGATAACCCTCGCCAACTAGGGACCTAAAAGCGACCTTTAAAATTATAAGATAACATGACAAAATTAGTCGACGAATAAGAGTGATAAATTCATGCAGCTATTTGTATTGCTGCTCTTATGTGTACTTATCTGCTAGTCCGCCCTGGCACATCACATGGATTGCTACTTGTAAATTATGCAAAAAATATAAAAGAAGATTAAACAAAAAGCATCAACCAGCTTCAAATAAACAAAGGGGACCTTCACCATTTTCAAGTACTGATGCCCAGAAAAAGATACCACGCACAATTTTTCAAAATGGGAAGAAACTAAAACTATGACTCCATCCCAAACCAAGTGCCTGCAGCTCTCCAAAACTAGCTCCCCTATGCTGTAACTAATAGAAAGTGTAAGGAATTACTAATAATTAGGGATTTGATAGATGTAATTAGTCCTAGATTATGGCTAATTATCAGCCATATCAATTACATATATTTTCCTTTCTGGTATTCTTTAGTTAGTATAATCTAGTTTGAGGTATTGTAACACACAAGAAATACAGAACATGTTCTTCTTCTTCTCTCCTTATTTTACAGAAGGCATTACTCAAATCTTTCTGGAGTGCAGCATATTTTCTCCCAACTATCCACTACTTTGTTTCTTAGTGGGCTATTGTTATCATTGGAAAATGGATCTAAGTACATAATATCAAGTGGCACAGATCAAATAGAAAAGAGGCACTTAAAACGAGTTTCTAATACATCAATTAACGTCCAAATCTTTCCAACTTCAAATTTTTGATCTAATCTGTACCAGGGTTGGAGAGATAATTTAGTGATTCAAATATGAACAAAAGGAGAACAAAAATGGTAAATCTTGGTACGTGGTGCCTGATTGAAAAACAACAATTAGAGACGTACCTTTGAAGCTTCATTCTGTGATAGCAAGCAAGTCAGCGTTTGGATGACATTCAAAACCAACTTCTCTCCATTTCCAATGTCCATATGTCCATTCAACAAAGATACAACGTGCAAAAAACATTCACCCTCGCGGAACAAAGCTTGATAATACTAGCAACAAAAATAGCGATTGGCAAGTCAAATTGTACTGGCTTTGTTCATACATATTACTGTCTATATGAAGATAAATTCAAAAGGGCTTGTTTCAATACCATTTTATCTGTTAGTAGCAAATCTTTCATTCCAACCAGTAGCTCAATTGACAAATCTGTAGAATTATTAACTCGTTCTTTCAAATGTGTGAATGTCTCCAGGTACTTGGAGCACAGGAAAAGTTTTGCTTTCCGTCCTTCTTCGGATAAAGGAACTATCTGCCAAAAGAAAGAAAAACTCCAATGATAAAAGCGAGAAATGACATCCATTTGCATTGGCCTTGATCAATTCGAAACGGAATATCGTACATAGGAGCGGCATACCTTCATAAGCTCAAGAACATAATTGAGCATAACACTTCTTAGGCCTTCTTGCCAAAACAAGTCAAACATACAAGTGATACACATAGAACTGCACAAAATAGAAAGTTTTGCATCATCTGATACTGAGAAGTACTCTGCAAACAGTTCCATCAATGTTTTCATGCATTCTGCCCAACTCTGAGTCACCTCAGGTGATAAGAATTCAGGAGATGCGACTTCACTGGTAATGTTTTCGGCTACTGCACTTGTAGAGCCAGGTCTTTTAGACTCTTGTACCTGAATACAGGCAACTTTGAGCATCCGAGGAATTGCAGCAAGCGTTTTAAATGAAGAAACTGTTTTCTCAGCTGAAAGCTGCAATATATGAAGCAGGCTTTTTGCCAGAACAGCAGCAAGCTCCGGAATACAAGCAGATTGTTCAAGGGCGTCCAGCAAAACACTACATTCAGGCTGCCATAAATTAATCATCAGATAAGCAGCAAGCTAACAGGAGGCATGTGATGAAACAAAAAGACAGACATATGTGAATCATATTTAGAACAAAAATCACAATGATGATGTAGTTCTTGCACATCAGCAGTCTCATACACATGGCCATGCTACATTTAATAATCATCAACTAAGTCAAAGTTCATCACCTAGAAAAAACAGGTTAGAGTTTGCATGTGCCAACTAAAGTAATGTGGATACCAGAGTTTAAAAGAAAACGCAGACCATAGGAATGGAAAGTGACACAAAAAAGTCCTTCAATTATGCATCCAGCGTTACTTTTAATTCAAATAACTAATTTATATCAGATGAAGGAACTGTGACCCCAAGAAAAGCTGCATTCCTTTTCCTTTAAAAGACTCATCTCTGACATGAAACCCATCAACCAAAACCAAGCACAATAAGAAGTTCATGTCCCACTACTTTGGTGCTCCAGTGGAACTCTTTTAAATAATCCGACAAAGATCCAACAAAGATTATCCACCATGAACTTTATAAATGACTATCAGATAAAAGAAAGACAACCAACCAAGTTATGAGAAATTCCACTTAAAGTAGATGCAAGTTCCATGAACGAGATTATTTCAGCTTGAAAATTTTCACCGCCGTTTGCATTTACTCGGTCCTCAACAGAACTTGAGCCACGATATCCTGCATCATCCATTAAAGAAACCTCGTTCCTACTAGAATCCTCTCCAGAAAATTCTGCAGGAGCAGGACCGAAGTAAAAAAAACTCTCAGAGAAGATGAAGTCCCACACACCCTCAGCACGGAAGACATCAACTAATGATGGTGACGAAACAAGAACCTTCTTAAATGCAAAAAGAACATAATGCTGCATCGTATAGGCAAAAATCCTGAAAAGGAAGCACAAAAGATGAAGAATTAAAAGGAAGAAAGCGAAACAGGAAGAAGGATAGAAGTTACTATAGACCTAAAACTCACACAGCAACAAAAAAGCACTCATATATTATATACTCCCACTAGGACAAAAAGAGACTGCAGGAAGTTGACTAGTCCACCTTAAGTGGCTGGGAATTTCATTTTGATTGGAACAAGCCTTGATGCACGGGAAAACTGTAAGTAGCACCCTTGTGAACCACTTCAAAGAAAGTTCCGCATAAACTGCAGACACCAATATTGTGTTTCTGCTCATAGTTGGTTGAATGCGTCCGGATTTGGTTTCGTTAGCTTCAAGAAGGAAATCACAAAAAGCTGCACTCAACCTGGCAACATATTCTTTCCAAGATCGTATGTAAGACGGATTAGATGAGAACAAAGGTGACAGCTCTGTTATGAGAACTTCTGAATCATTTGTATTTTCCCCTTCAAACTCAGTCACATAATTTCTCTCAGGAGAGGACTTGTCCCTTTTGTATTCTTGAATCATGAATGCGACTGAACAGAAGCTATTTGCAAACTTTTGTACCCTTCCATTTTCACACAGAAACTGCAAGTTGTTGAGATTTCCAAAGCTATAACTAGTTAAGAATTCAGTAAATTTGTTCTATGTATGCATAACCAGTCAAGATTTCCTTACACCATCCACATCTTCATGTGCCAAGAAGACTTGGCATATGCAGAAGTGGATCGGATATTTTTGCATGTAAAATTTAGCCTTAAACAATAGCAACATTAAGATTGAAATGCTTGAATCTGTTTCAGTAGAAAACTTTAGAACCATGGTTCAACTAGCAAGGAAAATTGAAGGTTAACATGGGTCAACTAACATCCAAGTTTGAAGGTTTGGTTAATATCATAATTCAAACTAACACGTGTAGCTCGAGGCTAACATGAAATTATTAGTCTTCTAAATCATGTGAACATAACAGGTAAGAAGTAGGTACGAAGGATACATAGCTTCCCTAAGAACCTCCAATGAGAGAACATGGAGATTAAAAAAATCCTGCAAAGGTTTTTTGCTTCTGCAACAAAAACAAAAAGACAAAAGTTAGAGAGAGCTGAGATATTAACAGAAGTAACCGCAAGAAATTATATTAGAGTACTAGTCCAGATGACACACTTACATGGGCACTCGTGTCTAATTGAAACAAAGCCAACCAATCACAATAAAGTACGATGATATTTGACGTTACGTTAAGTACAATTTAGTCAATGTATAGTTTCTGACAGCATTTATACTTGGATTTAGGTCGTATACACAACCATGTTCCATCTGGAACTCAAAAGAAAAATAACTTAACGTTCTCATTGTATGCTCATATGTTACATAATTTCATAATTTTGCATTAGTTGTCAGGTATCACCAGTTCAGGACATGACAGCGATGGTTTGACAATTGATAACTGCTAAGCATATGATCAAGGAACATAAGCATAATCCAGCAACTAAACTAATAACAAGTTACGGGATTGATCTTCATCGTAAAACTAAAAACCTGCAAATGTAAAGGCATAGTTCATCAAGCCCAAAGAAATCATCACCTTTCTTGATAGCTTGATGAATCATTTGTAACCAAGCTATCTATTGAAGGAACTCCCAGTCCATCCAACAGAACTTCTAAACCCCCAATACTTCGAAAATGATTTTGACCCCGTGGGTTGTCATCCAAAGCTGATCGAAGAGCTCTGAGGGTCAAGTGCTGAAGGTACATATCTGCCCACTGTTCTTTCATAATCAATCTCCTGATCAAACGCAATATCTCTGGAAGAATTATAATAATGATGAGTCTTCTATCAATAATACATGAATTCAAGCATTAGATAGTAAAGACACAATGCAGACAATCAAGTATTCAAGTTTCCATGAAAGAGCAGGGGCAAAATTTGCTGCATGATATAGAGGAGAACAGGGTAAATCATAAACAAAGCTGAAACATACCTTACCTAATAACCAATTAAGACCACCAGCTTCCATAACTGATACAACTGCTGTCAGATGCCAGGATAAGATTGTTTCAGATACTAGAGACTTTACAGCAGTCGAAGAGTTAACATATATTTCGCTGCTCCTCGATGTGGAAGATCCTGTGTTGGTACTTTGTATATTTTCGTCTATGCTTGAACGTAAATCAATGAAATTGCAAATAATGGACACCACATGAACAAGTATCTGCTGTAAAACTCCAGCATTCTGTACCATAGTATTTAACAAACTTTCATCTGCTGGAAGTGCACTAATAATAGTCTTAAGCTGGACAACAGCAGCTGGAAAAAGAAGCCATGAGTGTGAATATCAAATAGTAACAATCATAATAGTAACAGAAAGAACAAGGTGCTGCCACTCATTAAAATCAAGTGGTACTCGTACCTTTCATCAATGCTGTAAGCTTCTGTATCCCCCCATGGTAACCAAAAACTTTGCAATTATAAATCGACAGAGTCACAACAGTCAGAGCATCTAAGGTCATCCATGATTCACTTGATATACTTATGCTTGTCGTGATGCCCACTTGATCTGCAAATATTTCATTAAAATTCCAAAAACTAAAAACTAATAGGAAATATCAGTCAAAAACATCACAGACGGGGAACATAAAAATGTATACCAATGCACCAATTGAAATCTTCACATTTTAAGCAATAGCCAAAGGTGAACATTTAGAATGAGCCAAATAGATTAAGCAAAAGATGAAGACAGTTGTCGCATGGTTCTACAACCAATGTAACCAATAACCAACAAATAGATAGATTCTACTTTGCGAGGTATCATTACTCAATTACTGCTAACTATCCATCAAAGCAGGCTTAAAAGAAAATAAAGGGAAAAAACATTTTTCATGGAGTAGAAGAGGACTGGAAATTGAAAAATAAAATGGGAAAGGAAAACGCATAGCTCACAGACATCAGCTAGAGTTTTATCAGATGCATAGATATGTAACGACTTACTGTCAGTAAGAAATCTTGTTATTTGTGAAACTTCTTCTGTCAAGATCAATATTACTTCAGCAGGGTGGCCCAAATTGCAGCCGACCACCACATCACTGATACCTTGTGCATGATCAGCATGTGAAAAGGTCTGAGATTCTTTGGACGTTTGGTCGAGATTGAACGGTTTCCAATCCCGGAATATTGTTAAGAATTGCTTGAGAAAAATATTAAACAACTTTCTCTTTTCAACCTGAACATGAGAAAACGAGCATAACTTGCACAACTTTTCACATAAACACAGGAAAGACAGGACGGAAATAAAATAGGAAGGACTTTCCATTAAACACATCAAGTGCTTCTCTAGCTATCATCAGTTACTTCCTGTCTGAGCAAAATCTAGCATATGTTTCAGTGAGTTGGGTGGTAAATATATGATTCTTTAGTTCAGAAGTATAGGAAACTTATTTAGAAGAGAAGTTGTATCTACATCCAGCTACTATCTATCCTGAAGCCTATGGATAAAGATCCGTAAGGATCTTCGAATTTAGAACAGTAATAGCACAATGTTTCTGTACTTATATAAATACAAAAATAGCTGTCAGCATAAATCCATATACATGCACTGTTTTAGACACTCCAGGTTTAATAACTTAAAACAGGTCGCTAATGGCCAGTGTCCAAGTAAGGACAATACACTAGTCTAATTGAACACTTTAGATGAAATCGTGGCACATACAGTAATATTTCGAGCAAGGTGCAACAATTCATATAGCTCAACTTTTGTTGTTCTGAACATGTAGAACCATCTAAATATTTTGTAAAGAATACAGCATAAACCAATTTCACATAGATATTTACACATACATACCTGATCAACAGCATGCACATATCTGTCCAATAGTGCCTTCAAAATTGCCTCGTCGCCGACCTCGCTAGAAAAAAACAAGATTAGAAATGTTAATTGATGGAGAAAAAAATAGTTTATCGTGAGTTATTACATATCTCATCATAAATCAGAGAGAAACGATACATTAATCCCATAACCAAAACAAATAAAACTAGACTAAAATTCAATGAATTGGCAGCATTGGTGGAGACATATGCGTACAATGGGTTAAAAGAGGTAAACATGGTAAATGAGTTGCTCTTCGGTCTCTTCACAGGAGCAAGGATTCAGAATTCCAAAGAGAAGACCAATACATAGCTTAATTATGAAAAAATTCTGAGTTTATCCTTCCATAATTACGAATGTCTTCCTTGGTTTCAATTATTGATCAAATCTATGCATATGGATGAGTAAAAAAGAAAAGCTTAAAATATGTTATACTGCGAAAGACCAAGAAACTGATTGGATCATTTGACTATTTGAGTGATTAGATAATTTTCCCAGACATCACATACAAAAATTCTCACGAGAGTCAAAGAATGTCACATGCTAAGGTACCTTGCACGTATTTTTATGCTCAGATGCAATTGAAATTTTATCATGGGATATACAATCTTATTACTACAATAAGTAGGCAGATAGAACCTCGTAGATTGTCGGCCTGAACCATATACTCAACAGACAACCCAATCGAAAACAACAAAACAAATACCTGAAGTTGATAGCCGGAGTTGGTGGAGAAAACCTCCCAGATTGTGCTACCGAGCCATATTCTCCACTTTGGCCACTCGAAGTCCTCCAAATGAGGTCTGCTACACCTTTGACTATGTTCATGGATCCTCACCACCACGCCAATATTACATACCCAATCAAGCACTACGCAACCATTTATAGATATGTAGGAGATAGCTGCAAACTACCATCGCTTCCTCAAACCTCAAGTTCTCACGAACGACAACTAGGGCTAAAAAAAAACATTGAAACAGTATTAAAATTGGTATTCAATTGAGCCATGATCAGTGCAAAACAAAGCTTCAAAACGAACGGGAAACAAATGAAATGATCAGCGCAAAACAACCGATTCCCACTTTCACATCAATCCATAATACAAACAACAACTAAGCGGACGTAACAGAAAATTATAAAACACACGAACAATCAAAAAAAAAGCAGCTCCCCAGATAGATTGGAATTCCAACATTCATGTCAGTCTATCGAGGTCAACGAATGACGATAAAGTAGCGTGCGAATCAAACATTTACAGTAGCAATGAAGAATCGGGAATAACCTGATCGGATCAGAAGAAGCAAGAACCCTAATTTTATTTAATTTAACAGGGTTTGGGGGAATTAAGATCGTGAGATGAAGATTTTCTTCGAACGTCGAAAAGAATAAAGGACCGATGAATGAGTCGAACTGGGAATGCTAAATAAATAAATAAATGTTGAATTGTTTATTAATTTAATTAATAATGTATAAATCCTATCTGAATATCCAACTTTGTTTTATTTTAGGACAAAATTAAGGGGGAATTGTCTGAAACTCCCTCGTTAAGTATTTTCACTAGCTATAGGTCCATCGCTATTTTGTGTATTTGGTTAAAGTCCCAAACTTTTTAGGTTAACTTTATATATTTCATTTATTGACAATTTTGCCCTCAATTTTGTTTTTTTTCCACAGACGGATAGAAAGGAGAAAGTGTTAAAGAAACCGTCGGATTCCTCATCGCCTCCGTCGGACCCACCAATTATTTCATAACCTTGGCCACCTTCTCTTGCTATTTGGCGGCGTGCGGGCTCATCGGCGGCGGCGACAGAGCGTAGGGTTCAGTGGCGGCGCGTTTGGCTGATTGGGAGGAGTTTTGAGCAGCGACAAGACGGAGATTAAGAATTTGGTCGTGTCTCGAGTGTTTGACGGAAGTTGCGGAGAATAAAGATTGGGGTGCCAGAAAGGTCAACGCCAAGACATTGGTGAAGATCGCGGGGTAAAGTCGTCCTTTAAAATATTCGAGCACTTTAAGCAAAATAGCAAAAGTGGATTGTCCTTAGAGAAATATAGTACAGGGGTATATAGCAAATTGCCCCATAACATTATGAACACAACTGTGAAACTAAATTTACCCGAATATCAAACTAACCGCATTCAACTCGTTCTGTTGGAGAACGTTATGTTGGTACAAGTAAAATCCACAATCTCAAGAAATAGGAGTCCGTAATGATTGGTATTTACGTGCAATCGATGACGAATACGTACGGATACGACTGTGCCAACTTAATGCATTTCGGGTGGATCCACAACAAGTCGGTAACCGCATTCAACTCGTTCGGTCTATGGTACGAGAGGTATTCATCTTCTTTCAACTTGACGAACAATAATTGCAATTGAGATGTCCCAGATAATTCACTAAAATTTAACTTAGAGATAGTATTGTAAACTGCTTCGTACCAGTTACATTAGACGGGTCATTTTCCTTCCATAATCTTAGAATTGTCATTGGTTTCACCATTGCTTTCTTCAAAGTGTGAACAAAGGAAGTCTGCTCCTTTGATAATCTTCCAGCATAAGAGTGTCCGTGCAAGTTTTCAAACAAGTTGTGGTTGTGAATACCACTATAAACTTCCAATTTCCACTCAGCCTTTTCATTATCCTTGGGTTCTTTTGTCCCCTTCAATTTAAACGGACAATAACAATCACATACGGTGTCCTACGTCCTCTATCCCCGTCACTCGAACCCGCAATCATTAACACCATTCCAATTATTTTACATACTTCACGAACCCATGCCAATAAAGCTTCTTTTGTTGAGAATTTTTCTGACATGGTAAATGAATGGGTGCAATCGATCTACACAAAAGTGGAGAAAATATAAGACAAGTAAATTTGCAACAGGCCAAAAATCGACATCTAAGTGTCGAATTTGTCCCCTACTTTCGACACATAAGTGTCGAAAAAATGGGAAAAATCGACACTTAGGTGTCAAAAATATGGGGCAAACTCGACACTTAAGTGTCGAAAACGGTAGCAAAATTCGACGGGTAACTGTCGAATGTTACTGCTATTTTCGACACTTAAGTGTCGAAAATGAGTAAAATATCAATTATTATGTTGTTCGACACATACATGTCGAAAATTAAGCACATTTTCGACCTGTATGTGTCGAAAGTTGATGGCGAATTTAAAAAAAAAAAAAAATCAAAATCGATGTTTTAGCTCAAAAAATACATGAATATATACCTTAATGGGTTCTCCTTGCTCGTAAACTACCATTCTATTATCATTTGACGCTATTTTGCAAGTTGTGTAAGGTTTTGATTTCTTTAGTTTTGAGGTTTTTTAGGAGGGTTTTTGAGGGAGGGAGAAGAAGGAGGTGGAGGAGGTGAGGGGTTTGTGAGTGTAGGAGGGAAATGGTTTTTGAGGGTTTTTGATTATTTGGTATTTAAGAAAAAAAAATAGTATTTGTAATATTTTTTTGGTTTTAATTTTCATTAAGGGTATTAATGTAATTTACCATTAATTATTTAATTTTTATTTTTTTGGTATTCAAGTAAGCAAAAGTTGAAATTTGTTATAGTGATCCCCATTAAATATAGGACTTATTTTTTAGGTTTCAAAAATTGCTATTTGCAACTCATACATATTTTTTTTCCTCTCTCTAGAAAAAAATCACTATTGTCACTAATTTGGCACAAAATCATCTTTGTTAAAGTAATATACGAACACAAATTCATCGGATGAAGATCGGGATACACATCACAACGAGGTAAAAATTTCGTCATTTGTTCAAAAATCTGGACAGAAAGGGCAAAAGCCCAACCCGGGCGCCCGAAGCTGTTTTTTTTTTTTTTTTTGCTTTTTATTTTTTTATTAATTTTTGTACGTTTTTTTCAGGGAAACCAACACAATGCGAGGTAGACGTCAAGCGTGGAATTTTATGTCAAATTTAATACTTTAGTATGTCGAACTTAGTACTTTATTAAGTCGAACTTAGTACTTTATTATGTCGAACTCAATATTTTATTATGTCGAACTTAATAGTTTTATTAGATTGACAAATCCAAATAAAGAAAAAAGACTAACAATCCTGAATCAAGATAACAGAATAAAAATGAAAACCAACAATCCAACATCAACAAGTGCTTGTGGTTGTTTAAAAATCATCGTCCGTTCGCCACGTCGTGTAGAACTAGTAACCTTTCGATTATGTCTGGGACGAATCATAAGCCCCTTCTTATTTCCCATCTTCAATTTTTTAATCCAATTAGACATCCTGCTAATATAAGAGATATTTAAATAAGTAAAATTGAAATTAAAAAAAAAAAAAAAAAACAACAACAACAACACTGCTAAACGCCCAGACCGGGTGTTCACCGACCGCATTTTTGACCAAAAACAGCCATATAATTTGATTTTAGGGTTATTTAACATGCAATTACAATCGGAAATTTCCTACCCAATGCAATTAAAACGTTTAGGAGTTGAAAATACCTCAAATTTTCGATGATTTGACTTCAATTCGAATTTTTTGAATTTGATTTTTTTTTAGAGAGAGAAAGCTTTTTGGGGTATAAATTGCAAATAGCAATTTTCAGACCCCAAAAAGCATTTCACTTAAATATCAATGAGCAGGGCAGATTAATTTTAGTTTATTATTATTTGTTTTTTTACTAGGGCAGATTTTTTAAGTTATTTTTGACAATGATATAAAAGGTTTGATTATGGCATTTGTGTCTACGCAAATGGGAATTTGGAGACGAACAAATCATCCTAGTGTTCTATGCAGATGACATACTCGTTGCAGGAAGTACGCCGCAGCTATTTGAAGAAGTAAAATACACAAACCATTTAGGAATTTTAGTTATATAAACTTGAATCGAAATATGGACCGTTCAAAAGTAAATAATACTGAAAAGTGAAAACTCTTCTATCGCTCTATATATGTGCATTTTCATGGTTTGCTTCCACTCGATCTGAAATACAAAATGGAAGTGTATATATGCATGTATAAACAAATATGACGTATTCGTGTAATCTTACGAGTCCCATCTCAACCTCTTACTCTGCTACAAAATATTATAGAACCTTTGGAATCAGCAAGTTCCCTTCTACGAAGAAAACACAATGAATGGAGAATACGTTGGCCAAAAGCAAAACATGCAACTCCTTTTTCAGGGAAATGAGAGCAGCATTAATACAAACTCTCACAAATAAATTATAAGGCTATATTTAAACAGTACGATATATCCATTGCCTTCGAAACAGAGCTTCAGCTCAATTTCTCTGCAGATGGCTCTACAAAAATCTACGGAAATCTTTTGCTGCAGACTCGGTCATGATTTTTACAATTGGCTGTAAAAATCTCGAGACTCTACTCATGAAAATCCTCATAAGGTGAAGATCCGCTTGAAGAATCACTTTCGTAGGGTGTGCTCTCCCTCGGAGATGCAGGCAGCGAGTCTTTTTGCTGAAATGATAAACCTGAAGTAGAAAAACATATATTTTGTTTAGTGATCCTCGAATTCCCTTTCTACAATAGTTATAATAACTGTTTTAGACGCTAATAACAATGGGTTTTATTTCTACTTGGAGAAACAAAGAAACAAAAGTGATATAACGGGATGGCGATACGGGGAACAAAGATGATATGCATAAACCTTTTCTAGAACGCAGCTTTTTAGTGTGGCGTCTAATTAGCCTTTTTGTTATAGTTAGCTGTCTGGCAAACGGTGAGAACTCTGCATCACTTTCGCTCCATTCACCTTGAAGAAGCTCACTCTCCGCGTCACCCCTCATTGTGCGGAGAACAAAAGCCTTTGCCTTACGGCGTTGGGAATTGAAAAGACCCTTTATGGAGGTAACAAAACCATCTCCTGCACCATCACTAGGGCGCTTGGGCCAGGACATTGGGTTCTGATCACCTTTTTCAGCCGAACCTCCATCACTATCACTGAGATTGAGACTACTCTCCGGAACAGGAAGAGGAGTGGGTTGTGCTTTATCTTTAAACTTCTTCACCTATACATACAAAAGTTGCGACACAAGATTACCGCAAAGTTGCGTGTCAGGTGCTAATCTCATTGTCATTGCTCTTGATATACGATATGAAAGAACAATAGCATTTTTTGGCAGTCCAACGGACATAAGATTCATTTTTCTTGTCAGTCAGAAGATCTGCAAATTACTGAGAGGGAGAGTTTACCTGCATCCCCGTGACCGATTTTAGAACTCCCCATATTATATGCTTCTTTACACGTGAGAATAACCTCCTCCAAGTCCCAGTGAACTCATCACGGTGGAATGTGTCCATTAACAACCTTAAGTCGCTCACTGCAAATCTAGATCCTTCATAGGTAACTAGAAGCTCAACCTACTCCATCGTGATGCACAAGTCAATGGCAATCAGAATGATGTCAGGAAAAAGGATAAGTACAAATCTAATAGAAAAAAAATCAACCTGACTAATCTTGATATTGTTGAACTCCCTCAGCTTTCGTGGTTGGGACCTTTTCTCATCTGGCACTTTTCCTGCCTTTTTCTCCTCATGAGAAGACCGGCCAGGTTTTGCTATTTTGGTATCTTTTGATTTGTTTCTAGTGTTTTCATCTTGCTGTTCAAGAGAAGTAATGTTGCCACTTTTTGATAAAGATAAAGGTGAAGATTGCACTTGCATTACAAGTTCATTAGCCACAGATTCTGCCAGATTTTCTTCCCATGTTCTATCGAAGGAAGATGTTCTTCTTAGCTCTGGATTTGACCCACAAACAATATTTGCTTTTAGATTTTGCAACTTTGATGCCTGCACAAGATAGTATATATTTTAAGAAACAATTAAGCAAATTAATATTGTATCTAAGAGAGAATACAAAAAGGCAGCGACTGTTAGTCAGTGCAAGTTCAACACTCTATAGTAACTCAAGTCAGGTTTACACTTAAGCCTAAACTATCTCAAAACAAAACTATAAAATTGTTTGAATGGAGACTCAATATCAGATGAAATCATGGGTACAACACAAAGTTCATGAAGTCTGTCCTGGTACAATATGGGTGCTGAGATCAAGCTTCTTTCAAGGGAAGAACATCTCGTAACGTTTTGATTGCTCAAAAATTGTAAGGTAAAACACCTTTACTATTCAGGTTGAGGTGTACAGATATGGTGGTATCATCAAGGCTTACAATGCTAAACGCTGAATTACATACTATAGGTATTGCACTTTATAGCATTCCCCTCCAGCCTTATTGGTTGTATTCAAGATACTTGAGGTGGTGTAATATGTAATGTTTATCGGCAAACTCATTGGTTCGACTAGATCATGTATATCCACGTGTAACTTTAATTTTGACTGCTATGTTTTATACTATAGGAGCAAACCTTAATTCTCGAATACCACTATTAGAAGATACTAGAAGCTATTTACTACTGAACAATAATGAGGCTCGTGACCACGTTTTCCACACTTTCCATCAAAATGGGTTCTTTGAGAAACTCACTTGGGGAGAATCAGCATGACTACTAGATTGGTTAGTCGCACTTGAAGTTGAAGCTCCAATGGTGGAGGTGTTTGATTTGGATGTTTCAGCATCTTTTGCTGATTGACTGGTGGACGGAGATGCACCATGAACTGTTGAGCCTTTCTTGACACGCCGTGAACCTGCTGTGGTTGAAACCTTCCATACTTCCTATAGACCACAGACAAATATATGCAAAATGAAAATTGCCCCAAGTGATTCCATGTTCAAATCTGCTACTCCGTAAGCAATCAATGATTGCACTAACCTGCCGCCTTTGTGAGTCTTGTTCTTCTTCAGGAAAGAAATATTGCCACATCAATTTGTACATGGACTCAGTCAAATGTATCTTCAAAGGGTAAATCTCCACCTGAACAGTAGGGCAGTGTTTGTTATGCAAGAACATTAAAAACTAGACTTGTTTATAGAAGTTCATCCTATGAAGACAAGCAAGCAAACACATTGGCAAACTTATCTTTCAATATTCAAATTAATCATGAACGTATTAATAATTGCAGTTTTAATGTGATACGAGACAATGTATGAAATAAGGTATCAGCATATTCTGTGTTCCTAAAGTGAAACACATCACAAGTACACCCCAACTGGTAAATGGAATGGCCACAAAGAAACGCCACTCAGTAACAATTCGAGAGTTATTAGACAAGTGAGATAAAGGATACTTCACAAACATAAAAGAATTTCCAACCTGGAATAATTCAAGAGGAGTGTTTCCATCCTTTGCAGATCCTTGTTTTGCATCTACACGGAGCATCACTTTTCTGTAGCCAGGAAAAGAAACAAGGAAAATGCAAACAGAAAGTTTAGCTGCATCTTTTGCTTCAATCTATCAGAGAGGAAAAAAGTTCATTGAAATAGACAGGACATCTGATTAGCAGAATGAGTTGCTTGCTGGACAATATTAAATGCCACGATGGATTAAGTGACCGAGCAGTTGGTTGGTATTGCCAACCTCATTTTGAAAATTGGACGAGGTTGAGGGGTTTCAACCATCTGAAAGCTAAGTATAGCTAAGTAACATCTACACATGGTAAGTAAACAATTGATTTTACTTCCAATTGTGCTATATCATTCACTTCCTAGAATTTTAAAGTGTTATCCCTGGAGGAGGTGTTTCCTGCTAGATGAAAATGCTAGAAAGATCAAAGTTAATGTATTAGTTAGGAATACTTGTGCAGAAGTGCTAAAGATTTTGGCAAGATAAAACATGAAAAATTCTACTATGATTATATAACTTGCAAAAAAAGCCATTTTGACTTTCATTTTGTGGTATTACCAAGATAATGTGAAAGCAAAGCCTCAATTAAATTCCAAATCAAGCCCCAATTGTCGGATTGGTTTAAAATCATATTAACCTCAGCTTGGAGTAACATAGCCTGTTGATAAGCTTATTTTACCTATGAGCATGTCGGACATAAGTTTAAGCCATGATAAAGGAGATGCAATATATGAAAAAGAAAAAGCAGGTCTACAAGACAAAAAAAAACAAATTAACAAAATATTCATGAGAGAAATAATACATACTTTCCCCATTCAGCAGGAGGACTCCATGCACACAGTAGCATGTCAGACTTGGCATTGGGAAGACAATTTCTCACAACAAAATACTTTGTAGTGAACTTAGCAACACCAACATCCTTATAGTCTCTGTCAAAATCATAAATCTGCAGCAATAAATTGCAACCTAAGTACTAAAAACTACACTAAAGGTTTAGAAAATGAAATAAGGAACTTACTTCGATGAGACTTCTATAGATAGTCAGTGAACACTTTTAATGAGATTTATAAGGGATAGTGTTCTATAACGCATAATACGAGGAATTTTATAAAATCTCTGCTACCTACCTTAAATTCACTACATATTAATGAGTTTGATAATTGAAGGGTTCAAGCCATGAGAAAGTCAGAGAGTTATATGGCAGATCATAAAAACAAACAAGAGAAGTTGCTTGTAGTTACTCACAATTTCACATTAGTTCACCTAACAAAATATGGACACACTTGGAACTTGCACAAACTTAACCGAACAAGGATAAGGCAACACAATTATGTATAGAGACTCACCATGTCATTTATCTCAGCTTCAGCAAAAGACTTTCCATCAAGAAGCATGCCCCAGACAACCTTATTGATTTGCAAAGAAATACGCATAGCATAAGAAGGACTTTTATTTTTCTCTTTTTCCATTATCCTCAACTGTGCAGCTTTTTGCAGGGCTGTCCTTAGAGAAGCTGATGCAGCCTTTCTAGACTTCTGCGCACTTATGAGCTCTTTTTTCAATCTTTGCACCTGAGTATCAACTCCTTTATAGTCATAAATTCAGAAAACGTAGAAACAGGAAGTAAAATAAACACAAAACCTACTCCTATTTAACTTCTCTAATATGTCAACAATCTTCCATGTACTCTTAAATAATTCTCGATTTAATATTTTTTTTCTGACAATTAACAAATCTAATGTCGGTAAGTTTTTTATGGTATGATTTCCCTATAAGTATGATAAAAGAATGTAACTATGATATACACGCTATGATAATTTTATGACAAGAAAAGATGAATAGCTTGAGAAATCCCAGAATTAGAGCAAACGATGATTAAGTTTGACAAGGCCTTTTAGGCACCTCACAGGTATTGTTTTTCCTGTATGTATAAATTCGCAAAGAATATAAAACCCTTTGGTAAGAATGCAAACTGTTGAACAACCACAGTCTAGCAAATGACGCTTTATCCCCAGGAAAATTAGAAAATGCAAATGTTAAAGCATTGGAACTCGTAGAGGCTTACCAGTGTGGACCTTCCACTAGTTATCATCCATAAATCCATTTCCATTTCTGAATTTGGGTCTCCAGAAATATCACCCCGGGAAGACAATTTCCTTATATCATCGAGGATCAACTTCTGCACTCTCTCTTTCTCTTCAAGGTTAACTTTTGCCAGTTCTACCTCTTCAACACCATCAGGAACCACTTCATCTGCCTCCTCCTCAATGTCTTCGTCATCTTCCGCAGAATATGATAGACTACTTTTCCGCGGTCTGGATTGTCAATAAACGACCATTAAGCATGAGATAATCAACCAAAATGCAACTACTATAAAGACAGTCATGTTCTAAATAAACTGTCCTCCTTCAGAAGAAAATTAAAACCACTATTTAAAGTTGCAGGAAAATATTACTTTTATCGACGGACTTGGTTGACAAAACTATGTTGACTAACACTTATGAATGCATTTTGTCATCATAATACATCTAAAGAGAAAACTATAATAATCAAAACATCTTATATCTTCGACTTCAAACTTCTACATCACTATCACTTGATTTTTTAACTTGCTAAACAAAAAAGAGGGTCCACTGAAAATAGATCATGCATCAAGACATGTTTAGTAGGGCCAAAGTTTAAATTTGTGACAAAACAACCCTGACCACATGCATCTTGAATGACTGAGAGGAAATATGTACTTGTTCATAGATATTTGAGTCCAGCAGAACTTCAATTTATCATCATCCAAAGATGCATCGAAGCATTGTACGGTCTACTTGTTGCACATTAAGATATTAGCCCACCTACAGTATTTTGCATTCCAGCTAGCTACCAGTAGTAACTTTATGTCAACAGTTAATTTCTTAATTCAGCGCTGCGGTAGTACGCCCACCATCTTTAACTTGGTACAATAATTTTTTTTTTTTTGGATCAATGATGTCCACTTTCACTGTTAATCTTAATCATCATAAGCAATGAGTAATAGTATATGTTTGCATTCCATGATGAAACCATGGGGAAAATAAACATACATCAAGTAGCTGGTCATGAAAATGTGCTTTTCAACTTAACTGACCTGTGTAGAAGAAATTTTAATTACTTGAAGGAAAGAAAATCTCTAACTACATATACATCTAATAGAAACTCTGGGCAACTCCATTATGTTGCAGCCATCTAATTGCATAGGCAGAATAGCCATTTGTGACCAGGTATTGAAACATTGTGAAGATAAACATAAAACTTTCAATTCAAACAGCATTTCAAGGTTATTCTTACTTTGGAAGTCGAGCAAAGAGAAGATTGGTTAACACGTCGAGCATAACTTGGAATTGTCTGGATGTCATTGTAGCTGTTATATTATGAGAATTGAATGTGAGCTCTTTCAAGGGCTTCACCTGTGACATGATAAATATGACATTGTCATGATAAAGTAAAACATATTTTTCTAACACTCGCATTCTTGATGCTATAAGTTTCCTTTGACAACTGTGCAAATTTATCCCCACAAACTTAGGTGCATACCTTCAAATCAGAAGTTCCTCCTTTGTGTCTGGTGTATCGGAAGTACATGTCACATGGCATAAAGACCCTTTCCAGTAAAGCACCTGTACGCTTTACTTTTGGTGAGCTACGACGAATTTTAGGGAGCCACTGCAGTCCAGCTCCTGGATCGACGTCAGTTGGAGCTACATGAGCCTGCACGTGCTCCAACATCACAGAGAACTCCATGCGGTTCCATGTCATTTCAGGCTGAGATTCAGGTGTTTGGATCTTTCCTTCACTAAGTGCTTGTTCGATTATCTCATAGCCAACATGAAGAACCGAATGAAAGGATCGGGCTAAAACACGACCACTCACAGCAGCAAGCAAGAATCTACCCTGTCAATGAGGTTTATTTGTGTTATAACAGTAAAGTAGAAAAGCCAGGATCATTTAACCAGAAGCCATAAAGTTTTATTATAGCAAATAGCCAGACATAATAGACAGAGATACAATATTGAATCAACCCACTCTGTTATATAGAGTTGGGAAAAGCCAAACTAGGAAAGACTTGTTCCCTAAGACAGACATAAATCTCATAACCAAGATACATAAGAATTACCTGATTTAATAAATTCCCAATCAAATAAAAATTCCTAAATATATTCTAACAATTTGTAAGCATGACCAAAAATATTACACAGTCCACTTACTGGTACTTCCCTATTTTCGTTCTACTGATAGCTTTATGTCACTTGGCCGCTCTAGAAATGAGCAAGTTTCTGCAGCTCAAACACAGCTCAAAAGGGTTGAGCAAAACTTGCTAATAAGAAGAGAAGCCAAGATGTCAAGGCTCAACATGCTTCAACTGCCCCACTAGTAAATCTATTTCACCCTTATCAGTGATCCGCGTACTAGTACAGGCATCCACAAGTGAAACCAAGAGACTGGCTTTGAAGATTATTGAACCACTATTTGGGAAAACTTGTTGGATAAAAAGTTGGATCAGGAAGCTTCAGTCATAAGGGGCCAACTACAGTTAACTACTAAGGGACTTTACAAAGTCTACACCATAAAACAACCCCACAGTTTTGGAAGGGAATAGGATGCTTCAGAAACAAGAGTAGGTCTTAACTTGAATGATTACAGGACTATCAAGGAGTATATCACTTTTATAATGAAATAACTATCCTATGGAACTAAAAGCATTTGTACTAGTCCTAATTACCTTTTATGGTATGCAAGCATTTGAGCGCGTCCCAATTCCCTTTCATGGTATTTCTCATGTCACGGGCAGCCAATGCTATGACAATTACTAAACACAAGTAAATTTTCAAGTCCATTGGTCTTAACTATCCACAATGGCCCTACTAGGATTCATTAGTAATATAAGGCAAATTCAGCATTAATTGCACAAGAGGGTTAACAGTAGTGGAAATTCAATATTTTTGTCGCATATATTGGCCTGACAAATAAAAGGAACAAGATTGTTCTCTTCCTTCTGTTTCTTCAGATGATTATTATCAGAGTCCATACATCAGCACCTGAAATCCTAGAATACTAGTAACATTACTTCCTGTTTTCATATTATCATTCTAACTCGTAGAGCATGCAAATACACAAACTACTATTGGAGGCTTGAGATGATTTCCCAGCAACAGTACTACTTATATTATTGTTCTAATGCATATACGGTTCTAGCATTAAGAACTTACATTAGATTCTTCTGAGTGAAGATTGAATTGTGGCTCAATGACGTTCACCATGAAATGGCGAGTGCCTTCCTCCTCAGATTCATCAACGTTGTTGTGCTTTGCTGTATGTGGACACAACAATGCTTATTAACTAGGAAAATAAGGTGCTGAAATTTTCAAACATGAAGGATTTCATAAACGAAAGCACTTTGTTGCAAAGAGACAGGCTGATTATAATATATGATTAATTCACAGGATGAAAGCCTAAAAAAGGAACAAGTGACAACATAATATAAGCATATAGTTCTCCATTCCTCCCTCTCTCGGTGTTTGTGCATTTGTGTTTACATATACATAAATAAAGAAGATCAATTTGCCGATGATGCATAAAAGTCACATTTGTTTCAATGCATGAATGTTGGGGAGAATGGGGCAGAACACTTTTTAAGCATACCAATGGCACTAGAGAAGGGATTTTCAACTGTATTTGAATTTGATGGAGAAGAGAGAGATCTTGAAGTATCCACGTTCTGGGTCGACGAACTTGCAACATCAACGGCAGCAGGAGACTTTTGGTCCTCCTTTTTCTGCATGTCAGGTTCATCAAGGGTGTTGTTCTCCTCAATTGATTTTCTTTGGGCATATTGACGAGAAGGAGAAGGCTTTGGAGGTTCGAATGCCTTAGATAACCCACCTACCCAAGACCAAACTGCATCTCTATTTTCAAGAGTCCAGAGAAGCTTCAGACCATAAACAAAAATCCGCTGACAATTATCAGCAATAACTACGTTATACCCATCATCATCACTGGGGTCAGATCTTGTATGGTCATCGCTTTCACTCCCATTTTCAAACTCAGATCTGACATAAGTCATCTCAACATTTCTTCTACCAGCTTCTTGCCACGCCAATAACCTAGAAGGGTCAGCTTTTGGGGCTTGCCTACGGATCGTAAAATAATCAGATGATAACAAAAACCCATCATCCTTAGGCCTTTCCGTGCTGTTTGCAGAAGAGCTATTTTTATCACTCATGACCCTTTCCATTGATGCAGAGTGGGACTTTTTCCTTGTCATTTGGACTACTTTACCAATAGTTGCACAATCTTCCTTATCTATGTAAGCTTTAGGCACGTGAAGGTCAACACCCTGATACACAAGGTCAAGAGGATCCCGAAAGCATTCAAATGTATACTTTTGCTTACCCCGACTAAAATACATTTCGTATTTGACTTTCGTCATCTTAAATGTCAGTCCCTTTGCTGGGTCATCATCGTGTAATGGCATGTGCCTTATACATGTCGGCGTTGCATCAATTCTGAACATGAATTCTGTCATTACTTTATCTAGTGACAGATTTCCTGATCTGGGAATCCTAGGGACCCCAAAGCGGGGCCACCTGGAAAAGGTCCGCAATTTATGAGGAGGGAGGTAATTTAAGTTCCAGAATTTGATTAGCCATGCTAAATCATGATGACCAATATTTACCACCGGTGAATCATTCAGTGCATTCTCTGTTTTTGATGGACTACAAGAACCTCCATTAAGAACCTGATCATTAGTTGCAGAGGAATGTGACTCATAACTATTTGAGGAAAGAGAAGGTCTAAGGGAGAAATTCCATCTCAGGGAAAGAGAAGTGGATCTGAAGGGATCAAAAACCTTTTCACGCGGTATGCCTTCATTGGGAAGTGCAAATAAATAATGATTCAATGGATTTCCAGATTCACACTCCCATTCCATTGTTACTTCAACAGTGAAAACCGGGGCTTCAAGGAAAGGTGCAGAAAATCCAGATGAATGTTTTGAGGTGGAATTCTTCAGTAAGCTCTCTAAACTGCTCAGTAAAATCTTGAAATCTTTAGCTGAAGCATAAACCCGACCATCTGCTTGCTGGATTTCCATATAGCCCGTAACAACATTAAGTTTATCTAAATTTTCATATGGATCGGTGGTTGCAAGAATATTCCATCTTGTCTCTGAAAAATATAAAGTGGTGTTCCCATGAACGTAGTTTCTCATTTCATCCCACCAAGGTAAGCTCTTTTCCTTTTTAGGGGGCTGAACTACTGGATTTGGATTCCTAGTGCTTAAATTAGCCCTACGGAGAGCAACAGTAAAAGCGTAGCTTAAATCAGTGAAAGATGGTTCAAAACCAATTCCAAAAGAAACTTCTCCTTTCTGAAAATGTATGGGCAGATCACAATATGTTTTCATTGGTGGAGTTGTGCCAGTGGCTGAGCGAAGGAGTTGCACCTTCCTCCATCTTCCAACATAGACATCTTGGTGAATTTGAGGCTGAAAACAAGTTGCCTGCAATTACAAAAAGGTACATGTGAATCAATGTCCCAAATATATTCTTGACCATAACATATGTAACAAATTATTGGAAGTGTTGTGCTAATCAACAGTTTTCAACCACCCCACAATGTGAATTATCCATCCACCCTTGCATATAAATTTTAAAAATAACAAGGTAAGTAGTTTAAGTAAAAAGCATGTATATTTGTTAACTACTGCATGTATCAGCTTCTACTTTCTAAGTGGGTTATTGAAGAGACTCGCATGTATGCTGAAGATGAATGAAGCACAGATACTGAAATGCAGAAATTAGACACTTCTGACCTCTGAGAAACACTGAGTAACTAGGGCTGGGTGGGTCCAGTAAAGTGTAGGTGAAGGCCAGTACAGTTGGCATAAACCGAAATCAAGGTTCTTATGATAAAAGTACACATCAACATGATATTTCACTTCCACTCCATGAATACACACATCAAATTATTTTGGAATCCTTTCTCAGCACAGGCTTGTCAAACTTAAACTGATCCATCTGGTGAGTAAAATTATCAATACCCAAAAGTTATATGAATACTCCTCAGCTCACCCAATTTAAACTAGAAGTTGTATGCATTAAAGCTTCAGCAGTTTGATTGACCTCAGAACTTTTTGCCACTGTGGCTGTTTAAAGTCTCTTTTGGGTCTGAATGCAGTGACACACTAGGAAAATTATGGCAAATGGAAACACAATTTTTGAGGTTATTGGGCATGGAGCTGTGGCGGAACAGAATAAGATTTTGTGATTTAAAACAGATGAGAATGTTTAACTTCTCAAACTCTATACAACGAGACGGAGAGGGGCAGGGTGATCTGTTTATGGTACTTTTAATATGATATTGTCTCTATTTCATAAAATATTATAAGGAAACACAGTGGTTGATTCATTGACAATTCTAGACTGAAGGGACGCTGTTTTATGAAGTTATATCAATTTTATAAGCATGCCCCATTAGCAGAAAAAGTTCATATAGAGGAGAAACAGCACCCAAAAAAAGGTACGGACCTGTTGAGCTAGTATAAGACGGCCTTCACACCGACCACCAGTTGCAGCAAATAGTGGATATGTATAGTTTCTTATCTGAGCAGCAAGAGAACCTGCATGCAAAATGATGTTTGCTCCATACAGTCTAGAAAATGGAATGTTATGGGCACGGCATACTGGATCGAGCTTCTGCAGAACTTCAATCATCCCAGCATCACCACCTTCAATTTTTATCAAGCTAAGCTCTAACTCAGTAGCACAAATAGAGAAGAGAGAAGTTCTGGCTGTGCTGGGCTTGAAACCAGATTGGAAGCCAGCTTTGCAGGCCCCTGATCCTTGTGATGGAACTAGGCCCTGGCATGCCTGATAATATGACTTGAATGACTGTTTGTATATTTTTTCATGCAATTTCTGAACGGCTGAAGCATCTTGAAAATCAATCTCCTCCCCATCATAGTGAGTCTTTTTTTCTAGAGAATCATTTGATTCACTAACACCAGGACAGTTGGTGCCCCTAGAAATAAGTTCATCTAGAAAACTTAACCTAACAGCTAATTCACGAGCCTCGTTCTTCAAAAGCTTGTAATGCTCATCGAGCCAACCCTGTAGTGGTTCTTCCTCAATATCAGCTGTTAGTTTACGAATGCTTAACTTTATGCATCCAGTTTTCATTGAACTAGCCTTTTTGGGTTTTGACTGCTCTTTCTTCTGAGGAAATATACCTCTAGTTTTACCAGAAGTCACAAGCTTCAAAGCTCGCAGCATTTCTTCCACAGAGTCATCGATTGCGCGCAACTCTAACCTAAATGGCATGCATATATGCACATCAAGGGCTTGAATTACCCAATCCCAGATAGTTACGGTCTGAGATTTTGCATCTGACAGACTTCCAGAAACATTAGGGACTCGAGATATTTGCATCCTGCTGCTTCTTAAAACCCTAGCTTCATTTAGTTGGACCATAAGTCCCTCAAGAAGAACTCCGATTTGGGCATTCTCAGAAAAGATGGACTGAACCTGGATGAAGGTTTCAACCCCATCACCAACCTCAGCAGATATACTAAGCATTTCCACATCAACAGCAAAAATGGATTCTCTCTTCTTTACTGTTTTTTCGGACTTCATTGCTTCGGAAGATGTCTCCTTTTTCGGCTCATTATCTTTCATATCCTGAGTTTTATCCCCATCATCGTGTCTCTGAGAATTGTGATTATGTACTAGTAACTTCAAGTGCGACCCCAATTCAAATAGTGCAATATGCATATCAGGCTCCCACCTTATAGATATATCTGTAGCACTGAAGAGAGAGCAGACCTCAATCTCTTTTAGACCACCAGATCTCCTAACAAGCTTTGCATTCTGCATGTCAAGCAAGGCAACTTTTGCTCCAGGACTATTGTCTTCAGGAAATTCCTGATAGGTAGATCTAGCTCTTTCAAGCTCCATCTGCACAGATTTTTTCTCCTTGTTCGTGCAAACACTGAAATGGTAAATATCAATACATACAGAATATTTCATTTGTTTGCGTTCTTTTGAAATTGTAGACGTTACGTGTGCAGTGCGCGGAGTCCCATCCACAGAGTTACTAATTAAAATTCTACCACCTTGGGATCCATAATTAACACGTTTGGGGTCTGGAACAACCATCTCCTCCAAACCCATCTCTCCAGAGATATTAACAGAGCACCTTCCAAGATTAAGTCTCAAAAGCTGAATACCTTTTCCAGATGACCTGGATGACCTCATTCCTCTGTTTTGTGCTGGTTTCTTACTTAATCCAGATATTTTTTTACCAAAGGCCTTGAGGGATAACGCAGTTGATATCAGTGATTCAATACGCCTGAAGGTCAAGTTCACACCTACGCCCGTAACATCTACACCAAGAACCATCTTATTCAAGCTATCATTAGGGACATCCGTATCTTTCTTGCCCAAGTCCAAGCTGAACTTAGCAATGTGCATTAGTGAACCTGTATTTGTTTCCACGCCAAACAAGCTCTCTTTCAAGCATTCTTCATATTCATCAGACAAGTGCAAATTTAGTTCACCAAGTTCCATATGTACTGTTGCACCTGTGCTGGATATGTTGTTAGCAAATAAGTGTGATGATTGCGAGCAACCCTGCAGTTTAAAAAGATTAGGACAGAGTTGCAGTTAGCTCAAAAGAGAAAACTAATGCATAGTAAAGATATACATGAAGAAATTTTAGAACAGTATGCATGGGCAGAGATTGTTTCTATCTAAGAGCATTTTGGTTTTATAAATGCCATTGTGGCACTGGTATGATAGGTGATTGTAAGTCGCACATCTACATTAAGCTAGACTATGGCGCAAACAACTAATTAGAAATAAATGCCATTAATTTTACCAGCGTAAAGAGGAAAGCCATGGGTTATGCAGGATACTCAATCCCGCCAATTTCCTCCAACCTAACATACCTAAAAGACTGACAATTATGTTGCTCCTGTGAACAACGCATTTAACCGTGGGATATAATTGAAAAAATACAGGTTTCACGTTTGCCTCAGCAGCCTAATCCCAATCCACACAGTAATTGCAACCATAATGGTCAAAGATTTGAGGAAAAGATAAAAGGTCATTGAAAAATAAAAGAAACATTTTAGGGACCAGAGTGTCATAGATTCAAAATACACTTTAGGAAGAGAAAACTCTTCAAGTAATATTAAGACAAACAATTCATTCTCGTATAAACTCTTACATGGTAAAGTGGATTTCCAGTCAAACTGTAAAGCACAACAGTCATCTCTGGGGCCGAAACAGTGCATGTCCACATAATTGCTTTCTGTTCAGATGATTGTGATATTTCTCTAGAAGAACTTTCTCCTGATAAATCCTTTTTTGGCTTCTGCGGAGGACGAATTTGCATCCATGGCTCTAACCTGCTCAAATTTAAGTTGCATTGTGTGCCTCCAAGCTTAACATCAATTTCAGATCTGATAGGGGAGTTAGGCTGCAAAACAAAAATTAAATGTAACCAACTCAATGATATGATGAATACTACATCAAGAATAAGCCATCATATTTACGTTTCACTTAAATATGAATAGGTGTAACGTCTCTTATATTTTATGCACCACTTACAGAGACAATACCATGCTATGTTCATAAAACAGAAAGATCCTGGGAAACAGGAGAATGTTCCGATATGAAAAGCGAAGGACCTTTAATACGGTCTAAAACAATGACAAGGTGAGCATGTAATAGATGTTGTATTTATAATCATAGTGTATAATAGGTGCACTATGCAGATTAAAATCCACGATATGTATGCCTAATTTAAAACATGAAAAAGGAAGTTGCGGATTGAATTTTGATTCTCCTGCTCACAATTTTAAATTACTTAAGTATTGCAGACAAATAATATGTTGGAATCAGGCAGTTTAACAAAATTAAGTGCTAATAATGTAATTTGTGAACCAAAATACCTGTAATGGTATGTAAAAAGAGGAAACAATATCCAACTTCAGTATTTCCACAATAGAGATGCCAATTTCTCTGAGTAACTGCAAAATGGTAGAGCACATTGGTAAAAGATACTCAGTCAAAAAATTCAGTGAATTTGTATACACTTACATGAATCTCTCTAAATTCCATCTGAACATCAAGCCTTACACTTTCACCCACATCTTCAACAGATTGAGATTTCATGCATTTCAGTTGGATTCCCATAATGTTATTCTCAACCAGAAGTCCATAACCTCGATGTATGACCTTTACATCAAGTTTAGGCAGAGTGAAGGCAACCTATAATAAAAATCAAAAGTACATCAATTTACTCAGTCAAAATCAGCAAAAGATGAAGCCTACATCTAACAAAAATGAAACATAAAGACTTTAAAAGTAGTAACAAAACTGAAAATGTTCATTATGATATTAAGTCAAAATTAAAAGGCCATTGTATTAAAATGCTAATCTCTATTAGCATTTCCATCCATGTAAGGAGGAAAACAATTTACATGATATATAAGTTAGATAGGAATACCAAATACCAACTCAGACAAAACAAGAAACTTATGCAAGATTAAACTGTCACTGAAGCCATATATCATTGAAAGCTAGAGTTAAAAATTTAAAATAAAGAAAAAAAGAAAGGAGCATAGTTGAGACGAAAGCGAATATGTCATGCACATACTTCTCTCATTTATAGGACGCAATCCCAGTAATATCCAATAAGCCCCTATAGGACGCATAAAATCTCTGACACTCCTAAAGTAACCCTTCTTAGCTGCATCCAAGACCAATAACAAGGTTTCAGCAACATATTCTAGAGTGATACCCGTCACAAAGTCTCAAATAATCAAGCTCTTTCCCAAATCAAGTCTTTTTTAGACTTCACACCTCCACCTAGTTAGATACCATCAAATTTTCAAGATTTTAAGTTTATTCCTTCTTTCTCTTGTGTTAAAACACATCAACTTGTGTTAAAACACGTTACATCCAACTAACAAAGCTCTTTTACTCCAGGGGATGACTTCCTTCTATGGTAATACAATGAAAGTTCTATGCTACTACAATGAAAGTAAAATAACATATATGCGTGCTAGCTCGTCTTCTTCCTAAAGATGGCTAATATCACCATCCTCAACATATAGACAGTTGATCTGACAAATAGAAAATATTGAGAAAAACAGAAATGTGATGTCAGAGCAGTTCAAATCAAGTCAACCTTTTCAGGAAACATGGAAGTGTACTTGGATAAAGCAGACGACAATGCTTGTTTGCCCTGCAGTTTTTTAGCCGACTCCGAGTCCTTGTCTGATGGTACAGCTCCTGAGGCAGGGTGAGGAGAGGTGTTGGACAAACCCTTTTCCTTGAGCAGAAAATCCTCATTTATGTTTATGCTGACTTCCCCACTTGTAATATCCAAATTTCTAACAACTACACCTGCTTCCCTGCACCAACAATAATAAACAGTTTAAATATCAGCTCGTTTTCTTCTCTTTATACCAATTATTAGTCGCGGATTTCCCCTCTGTAGCAAGAGTTTATACAGTCTACGTTCTGTATTTAGAAAAGCAGTATTTTCCTATGGAAAATAATTACATCTTATATTGTCAGTAAAAATATACAAAAAACAATTCAAACATTGAATTATGTACATAACACTCTTATTATGTGCATTCTGTCGAACATAACACTCAGTAAATGATAACATGATCCATGATGAAATCCTCAAACAAAAGATTAGTTTATACTACATTGTACACAGTTATTATCTACATTTGTGAGATACACGTAGTTGCACGAATGCGACCAAATCTGAAGTGATTACTTTATATCTCGTTTTTGGGACGCACGTTACTCATGTGTTTCAGAATAGGATGAGAGAAAGACAACTATAACGTATGCGTTCCTCAGATGAACTCACTGCAACCTTCACTCATGCATGCCTCAGAAAGTTCCAGGACATTCTCTTCCTCTAGTGTCCCCTCTAGTGACATTAAGGATAGATAAAGGATTCTCCTTGACTCCTTGCATAATCTTTTTTGCTTTTATTTATAGCAATTTCCATCCTTTTTTACATTGCTTCACCCGTAATTTAAGTTCTTCTGCACCATCTATCAACAAGCTATGGAAATCATCATGTTTCTCTCTAGAGAATATCGATATTAGTCAAATGAGGAATCTGAAAATTTGTGTTCCCATAAGCAATAGAAAAGAGATGAACTTATATAGGTTCAGCCCCAAAAGACACTTAAATTAGATGTTAAGATGGAAATTCTGGCAAAAGTTCGTAGAGATTGTAGGAAAAATATCCAGAAGACGTCTTAACTCCACTGAGTTTACCCATGTCTACCATCATGGTGCACTAATTTCTTTTCTTTAATAAATGGAACGCTTTCTAGTAACAGTTAATGGAATGGGATATAGAAGAAAAAAATTGTGCCCTAACATCTCCAAGCTACACGATATAGCTAAGGTGATACCGGGTAGGGAGGGAGAAATAACAGACATGATGTAGAAGTACTTTGGGGCCTAGTCCCTTTCAGTTTCATTCCTTAAAGATGTTCTGCAGATTAACTTACGAGACTAAGAGAACTAACTTTAGTACGATTTCAAGAAAAAAAAATTGTGATTGTGCTTGATTCTTCTATATATAAAAATCATATTCGTAGGGACACCACCACCTAGGTTCAGTTGGTTTCTAGTGATAGAAAAAAAAAAAAAAAGAAAAAAAAAAAGAAAGATGCACATAGATGGCCAGAACATATAAGTTAGTTAAATGTCATTGATATCTGCTATTCTGAACTAGAAAATTCCTAAGCCAAAAACTATTTGTTTGATAAGATCCTAAGTTAACAAAATTAGACAAAACCAAAATATTAAAGACATGCTGAATCTCATTTCCGCAATAAAAAATGAAAAAAAAAAAAAAAAAAAAAAAAATTCATGGAAATCAATTAACAAAGAAGACCTACCTATTATGACCAAACTCACACAAAAGAGAGAATTCTTCACAGCTGAAAGGAGCAGAAACCCCATCAACCAACTGGTTGTCAGAGAAAGTACCACCAGAGGTTACAGAGTGATCAGATATCACTCGTGATTCACCTAGGTGGACATTAATAGGAAAAAGCTGCAGCTTTACGAACAAGCCTGCCTCAGATCCCCCATCTTTAGATATATCTACCCTCAGTTCTTTAATATCCAAAGTAGCCTTTGGTGTCTGCAGTAGCAAGTATAGAATCCAATATTAATTTATGATTTAAAGGAAAATTTAAGTATTTAATCAAATGTCAAAGTATATCCTGACAAATTATAGAAACTCTAATCAGTTATAATCAGAAAGTGAATGAAATTAATTATACGACATATAAACCTCTAACATGATCCAGAAGACTTTGCCTTGAGCCATATAAATTATATATAATAAAATGTCCCTATCTTCCAAAATTATTAATTAACAAAGTATAAGCTTTGTCGATAGTGAAAACGAATAATTGAAATGAAAAATAGTAGCAGCAAACACATGATGGCCAAGCCAAAAAATGAATGTTAACCAGAAACTTACCTTTAGCACCAACTCAGTAAGAGAAATTGACAAAAACCTTGCCATGTTAGCCAAAACCATCCACTTTCCTCTACCTGAGCTGCGAGATTTTTTTGATCTGGTTTTCTGAGTGCTTTTCGTTGAAGACCTGATTACAACTTCCAAGTCACATATTAACACCTGCAGTTTTGGATCCCTAGAGATAAAGCCAACCCCAAGCTTAACCAAGGACTGCCGTAAACTTAATCTGATTTCACCAATAGATATGGATTCGATAGCACCCTGTAATCATCAGACCCATCAAACATGTCAAGTAAGATTTCAGAAATAAACTACTATATTGTAAGTTCAATGAGAAAAATAAGAATCGTATCATACTTTAATCAGAATTTTGGTTTTGAAACCTCGAAGTGCAACTGATTCTGTTTGCTTACTATTATGGACGGGCTTAGGAAGCGATGCATGAAAGAAACCAGTCTGATAATTTAGTTTCGCGGAAGTCAAACTATATAGTGGTCCACTTGGTTTTTTCTGATAGATAAAATCACAATTTTTTATCCTAATAAGCGAAAGAGATTGGTCTACATCTATCTCTAGGTCCATTCCTAATGGACGTTGTCAGCCACAAGTCAGGAAATTTGTAGCTCACATAAAAAAATACAAGTTCGATCACATATGAGACTAGGCATAACAACTATGCACGTATGAGAAACGGTGTTGCTGCAAAATCCAGTTTATTTCAAAGAGCAGATGTTACTAATTTGGATTGTTGCTGGAACTAATGGACCCTTGGGCTAAATTTTTCATTTCTGGTCTCTTTACACAAATGCAATATCAGTACCTTATTGTCATAAAAAAATGGTCGCACCAACTCCCGTATAAACTCAATCAGCCTAAGATAATATGGAACTTGTATTTTTCTTGTTCTATTTCTTCTATAAAACATAAAGGGGTTTGGTCTATATTTAATATTGAAGCTACAGAATTGTCACAAGCTGACAGCAGATAACAGTTTGGTTTGGAACTTCCCCAAATTTAATAACAGGTATCAAGATTTATTTCTGTAAGCCAACAAATAGAGCAAATTGGTCGAAATCAGGTTCACCGATTCAGCAACAATCAATGCTTTGAATTTTTTTTAATAATACCAGTTTTTGATGTAATTTTAACAGTTGAAATGCATTAATCGAATTATGTGATGTATTTACACATTGAACAACTAAGATTTCTTAGAGTCTTTTTTTATAGAATATTACTACAGGAACAGATTCCACGTGTTCATAGTCCAACACAAGTGCTCATGGTTTTGAAAGAGTTAGAATACCATGTTCCATGATGCAATTATATAGTTTCTACCTAGACATATATTAACTACTCAAATGATAAAAAGATAATAACAAAAAATAAATTAATTAATTAAAAAAAAAAAACCTTATTGAACTTCAGAACAATGTCTCTCAAGCATTTCCATCCACCAACACGGAATCCAACAGATGCTCCCATAAATCGACTGAGGATCCAAGCCAGCAACCTGGAAGCAAACCTGAAACAAGATGAATCGTGATTAGTAAAACAACTAAAAGCTATCTTTAATTCATTGGACATTTTCAACAATATTTAATCAGCATCCAAAAGGTAAATTCCGAGTTTTCATCAGCAAGCTTCAACAAATTATAATAATTGTGCCACAAGGGGATTGTACATAGAGAAAAATCCAAAAACAAAACTATTATACGCTAAGCATAAGCCTTAGGCAGCAGAGGGCACAGTTGTATAGGCAACTGAAGAACAACCAAAGATTAGTAAAGATCACTCTGGGACACAACTCCAATATTTGCAGAGCTGGATTGCAATTCTCTATGTTTGTAATAGGTGATCTTAGACTACAACAGCGATTACCGAATTCGGATGTAATTCTGGATACAGTGATCAAATTAAGTTTCAAAACGAAAGGGAGTTTGAAAAACTGTACAGCAGAGAGGACAGAGGCACCACAAACAACTCGACGGATTTTGTTCTAGGTAACATTTTCTGAAATGCAATGAGTTTATTGAGTTGGCAATAAAACTAATCGAGTCCTGAACAGTGGTATTAAAATTATTCTGCGTAATGTAGAACAGCGGAAAAAAAAAAATTGACAGTGCTTACTCCAAACATCAAGCACAACACACATACCACATAATAATCTTAAAACAAAAAATAAAAATAAAAATAACACAGTAACCCTTTCAAACAAAAAAAAACGGAAATCAGTGGGAGACGTACATGAATATAATCCATAGTACAATGGAGCAAAAGAGAAAGCCGAACAAAAACTTCGCCGGCGAAGCACCCATCTCTCAATCAAATTCGCGCACCGATCTTCCCCAAATCTCCGGTCTACAACCCGAACGCAGTGGCCGTGCATGCCTTCATCGGTCCATCAATTAAATCAAACACAATGTATTTCATCAATTGGGGGGAAAAAAAAAAACAATTACAGTAGCTGAAGGATCACGCATTCAATTTCGAGGAAGAATGTTAGGGAGATGGTCAGAGAGATGTGGAAAGTGTTTGATCTTCGGAGAGAGAAAAATTATTAAAAAAATATATATTTATATATATGTAATTTTATTTATTTTTTATATATATATACATGTATAGACTATAGTAATGGGGGAGGGGTGGAGGGGGTGTCGATCCGTGATGGATGCTCAATTATGGCGGAATGTAGAAGATGAGAACATCGGGCTCCGATCCGGTGTGCCTGGATGTACGGGAAGCTTGTGCGCCATTTTTTTATTTTTGCCCTCTTTTTGGTGTGGGCTGTTCAGTGTTGGGGTTTGGTTGGGGGAGGAGGGGTAAAATCGTAAAGCGAAACGAAATGTCTTTTCTGGACTTGGGGCTTTTTGGGGTTATTATTTCTTTCCTTCTTTTTGTCTCTTGTAATTATTGGGATTGGATTGATTTTCTAGCAACTAATTAATAATTTAATGATTTATCAAAAAAAAAAAATTAATAATTTAATTAGTAAAATATTTGGTTACTTAAATCAAGTCTTGTATTATTTTTTTTTATATTTTATGATATTATATGTAATGTCTATAAAATCGATTATTTTACATACAAAAATAATAGTTTTATTTTTTTTAAAGTTTTTAATGTCTATAAAATCTATTATTTTACATACAAAAATAATAATTTATTTTTTAAAGTTTTTTCTTTGAAAAAAATACTTTAAAAAGCATTACAATATGATGATTAAAATTGAATTTTAGCTAAAATTAAACTTTAGGGTGGTCTTTCATTTTTTTTTAAATATGAGGGTTTGTATGTAATCAAACCCTCATATTTAAAAAATAAATCAAAGACCACCCCTAAAATATTATCTCTTGAGGTTACATATAATTACAATTAATTTGTTTAAAGTCTTGACGATACGTGTATTCTTCATTAAGTTTAATGTTGATTTACTGTTGATTAAACTTGTTTGAGAATATGCATATTTTTCAAGACTTGAATTAAATTAGCTGTAATTATACCTAACCTCAAGGGACGTAGGTGTAATTTATCACTCTTTGAAATATTTATTTATTAAAGAAATGAAAAAATGACAACAAAAGTATAAATTCGTCTAGAAGAACTATTATTATCATAATATTTCATCATTAATGTTATGATTAGGGCATATAATCCAACAAATAGGGTATTGGGCCTCAACAAATAGTTACGGGCCTTGTTGAATTTCAGCCCATAATCAATAACAAAGTGTTTGGGCCTCAACAAATAATTACGGGCCTAATTGGATTTCAGCCCATCATCACTAATCAAGTGTTTGGGCCTCAACAAATAGTTACGGGCCTAATTGGATTTCAGCCCACAATCAAATAATCAAGTGTGCAAAAGACCCCTCCCATTTGGACCGGCGAGTAATCTGGAAAAGCTTGTATAGTCAAAAAGGCAGTACTCACAGCGACCGGCGAGTCCACCGCCACCGCCACCACTACGGCGTAGCTTCCACCACTCCGATTCCTGTCCACGGCGACGGAGTGAGGCATAGATAACCGAATTGGTGAATGGAGTCCAGCCTGGAGTTGGTGCGATCGTCGGTGGAGCAAGTGTTGGGGGTTAAGTTGGGTGACGAGACGGCGGTGCTGGTGCTGACGACGTCTGCGGCATTGATTTTAGGCCTGCTGATATTTATATGGAAGAGATCGAGTGGTGATCTCAGCAAGGCGGCGAAGCCGGTCGTTGTCCCCAAACTGGTGACGCTTAAGGATGACGAGGAGGAAGAAGATTTGGACCCCGACAAGGTTAAGGTCGCCGTATTTTTCGGAACTCAGACTGGCACCGCTGAAGGCTTTGCCAAGGTATCCCTATTCCCTATCACTCATCATCAAATACATGCTGATTTCTGTTTATGTGAATTTTAAGGATTTCAAATTCTAGTTCTGGGAGATTGGTTGATTTAATCCCCAATTTGATTGAGGGGATGGATTGAACTTCTGAAAAGGATGAAGAGTGCTAGTCCATGCTCAATCATGTCATAACAAACTCATTTCTCTAAATTATACCCCTTTTATTTTTCGGTTATTTTTTGTGGAACCGTAATTCGAACCTCGGAGATATTGATCTCTATCTGTATAAACGATCTGTTGATTTCTTGTTGGAGTGTTATTTATTCGGGCTACTGTTGATTTAGGACAATGCTTGTACTTAAATCGTGTTTTTAGTATGTTTTTTTTTTTTATCATAAGTGACGAGGCGAGGTTGGGAAGTGTGTAGGAGGCATCCATGATTTTATTTATTTATTTCTTTTTGTGGACAATTTGGTCAGAATGTAAGTTTGTACATATTTTTTTGACAGTTAAGGCATGATAGTCATTTTACTTGTATATAATGTAGAGATGTGGAGATGTATTGGAAAAAAAACAGAGGTGAAAATTTTGTTAGTTACACACACTCATGTTCTCCCAAGGGAGGAGAAATAGAGTACTTTGAGTGAATGCTGTTTGTTTGGGATGAGTTGAGGTGATGCTGTTGGGTCGTGAAACTTTTGGCAAGAATGCTATATATACGGTCTTGACCTTCTAATTGTCTGCTGACATAACTATAGCCTCAAAAGTTAATAGATTTTTGCTGAACTAAAAGTGAGTGCAATGCAATCTGTAATTTTTCTGGATATTAAGAAAGGTTATATCTCTACGTTGAGCTGATAGCACTGTTAAAATTATTTTGTTCCATCTATGAGGCTAATCACAATCCTTGTAACTGATATGATATGCTTTGTTAGGCTCTAGCAGAGGAGATCAAAGCAAGATATGAGAAGGCAGTTGTTAAGGTTATCGACTTGGTATGTTCAGTTTTCTATTGGGAGAGTTCCTTCCCTTTTATGTGTTATGGTTTCTGTCATTTGGATATTATCTTTCATTTTCCATTCTTCTTTTTAGGACGATTATGCTGCAGATGATGATCAATATGAGGAAAAGCTCAAGAAGGAGACTCTAGCATTCTTCATGGTGGCAACGTAAGACAAACTTTTACTTGCAAATGACATCATCTTGATGTTGAAACCTTTCTTGCTCTAAATTTCTTCACTGAAACAAATGCTGAATACTTGAGATGCTAGTACAGTTATGGAGATGGCGAGCCGACCGATAATGCTGCTAGATTCTATAAATGGTTCACTGAGGTTGGTTACGAGACTGTAATGATTGGTTTGCATGCCTCATGGTGGAGCTGTATTTTGACTATGCATTTTATATGATTTAGGGGAAAGAAAGAGAACCGTGGCTTCAACAGCTTGCCTATGGAATATTTGCTTTGGGTAACCGCCAATATGAACATTTCAATAAGGTATCTTGGCGTTTTCATTCCCTTACCGGTGATAGTTGATGTTTGTGTTGATTCTTGCTTAAAACACTTTGGCAAGAGCTTGTAACTAGACTTTAAAGTTGTGGACCTGGTAACCTGGAAGTTTATATAATCAATTTTTCATTTGAATTATCTAACACATATCTTTCTGAAACAGATCGGAAAAGTAATTGATGACCAGCTAAGTGAACAAGGTAAAATTTATTTTGTAATCTTGATATGTGATATAAGTATGTTTTTAACAGCTGTATGACTGATTTTTGTGTCAGGTGCAAAACGTCTGGTACCGATTGGTCTTGGAGACGATGATCAATGCATCGAAGATGATTTCACTGCTTGGTATAGCTTTATGATTGTGTGTTGCCTTTATTTACTAAAGTACCTAATACTTATGTTCTCTTTGATAGTTGTCTGTTTTTCTTTTGTTTTTATGCTTTTGTGGACAATGAAACTAATCAGTATAACATGCACTAGAAGTCCTGCTATTTAATGGTGAGAATTCTTTGAACTGTAGGAGGGAGCAACTATGGCCTGAATTAGATCTAATTCTTAGGGGTGAGGATGATGCAGACTCTGTGTCTACCCCATACACAGCTGCAATTTCAGAATATAGAGTTGTAATTCATGATCGTACTTCAACACTGTATGATAATAACCACGAAAGCATTGCTAACGGGGATGCTGCGTACGACGTACATCATCCATGCAGGTATTCCAGTCTCCTTATATGTATGTGTATCTGCTCCTGATATGCTTACTGACTGGCTCATTGTTTACTTCCCTGAAGAGTCAATGTTGCGGTTAAAAGAGAGCTTCACACTCCTGAATCTGACCGCTCTTGCATACACCTGGAGTTTGATTTATCTGGAACCAGTATAGTGTAAGTATTATTCGTTCTTGACATCATCTCAAATTCTAACCATCGCCCATCTCCATGTATAAACTGTACTTGTAATGAAGGCCTTAGATTTATCTTAAGTGGTGAATAAGTTAGTTTTATTTAGATTAATTTAATAGATAAGGTTCACCCAGATATATACATGCATCATGAGGATCCCGTTGATCATTACCTATAGAAAATTGAAGTATGAAACATGTGCGCTATTATACACTGGTGGTGACAGTAGGGGACAGGATTGAATTGATTGACGTATCACTGACTACTTCAGACCATATGGTTAAAATTGTATCCTGCAGGCTGCTGCACCACTACCTCATTCCAATGTTGTTTCATATGCACATGGCTTATTGTTCTATGGGCTACGTCTTAGAGTTAATTATACTATTAATGATCTCAGCAACATCAATTTCACTCGCTACAAATATGATAACGGGATCAGGGTGTGAGAAATACTAAACATTTTTGATAAGATTAAAATTACACTACTAATGTCTATTAGTCACTTTCTTTCAGATTTCCTCAACTTCTTCTATAACCATATAGTCCAAGTCTATATTGAACTTATTTTCTTAATGTCTTCCTCTCATTTTGCTGACATATTTGCATCTTATTTTCTCAATGTCTTTCAATCCTCATTTTTATTTCCATTTGACTATCTCAAGGGGAAGGCCAAATTTAGTTATCTTTTCTCTTGTGCTTTTTCCTTCTCAGTTATGGAACTGGAGATCATGTGGGTGTCTTTGCTGAAAATTGTGATGAAACTGTTGAAGAAGCAGCAAAATTATTAAGCCAGCCTTTGGATTTATTATTTTCTATCCACTCTGACAAAGCTGATGGCACATTGCTTGGAGGCTCATTGCCACCTCCATTTCCTGGTCCTTGCTCGCTTCGTACTGCTCTCGCATGCTACGCAGACCTGTTGAGTCCTCCTAGAAAGGTGATAATGTTTTATCCCTCTAGATCAACTCTTATGTATATTTCTTCTATCATATATGATTTGTGGAACTAAGTGGTGTCTTTCTTCCCAAAACTCTTACAAACGGTTCCAGGCTGCTTTGCTTGCTTTAGCTGCTCATGCTTCTGAACCGGTTGAAGCAGAGAAGCTTAAACTCTTGTCATCGCCTCAGGGAAAGGTGAACTAACTTCTTCACTTTTGCTTTCTGCTTTGTGATTGTTTTTCCTGTTTTGTATTGTATGGTTATGAGTTGTGGAATTTGTAGATTGTATCCTGTTGGTTTTATTTAAGCCTCTATCCAATCTCTAAATGTATTCTGTCTCTTAGGATGAGTATTCTCAATGGGTTGTGGGCAGTCAGAGAAGTCTTCTTGAGGTTATGGCTGAGTTTCCTTCCTCAAAACCACCACTTGGTGTATTTTTTGCAGCTGTGGCTCCACGCCTGCAGGCTCGTTACTATTCTATTTCTTCATCTCCGAGGTGAGTTTTGTCTTGGTAAATGAATTAGTCATTCTATCCGGAGCAAAATGGACTTCGCAAAATAATGAATTACGGACTTAACAAATAAAGAGTTGGAAAAAGTTGTTCGTATGGACAGTTAAAGCACATAACTTGTCATCATTTGATCTTTGAGGAATTGATTAGCTTCTTCATCTGGTACAGGTTCGCTCCAAGTCGTGTACATGTGACATGTGCAGTAGTTAATGGTCCGAGTCCCACCGGTCGAATTCATAAAGGAGTGTGTTCGACCTGGATGAAGGTATGAACCGAAAATTGATTACGTGGCCTGGGAAAGAAGTATATGTTTTTGTGTCTTAATTCTGTCGTTGCACTCAGATCCACCACCCCTAGATCGACACTGTAGCATCATCTATGCAAATGTCTGAAAATTTTACAAAGACATACTGTACTATAATTCTTTGAAATTTGCTGTTATTTGGAGTTATATCTCTTTGTGCACATTTAAAATAAAATTAAAAAATCAAGGGAAAATGTCAGTACTGTGTAGGGTTCTGATAATTCATTAAGAAAAACATGGCCACATTTATATCGCTGCCAATAAAGAAAAAGTCTGATTATGAATTCAAATTTTAACATTAGAAACTTTTATATGAAATATGACCAGAATGCAACTCCCTTGGAGACACACACTGATTGTAGCTGGGCTCCTATCTTTATCAGACCGTCTAATTTCAAATTGCCTGATGATGCGTCTACTCCAATTATAATGGTCGGACCTGGAACTGGTTTGGCACCTTTTAGAGGATTTCTACAGGTACCACGACGAGTTGAATTTTGTGATAACTCTTCGAATGAAAGGAAAAACTTTTACACTGAATGTCCTTTACAGGAAAGATCGGCTCTGAAAAGGGAAGGTGCTGAACTTGGACCTGCTATACTGTTTTTTGGTTGTAGGAATCGTCGAATGGTGAGAATAGTTGTTCTCACATCAAGTAGTCATACCAATTAGAAATCTGAGGGTTCGTAACCAATCTCTTTGTATCTTGATCTTCTGTCTTAGGATTTTATTTATGAAAATGAACTAAACGATTTCGTGGATCAAGGAGTAATATCAGAGCTGATTGTTGCCTTCTCAAGGGAGGGGTCGCAGAAGGATTATGTTCAACATAAAATGATGGAAAAGGTGAGCAGCTGGTTAGTTTGTAATTCAATTTGTTATTAGATGTTTACATTAATCATCACTGTACATATATCAATTAAAAAGTTAATATTTCATTCCCTTTTTCGACTACTTGTACACTTATAAACAAGCGTATATATGCATGCGATATCATTTTCATTCAATTCCTCAACTTGTTTTATTCCCACCTTATTCCATATTTCCATTCCTTCATACCGATCATGCCGTTAGAAGTAATCGTAAAGAATAGAGGCAATTATGATGATGCATCCACATTCGACTGTATAATTTAATTTTATTGTACCACCTGAAAATATGAAGTCACTAAAAATTTTCACTTAACAGGCTGCCCAAGTATGGAGTTTGATTTCTGGCGGGGGATATCTTTATGTATGTGGAGATGCTAAGGGGATGGCCAGAGATGTTCATCGCAGCTTGCACACCATTGTCCAAACACAGGTACAAGCACACACAGCATTCTATTAGGACTATCAATACTATAGTTTCTTCACATTTCGACCTCGAGCTCAATTTATTTTTGCATTATATATATTTTTATTTAAATATATTATTTATGTATGTAATAAATAATTAAATAAATAAATAAAGAGCTCACAAGCCATTCGAATCTATTACTTCAATGTGGAAAGACAATCTCGAATAAAGTATTCCATATTACATATACCACAATTAGAGGGATGCAAGTCTTAGAGTTTTGTTGCGGAGCGCAAGAGCTTGGTTGAATAAAATTACTGGATTATTTCCAGAAAGTTAACCAGGTCACGAGCTTAATAAAGCACTTTTGTATTTAATCTTATTACCACCAGGAAAATGTGGATTCGACGAAGGCAGAGGCCACTGTGAAGAAACTCCAGATGGATGGTCGATACCTAAGGGATGTGTGGTGATTGTTTCAGGTCAGTAAGATGGTCTCGGTTTCGGTGTTTCTGAAGCTTTGTGTACCAACGCTAGTTGCTCGAATTTATTAGAGGAGACGTTTTTCTTCCCTTTTTCAACTTCATTAAAATATGTTATATAGAAAATCTTTTGCTAGTTAGGAACAAGATATTGAATGGAAACACAGTGGTTATAGGTCATATATTAAATGATTTTGTATATTTTTACTTGTATACATGAAGTGAAGATACGAGGACCTGATCTTTTCGATTATTTATTATTGCTTCGAGGATGGTATAATTTATTATATACGCATTTTCCTCTTTGAGTTGTTCTTGTTCTTTACCTTTTATTTCTCTTTTTCCCATCCTCTGATTCGCATTCATTAATTCATTTTTTTCTAAAAGAGTTCAACACTTATTTGGATTAAATAGCTGACCAAATATTTTCAATATAAATAATTAAAATGTTCTTTCACTTCTGTTATTATTATTATTATTATTATTTTTTGAGTCAATTGCGTATATCACCCCTGTGAAATACCTAATTGTCAAATACCCCATGTAAACAAAAAAAACTCACCCATGACCCCCTATAAAACATTTTTCGAAGCTCACTGCACCCATTGGCATTTTACTCGGTGGAATAGCAGAAATTAGAATAATGCAAGAGGCCAAATTGCGATTGTGTTAAACTTCTAAAACTTAAATTAGGGGACTAAATTGTAATTTTCCAATACCCATCTCCCAACTTTCTGCAAATTTTCCCAGGCACAGCCCAATTCCCAACTTTCCTCTCAATTTTCCCAATTTTACTTATCCTTCTCCGCCGCCCAACACGCACCACCACATCCATCAATTGTTTGGGCTTCTTCAAGCTCCCGGTTGTGGCGGAGTAATGTCGCAACTGTCAAGAGGGAGTCTTCTTCCACCATCATCTTTGTACCTTGGCGGCAACTGTCATCATCCTCAGAGTCTGGCTTGGGGGCATTTTTGACATTTCACAACCAAAAATGAAAACCGATTCGCAGCAGTACATCTGTCTGTATATGCAATTGTCTCATTTTATTTTTTATAAACAGTGTGAAAGCTGTGGAGTATAGCATATAATAAAAAAAATAGCAGTTTCTCCAAAAAAAAAAAAAAAAAAAAAAAAGAAGAGAAGAGAAAGAGAGAGAGACTAGCAAACAAGGGGACTAAATTACAACTGCACAATTTGTAAAAGAGACAATGTACCATACACTAGTTAAATCAACAATCACCAACGGCAATGCAAATTTCTGCACTTGCGACGCCGATCATTCATTCATTCATTCAATACAAACAATGTTAACGGTGGAAAATCAACAACTCAAAAAAGTTCCATTAAACACAAAAGGCAAACCACCAACCACATAAATTAGAACTCACAGTTCCCAACGATCTACAGAATTTTATACTCCAACAACAACTTCAATTTCTCAGCACTATAGTCCTCTGTTTTCTTTGCCATTTTTCATTTTTGCTTCCGGAAGAGGACTTCCAAGTGAAGATGAATTGCATATATCAGTACTGACCGACTCGTTAGGCTGATGCTCTGAGTTCTTCTCTTTAAACTGATTGTTATTAGTTGTCAAAGTAGACCGCATTGCTCTCGGTAACTTCAAAGGAATGTCACTTTCTGCATTAGCTTTTGACTGCTCTGCATTAGCTTTTGACTGTTCTGGCACTTCAACATTCTGAGGTTGAGGCACAGGTGGCGTAGCAGGTACAAGTTGAATAACCGACTTGCGCCATTTTTTCCTGATATTCTGTTTTGGTGCGCCGGATTTTGCCTGAAGAATTTCAAACATTGTGAAAACCAAATTTAAAACACAAATTATTTTTTTTTTGGGGGGGGGGTTTGGGGGGGGGGGGGGGAAACTCTCTTCTAATGGCATAAGACCAACACTTACCAAGCTATTGCCAATGTCAGATAATGGCTTCCTTACGACTCTACCTTCATTTGCATTCCCAGGCTTCTCAGATAAGGCAGTCTGGAGTAGCATTACACCATGTGAAGCAAGATCGTGACTTCTCTGCCTTTCATCCGATCCAAACAAATTGCCACCATTTTCAATCGTTTCTTGTTGCAATAAGCCGTTTGGAGCTATTTCTACCCTATTGCTGCATCTACTAGCCGTACAGGTACAGGTCAAACTGCACATACCGCTTGCAGCTCGGCATTCACATCTCGATGTCTTGCACGAAGAACTTTTGCTGCAGGTGCAGCATACTCCCTCAACAGAGGTTGTCTGAACTGATTGTTCTGAGTTAATAATTGACTCAACGTGGCTGTCAGTTTTTAGAGTTCCTTCTCCTACTTTGGCGCCTTGGTCTTTCTTTCGTCCGAACCCACTCAACTTCGTCATCGTTCGATAGATTCGACTCTTCAGACTCATCATCATCAGATGTATCCATGTCTTCGAGCAACTGGGACCCGTACACTCCACTATTAAGAAGAGCGTAGTTTCGGGATCCCTAAGTACAAGAAAACCCAATCACGTGTTGTCAATTTTGTATTTTTTTTAAATGCAATACATAATATCATAACGGCGCATGCAATCAACAATTGGTAAGGTAAAATGATGTCATAATATACCTTGGATCGCAAGTCATACACATGCCCGTCGCTGTTGTTAGAACCAGAAGTTTCAAACCCTTCTTTTATTTCTTTAGATCGTCTCTCCAAAGCCAACTTCTGTGAAATTTCAACAACTCATTAAACAAATATTTAGTGCATTTTTACTAGCCTTGTGTTATCTCGATTTTCATGCATTGATGCAGCCGGTAAAAGACAATATAATTGCAGAATTTGCATCCAATGACATAATAGGTGTACAACCATATAAGAGTAAAACTAATACTCAACGTACTCACCATTGCATTTTCCTTACGACTGAGTTCAGCCTTCCTTAGCTCCAGTTCTCTAACCAAACTGACTACTTTTTCCTTCAAATCTCTAATTTCCGAGTCCTTCTCTCGGCAGTCAACTTCCATATCTCTTAGGTGGCATCTGTTGTGTGGGGTAGGTGGAAAACAATATTGTGAGCAAAAAGTTTCAGAATGCACAATTGATTTAATTAATGGAATAATGCTGAAGAGCCACTTACCTGGAGGATGATGCCAGGTTAAAAAGGAAGTTCATGATATTTTTCGCTTCAGCAAGAGAACGAACTTGGTTCCACCTTCCTCTGCCACTAAATGCACGTTCACGCTCCTCGGCTTCTGACAATTGAGATGCCATGGAAACAAGAGTGCTTGAAGAAGTAGAGAGCATATTCTCCAGAGCGAAAACCCTTGAATTTCGAGCGCCAGGAGACATTGTTTGCGGAAATTCACTACAATCGAAGAAACCAATCAACATCCTTAGTCTACAATGGCACTTTATTTTCAGAGAACCAAAAAAAAAAAAAACAAAAAGGATATAACTCATTTAAAATCAGATTTCTGACCTAAAGTCCTGCTGCTTTTGTATCAGTGCTTCTTCCTTCAAACGGGCAACTTCCTCGGCCATTTTAGCCCTCCTACAAAGATTAGAAATCAACAGTTAGAGCTTTTTTTCTGTAAAACAAAGAGATCGTGCTTGCATGATTTTGTGTCGCCGTGAACAAACAAAACATACTCACTCAGGAACTAAAAAATAGAACAGTCACAACACTATCAAACAAGGAAGAAAAAGTAAAATGAAGTTAATATCAAAAGTGTTATTGCATTTACTCTTTCATTTGCCGCTCATATTCTGACCGCACTTCATGTACTCCCACAGTAACATCAAGTTCATGCTCGATAGCCTGTACTAATGCCTTAAAACCAAAATAAAATATGTTAGTAATATTCAAATGAATAAATGAACATGATCCATTCCCAAGGAGACAAGTCCTCATTGATGAGAATAATAAAAGTGTGCCAAGTTCCACTAGAGACGTATACCTGACTTCCAGGGCCTTTGTTACTTCCTGCACATGGTACATGTGATACAAATCAAATCAAATATCACGGAATGTAAGCATACTTATGCAGATATTTTTTTGTTATAATCTAACCAGGCATTTCACGTGGAGCTTTTCGAGAATCTAGCAACTCTTTAAGTCGTTTTGTAGCCATAGCAGCTTCTTCAGTCTTTCGCTGCAAGACCTGAATTGCAACAAATGTATATTACAATATCCAAATATCGATAATTTCAGAAAACAAAATTAATCAAGCTACCAAATTACCAGCTTTTGCCTCTGGTTGAGAGCCAATAGCTTATGCATCTCATATTCATTTCTTCTTCCCTCCTTTTTTAGCTATATATAAGACATCCAAAAATATTTTATTAGTTTCAGACTGTAGGATATAAATAAAGCAATTAAATGCTGCACGTGCAATTTTTGTTTCTTTATCGGGAGGGGATGCCGAGATGGTGTTCAGGCAACTTAAGCACATCGAAATTGTTTTAGTTTCCAGACCAACCACGTGACAGACTAACGTTTGACATCAACATTAAAACATATAAAGATCGAAATGGAAACATAGTTTGAATGGGTAGAAACTCGGCATGTTACTGAGAATTAATTATGGCATGCACCTACCTGAAGCACTTCTTTTTCTCGAGATGCTTTCCATAGCCTGAATTGCTCAGATTCTTGCTTTATCTTTTGTTGTAATTGAACCTTTTGTGTCTTTATCCTCTGTATGTCATCTTGTAGTCTTTTTGCAGCTTCGTCACTCTTTTGTTTTTGTCTCAGTAGTTGAGCTTGAGCATCCTGTTTTTTCTTCAACACGGAAACCTATAGAGAGAATGGAGTCATAAACAAGAACATTAAGTAGAAAAGTAACTATTAACAAATGATTTACCTGTGTCTCAAGGGCATTGAGTTTTTGAAGATACTCTTCCTTGAGCTTTTGAGCACTATCATCAGAATTGCAAGAGATAATTGCAAGATTATGTCTGAGTTCTTCAATCTCTTTCTACACAAAAAAATAAATCCACAGTGTTTAGAGAGACGTAATTAAATAGAACCTGATATAAGAAGTATCAAAAACCAAAATGTACCTGATAAGCCCTCTTTTCTAGTTCCATGTCTTGAAGTTTCTTCTCATAATGCTGCTTAATAACAGATGTATCGGATCCCGCAAACTGCTTCATTTCAGCCTATAAAATGAAAAATAAATGACAGGGAGAGAGTGAGTACGTGCCCAAGAAAAATATTGCAATTACCTCAACACCGCCCCACCCAGCCCCCTAAAATTTGGACTTAGATACTCTAGAAAAATGTTTACCTCCTTCTCTTCAAGTTTTTTATCCAATTCTTTCAGTTCTCTGTCCAATTTTTCCTGAAGAGAAGTATGTTCGATCTCTTTTTCCACATCTTCAACCACACCTACAAGATATCAAGAGTTGAATTTATGATTGATGTTTGAATCACATTTATACAAGATATGGAATATCTGCTAAAGAGCAAGCTGACATTAACTTTGAGGTTCACAATAGCTGGCAATAGCTTACCTTCTGTTTCCACAGTTTTCATATCAGAATCCATGAAATACTCATTTCTTGAGTGAGCACCATCATCTTCTAAATCGAGATAATCGGCGGAATTCTCCGGTTTTAGACGGTTTGAATGTCGTAACCTTATTAATTCACCCTCTAGCTCCTGAATCTTTGTAATGTAGCTTTTCACCAAATCAAGGTCCTGATGAACCAGAAAAAAAAATTAGTGAGAGAGAGAAGAAAATCAGTCCTTGATAAGAACATTTGACAAGAATAACCACTTAATTAGAAAGTATAAACTACAAATATAACCTTGCCGTCTATGTCATCCAAAGACTTGCCATTCTGAATTAATTCGATTTTCATAATTAGTCTATCCCTTTCCACCTGACACAAAATGATTAGATTAACAAAGCAGACAGCAGCATTTTCTGGAAAGTTGAAACCAATTTTCATTTAAACGCAAAACCAACCTGAGCATCAATAGCACGCTGTGTCAGATGGTCATAACTCATTCGGCATTCTTGAAGTGCCTCCTGTAGTTCCATTTTACTTGCTTCAAGTAAAGATATTTTGTGCTTAAGAATCTGTAAATCAGAAAATGTGGAGTAGATATAAAAAACAATCTACAATAATTTCATCTATGAATCCCCACACTTCAGATTATGCGTGTTAAGCCAAAATGCCCTCAACGAACATATAGAGATAATTTGAAAATTAAATGATGGTTTGTAAAATTGATAGAGGGAACAATGTAAATCATAGAGTTGGTGGGCAGTATTATACTTTAACTTCTTCAGCTGGTACATTCGAGTCTCCACGGAGGTAAAGTAACTCCGCTTGCAATTGTTCAATCTGACTTCGCATCCGTTGCATCTGAGCTGTCGCTGGATCACGGTTAATCTACAAATTTGAATACGACATGAAAACTATCACGAAATATTTTTCTCAAAAAATGGAAGTTGGAACCTATTATAGGTTTTGGAGCTTACAATTGCTTTGTTTTGAATGTTCCGTGCACGATTTGCATACTTCAATGTGTTCAGTGTCTCCTCAGCATTCGTGTCAGCAGGGCTAATGCATGCTGTAATGATAAAATAGTTATACGTGTGCCAATTGTTCTACAGAAAAAAGAGAACATTCTTTCCTCAATCTTAATTCTTAAGCATTATGGGTTACAAAGATTGGCTTGTTCATATCAATAAAATGAGAATATATACAAACACATACCAATCATGACGGTTTTGCAATTTCCGCCAAGGGAATCCTGCAGAAATTAAGTACAAATTAGAGTGATACACGTAGTTTTTTGTGCAAGACATGGAAAAAACTCTTGATGATTGCAAGAATTAGACCAGGAAAAATCTATAATCGCTGCATATTTTTCTCAATAAAATTCAACGGGTTTGAAGTAGAAAAAAACCTCGAGATACTACAATTTTTTTTCTAACAGTCATTGGGTTTGTCTCCTCATTAGAGGGCATCTAGAGGAAACGGAAAATAAATTATTACCTGTAATATGCGAGTTAGCTTGCTGTCCCTGTAAGGAACATGACCTCCTTCTTTTCGCTTCTTGTCATCTCCCAGAGCACTGATCACATTACCAAGCGCCAACAATCCCTTATTGATATGAATACCTAGAGCATATGAAAAAGAATATACAAGTTCAGTTACTCTGCCAAAACCAACAACCAGTAGAAGAGGAGAAAAACCAATAACACATTACCTTCTTGAAGGCGTGATCCGTCTGCACCAGTTCGTTTTGCACGCTCAGAGCCTGCAAGATCTACAAGATGAAGCTTTGCAGTCAAAACATCATCACCAATTTCGTCGCCAGTTATTTTCCTTTGTTCCATTGATATGGTGAAAATGGCATGGGAACGGCTGTAGAAAATCCAAAAGGATAGGTGAGAAGGATCACATTGCGCTCAAAATATGGAAACACGTTGTCCTAAACATTGAGTTTCATAATTTGAAAGTATGCAAATGACATGATAACAGCCGTATGTCAGTAATTTAACTAATACTTATATTAAAAAAGAAAAGACAAATATAAACACCTTGATTGGCTGTTCATATTAGTGCTTCCTGTGGCTCGAGTCAACGAGCCTTGCAAAAGATATGAAGCCATCTCTTCCTTTGTCCTCACCTCTGCCTCGGTAACACCAGCAAGGGTAATACCTCCGCCCACTCTCTCTCTTATTTGAATTGGTACTCTTGCAGGGCCTGTGGTTTTTGGATCTAACAAATCAAACACCTCTTCCTTGAAAATCTGCATGTAAGTCTTAATTAATAAACAACTTAGAAATGTGAATACTAAGTTTACGTAATACACCCTATACCTCAATGAAAGATACTCTAATCAAGCACTCTCCAGCATCTTTCATAGTATCCACTTTTGAGAAAATAGTATCCATCACTCTAGGAATGACACCATTCCTTTGTTCTTCACCATTATAATTTGTACCCATGGTATACGTTTTTCCCGAACCAGTCTAGAAATTAAGTCAACAGAAAGAAATCAATTATCCATGATTACTCAAAAGCATGACTAACATTTATAAAAAATGTAAAAGAATATATTTTTTTTTTGTGAAATTAAATACTTGAATATGATGAAACTAAATACCTGGCCATATGCAAGTACGGTGCCATTATACCCATGGAAAAGGGCATCAACTAATGGAGCAACACAATCATCAAATATTGATGATGAAGACGAGCATCCTCTTTTACCAAAGACGTTATCATATGTGAATGAATGTGATCCAATTTGAACCTATTTGTGAAACCAATTACAAAAATTACAGTTAGAACCAATCATTTGAGACCTTAGATCTAGAAAACTTAACTTATTATGTGTTTATGCCCATCATAACTCCAATATAATTTCACTGAAACTAAGGCCCAAGAAAAGATCTAAGGCCGTCATAATTCACTATAATTTCACACATAAAGGAGAATATTATTTGTTACAATGTATTGCAACAACACCAATTACTGTAAATCAATAATCAAATTACATATTACATAATTCACCCCAAAACAAAAAATGTTACTTTTTGTTTTTATACTCGACATACAATTTAAAATAAAAATTACAGTAGTATTGTCGCGGAAATGAAAACCTGTTTTTCGGAGGGATAGACAGTTATACAGTCTGTACAGCCAATGAGAAGCTCAGGCGTGACAAGCGGCCGGATGTTTACAGCAACCCTCACGCTCTGCGAAGACTCACAATGGTCCATCTTCACCCAAATTAGAAATCCTCGCCAGAAACCGAAACCCTAGATTTTGCTATCTGAAACCCAAAAAAAAATGAAATGCATAAATTTCAGCAAGCATTATACCCATCATCGCACTACCCGAAACCCACATTTCAATTAAATGCACAACAGACCCACCTCCCAATCGGAAAATTCAAAAATTAAAAAAATCAGAATGAAGGTATTGATTGCGCAGGCTAAGAGATGAAAGGAGGTAAAAAAGCGTACATTGTTTAGCTGACAACGGAAGGATTGATTTTGAACTCGACAAATACGTTCGAAGGAGAGAGAGAGAGAGAGAGAGAGAGAGAGAGAGAGAGAGAGACAGGCGGCTATTCAATTTGAAATCTGGAAAAAGGAGGAGAGAAGAATGAATAGAGAGAAAGTGAAGGGTAGTAATGGAATTTACTAAGGTCCCAAAAAATTGAATTGGAAAAAGGCGGTTGGGTCCGAAATCGGAAATCCACGTTTCAAATTTTGGACACGTGCGATCCGACTCGCCCTTTACATGGAAATAATTTATCTGCTGCACAAATAAAATTTGCTATATTTGAAATGAAACAAAAAATCCCTAAAAAGTTCTTGAAAATCATATTATGCATAAGTAATAGCTAATCCAGATTATTTTTGTTATAATGAGTTATTATAATTCATTTTAGGAATTTGAATGAATTTTATAGAAGCATTTTAAAATGAACACATACACTGTATTCAACTATGTAAAAATTCAAGGAATATTGACAATCCAATTATATTTTCTATAACATGTAGTTAGGCCCGTTAATTTGGATCCGGTTCGATAGATGGATCCGATCAAATTCGGTTTGATCCATATGGATTCGGTTATCCAAAACATACTTTATAGATTGTTATCATGTAAAATACTTGTGGCTAATTTAAATTTTAAATTAGAATTATTTAATTTTTAATATTTTTAAAATCAAATTTATCGAGTCTCATAAAATCGACTAATCTTTCACATAATTATGTAAGTCATCGTCGTCATCACCACCATGATGTATACAGAACAACAGCGGCAAACAAAAACTACAAACACTTATCTACGGCCCGCAGCAATCTCCATATTCATGACAACAATCTAAATGGCAGCAAAATAATACTAACACAAAATAAGATCTAAGGTCAAATATATATTTTTTTATATATATAAATATATTCACCGAGCACCGAGCACCGCCACACTTCACAAATGTAGTTCCTCGGACAAATTACCATTAAGCCCTTCCCCACCATCATCAGGTGACACGATCCTCATCCTTTTTGCAGTGCGCTGCAGCACATCCTGACCATCCATTCGATACAGGCTCTCGCATTCTGGACCGTCCGATTTGTCATGCAGGGGGTTTTCTTCGCGACAAAGATCTGGAGAGTTTTTCAAGAGAAGAGAATCGTCAATTTGGTCAGTAATCTCGTCGAGATTACGAGATTCATCGGCATTAGCAACCACTTGTCCTGAAGGAAAGGCAAAGCTGATATCAGTTACATTCTCTGATGATGTACATTTACGCTTGCATGTCTCACTGTCTAAGCTAACTGCTTCTTCAACAGATTCCCATTTTTCGCCGTTCACTATTTTTAGTATATCTCCGGATTCGCAACCTGAGCTAACTGGGGATGAGTTGGCATCCTGTGATTGGTGAAGTAAATCTAATCTAAAATCTTCGGTTGAGTAATGGAAAATGGGTTCTGCTAATTGTGTTTGTTCGAAGCACTCGTTAGCTTCCGCTTCGTCGTCCTGTAACAACAAATTCCATTTTCATGAAACAAGTTCAGCCAGCACAAGGGTAAATTACCCTTTAAATTCTACATAATTTACAAGAATGATAGTGTTCGATGTTGATTTACTTAATATTTGAAGGAATTGATAGTAACTTTGAGATTTTTCATTCAATCTTCACAAACAAACATGCGCTCTTGTAACCTTTTTTTTTCCGTGTCAAGAAATTTTGTGAGTATATTTCACAAGCAAGCACAACCTTGGATTTTTTTTTAAATTAGTGATGTAATTAATCTTTTCTCATCAAGTTAAACAAATAGAAAAACTAAGTGGCGATGAGAAGATTGATGGTATTTAGAGGTACCTCTGTCAGATGAACAGGTGTTGTAAACTCATTAAGAGATGGTCTGCTCTCCAAAGCTTCCCATGGTGTATCGTTAAACGGTTCTGATGTAGAAGGTTGCTTATACAAATCGTTAAAAATCAATCCTGAAGTTTTGGTACATCGGGTATTCTCAATGGAAGAAGCTGGCAGTAAAGTCATCTCGATTCCTTGACCGGTGTGACAGGGTGAGTTCTCAAGGCAATAGCTTAAAGGACCAGGTTTTACTGAAAGATCAACACCACTTTGATGGACATCTGTAGTGTTCGGAACTTCCGATTGAGTATCAAGGAGACCATTAATCAGTCTCTCAATATGACTTCGCTTCATCGAAGCTTCGCCAGGTGGAAACCAATCTGCTTGAAGCTGGAAAACACGTATTCAATAAATTTATCATTTAAAACTAATGAAATGCCGTAACTCACAGGAGAACCAAAAGACATGGATTTTTTTTTCTTTTTTAATAAACAAAATGCTGGTGGTTAAGAAGTACAGGAAACAGAAAGAGACTTTCGGGTTTCTTTTTATTACTAATGTGAATAGGTTATACAGAAGGGTGGATTGCTGATGGTTGAGAAGTACAGCATAAGATAAATTGCAATGCAGACCAATATTACAAGTCTGAAGGATTAAGCTTTAAGAAGACAGTTGCATGTTTGAGCTTTAGCAGGACCAATATACACGCTTTGGAGCTATAATTGAAGTTCAGATAAACTCATTATTTCTTTTGCTTTTCAACAAGCCAAGTATGTACACATTTTTTAAGTCTTGAACACAATGCGACGAATTGGCTGGATAAGGAATCAATAGTTAGTGTGTTAAGCACAATATGACACAAAAAGCAAAATTAATTCACAACTTGCAGTCTTGCACGCTACGTCAAGTTACAACCCCAACACCCTAGCATTTAGGTAAAGCATATTAAAAAATAATCACTCCTCCATTCTCAGCCATCTTATTGCATTGTGAGATAGCACTGCGCTTTATCCCCATATTTTTTTGCAGATAATACATCAAAAATACTATGGATGGTAACGGTCTGATTTAGCAATTCAATGAACATAAACAGAAGGATCACGAGTCAACGGAACATAAAGGCAAAAAAAAGGCAGCTTGTAAGCTAGATTCAAGACTAGGGAATGCACTTACGAACTTGGCGGATGATGTAATCTTGTAAATACTAAAATTAGTGGGCACTTCCTCCACAAAAAGCTCTACGTAGTGAAGCAAGAAAAGGCCACAATCGTATGAGTTTTGCTGCTGAGGTAGCTGCAAAATTCAATAACATAAGTAAAACATCGTATAACTTGCCCAGAATATATGGAGAGCGCACGAATAATTGCCAAAGTCAGAAATTTGCTAAGTCAATACATCATAAGGTCATCAGAATTACTGGTTCCAATATGTGGACTTGGGACAGGCAAGGGGTCAAACAAAACATAGAAAACTAGCCTTGTACAAGTTAATTGAGTTTTTGAAGGCTAACACAAGATTTATGAGCATAAAGTCAACAGTGACGATTACGCTGATTTCTAAGTACACCTGAAAGAAAATATAGCATATTTATAAAATAGAACATGATGTCAATGCTGGTCTGCAATGTTGTCCCATAAACTCAAAACAATAACAGGGAAAATAAGGCCCTACGTGCTTCTATGGGGCACCATAGGGAGTCAGACAAGCAATATTTTTCACTAAGTTGGTCCTGAGTACTCGGACTATATCAAGGCTTTAGAAGAGTCAAACAGTTTTTAAATAAATTTACACTTTGCATGTGTAACCTTGGCATAGCAGCATGTATAATAAGTGTACCTCGAGGGGTACAAACTTTAAGTTTCTGAATTTCGAATACAGATCTTCACATGTTCCTTTCTGCCTTTCTTTCCACTCCTCCCATAAATAACTGTCATTTCAAGTTATAAACTTGATAAGTCAAACACTTAAAACTAAAAAAGTGAAAGATATAACACTGGAAGGAAAAACAAAAAATAAATAAATATAAAGGTAGCAAAAATGTGAAATGAGTGCCAAAAAAGGTTAGATGTTTTGCAAGGATATAGTGAGGGGCTATTATGCGATACAGTCTTCAACTCATGACAGGACCTTTCAATTGAAGCATATTTTGCTTTTAAGTTGGTTTTCAGAAGGCAGTTCACTATTTTTACGAGATTTCTCATTAGTTAACTGCTTCCACGTAATGTAATACTAGGCGTCAATAATTTCTCGAGAGTGTTTTGAAGCAAAACATTTATCTGGAAATAACTGGCCTGTGGCCACTTAATGGGTATTGGGTCATCATATAAGAAAGATACGGGGATATTGACATAAGGATCCCCACTCCCTTAACCAACAACCTTGTGGTTGGATGGCATCTCTCTCATTCTTGAGATGAGAGGTCATGGGTTCAATCTCATGTGGGTGCATGTGTGTCTTGTAGGCCAAATTTTTTTTTTTAAACCACTACCCATACTCTCTTACTAATAACCAAGAAAAAGGAAAATAATTTGGTCATTGCCTTATACTGAAAAAAGAGCAAGTTCATTGTTTCATATTTTTCGAGCCCCTTGTAAATTCAATGAGATACTTACAAAATAGATATGCTCAAATAGTATATGCACATATATATTATAATATATGCATGTACATGTATAGTCAAATGTATACCTCTGTATAAGATCTTTGAGGCCCACATGATTTCCTCTAAGGGAATCCATATGCAATATACATGGCACTCTTTCTGACTTCCCATCCTCAACCTCTAAAATATGGCCAAGGAAAAAAAGAATAATGTCAAGAAGTAGAAAATCTTTGACGAGATAGAGCAAGGTTTAAAATAACTTGCCTTTATAACTGGCAACTTCCCCAAAGTAACAAATTACTATAAGACTCCAGTGGTAACTGCCATACCATTGCATTGTAAGTTACCAGTCTTCATGCCTTGATACCAACGTATTCAGAAAATCAACCAAAAAAATACATTTTAAGTTATGTTTTAATTTCTTACTTGTAGTTGACGGGAATGAAAACGAAGTCCTTTTCAAGTAAATTAACTTTCCTTGTCCATTTACGAACACGCTGGAAAGCTGCTTTGCCATCAAAAGCACTGGATGGATCTTTATCCATGTCTGCCAGCTTTCGAAAGAAGAAACTATTGAAAAAGTGGAAATCAGTCCTCTCCTTGACGTGTTGTCTAGTCTTCAAATATCTGTTACACAGTTAGAATTCGATGTGAGCCTAAACGAAGGAAAATGAATAATTGATAAATACAGCCAACAATCAAGACAAGGAAATGAGCCGAAAAATCTAATAACTCTGGCCACTGCCATCCATAAAAAATGCAGAAGAAAGAATTTGTTATTTTGTTCTTCAGTTCATTCTCAATTCAACATCTGGGAACAAAACGAATCAATCAAACACGCCGCCATGTCGAATTTTATCCCATGGACTCAGGATCACCATCTCGTTCTTTAAAGAAATATTTAAAGTTTAAATACGTAAACAGAATTTAGCCAATTATTCCCGCAACCCCACTCCTTTCCTTAATGCATTATAAACAGACATAAGAAATTTCCTTTTTGCAGGCTAGCCGACAGCGTACATGTTGTGGGAAGTAATGCATAAGTTCAAAAGGTGAAAAAGAACATATAGATATCTGCAATCAAACTCACTTGATATAAAAGTCTATGATGGTATCATTGACAAATGTATCCGGCAGTAGGAGATCTACATCTCTCTTACTTATGGAAACAGCATCGGGATCACCTTTTGGATAAATCACTTCTTCAAAAGGCTTATCGAACCTGTAACATTAAAAGTAGCTCACTACACATAATAACTGAACAAGCAAGAAATTATAATGACATAAACCTAAGCAACAAAAACACATAAAACCTGACAATTTTTAAGTTTAGTGACTCATGGAAGAAAGGGAGCAACAATTAGCTACACCTAAAAATTCTTAAATAAGTTACACAGTAAAGGAAACTTATTCAGCTAAAAACAGAGGAGAGAACAAAAAAAGGAGTCCAAAGAATTAGTTTTGACCCATCCATAACAAAAACAAAGGGTATTATATTTGAGAGGTTACCTAGAAATTGATGATATGAGAATAGGTTTCTAGCAATAGCTATAAAGCTTGTGAGTTTAAGAGCGTAGGATATTACTAAAGAATTTTATGCTGTATGTGCAATAATACGTAAATTAAAGAATCAAATTGCCAGATACAATGATAAATAATTGAGAAGAAGAGCCTTCCACATTTAAGAAGTATTAACAGTAAACATGGAAGAAATTAGACTCATGGGGAAGGACCAAACAAAAATGACCCAGAAAATTTGATGCGATGTTTTAAAAGCACTATATGACTGATATAATCGGGAACCAGTGACAAGGCCAATACCGTCACACTTTAATAGGTTGCATGTCAGCCATTATGTATTTCATCAGATCTTTCTTACTTTTTCTTGTGCTGACTGATGGGGAAGGTTGATGCGTGTTGTTATGGAGGTGGGGTGTGGATCCAAGATAAATGGGTAGGGTAGGGTAGCTTTTTTGAAGGTGGAGCAGACTGAGGAGATTCCATAAGTTAGAAAAGATTACCTATATATGTATGTATGTGTGTGTGTGTGTGTGTGTGTGTGTGTGTGTGTGTGTGTGTGTGTGTGTGTGTATGTGTGTGTGTGTGTGTGTGTGTGTGTGTGTGTGTGTGTATAATTTTTTATAACCTAATCAAGGCTATTAGTTTCATGAAACGAAGCCAACGGTTAGAAACCAGTTGGTTGTACGACCTGGATCACTGCCTAGGACCTCAGGGGGGAAAGGAGGCAAATACCAAAAATAATGACCCAAGAGGTTTGTGGAAAATGGATAATAGGTACTTAAAAAAACATAACATGGGGAAAATAAGAATTAGAATCTCCAGACTCTAATGCACTCACTTTGGAAAATAGCTTCTTTTGAGCATCATAGCTTCCCCGTCAGGCAAATCTGAAGAGTTGTCCATCCCAGTGCTTCAGATGAAACCAGAAAAATAAAAACTATCAACACCGTCATAATAATAACAATTTGTGTAATCACAGGTCTCGATGAGCTAAATAAGAAGGGTTAACTTGAATCATCTTTCGTATAGAATACGAAGGATAAGTTGAATTATCATTTTGTTTCCGACGAACTACAGGACAAGAAGAAAAATCAAATCAAATAATGAGAAGTAGCCATTCGAATATACGGATACTTTAATTCAAATCAAATCACATATATGGATATTTTAATTCATATAAGAAAACTTGAGTATTAACATGAGAAGTCACAGATTTCTGTAAAGACTCACTCAAGAAGAACATTCCATAATGCCTTATATCTCACATCCAAAGATTCAATAGCTTCCTGTTTTTTGTACCAGTTGGAGTCGATAGCGGGAAATTTCAACTCCTGGACCTGGAGTCCTGATATTGTACAAAGTATAGTGGAAATAAGATTCATTAGATAGTAGCAAGAGAAGAAACAAACAACGGAGATTAAAACTGGTTCGAAATTATCCAAAAAGGCAAATAACTTTGGAGACTATATCAGAACATGTGATAAAATGCAATAGAAACTGGTACCTATGTCATGCAACACGAGAAAGTGGCAAGAGAACCAACCTGAAGCACTCTGAACAATACCGTCTTTTTGTACTGCCTCTTTTGAGATGAAATAGATATGTATGGTGCCTGCCTCAAACTGAATAAAGGTCATCAAAATGTTAAATTTTGACTTCATATTGTAGATCGAACATAAATATTTAAACTAGCGGCATGCTTTACTTACTCGAGCACTCCACTGGGATTCTATTCTGACAATATCATCAATTTCCAAATGAATATGAAAATTTTCTTCATTTCCATCACTGGTTTTACTTCTAGCTTCAATAGAGCTTCTAGAAAATCTCATCACAGAGTCCAGATAATGTATACCACAGTAATTTACATAATCAGTGTCGAAAACAATTCCCATCCTTTCGTCACCCTACAATTAAAAAGAGAAGTGAATAAATATGTAGCGAGCACAATGTGGATCCCTTGGTTACTTTATAAATGTTTTTATGGTCGGTCAGCTAAATACAAGGCAATTCAAAAACGATTTAAGCACAAGCTACAAATAAATGCCATCTCAAGACATTCAACTCCACGAGACATGATTATGTAACATCACCTAAAAATAAAAATTAAAGGACCTCTACATTGAAAAACTATAACCTCCATGATACATTGTTCATTTCACAATCAAAATGAGAATATTTGATTTTAACCACTACTATAAATCCCGAACTCTTAACCAATAAGATGAAGAAGCAAAGCAGAGAGAATTCTTTAACAAGTGTGTGACACAAACCTATTAGAATTAAATCTGAAAATAGATCCCCATCAGAAAACTTGGTCAAGACTACTGAAACAATAAATCATTTCTTGATACAGTAAAGACAGCATTTCTCTTACCATCAGAAATAGATACTCATCTGTTATCCACTGACTAAAAAAGTAGGAAATCCTATGATTACCGATCTACAGAGAAACTGAAAAATGCAAATGATGCTTACAAAGTTCCAATCACTGAAGCAGACATCAGATGACGGTCCATCAGAAGAAGCTGCGAAAATACAACAGAGATGATAAGAACATGGTGTTGCTTGATATATATATATAACGAATGAAGGATAAAAGAGGTTCAATGAAGCAAGAACATGATCCAAACCTTTGTTTGCAGTAGCAGATGGAGATCTCTCGCTCATACTATCATCAGCATCTGAAGCCAAGTCAACTGACTTATCCTGCCATTATAAGAAAAGCGATAACTCAGTGACAGGAAGCAGTATTTATTGCCTCTGCACAATACATTAAGCAGCAAATATTAAGTACATAGCAAGAAGACTCTGGAAAGGCACAATTCGAGTGTTCCTCCAACCGTACAGTGGCCCCTGGGCTTGAACCGCATTCCACACTAGAAAATACACTTCCAGATTCAGTAACATTAGATTTCATTTCTTTAGCTTTTTCGCTGCTTCTACAAACATTGAGCTGAACATCTGTCAGTTCAGGCGTCTCCTCAGCAAAATCTTCAGTCTCGGAAGGAGTAATTGAACCAGCGGCATCATTATTGTAATCAATGTCCTCAGTATCTTTGCCCCCAAACATTCCAGTGTCATTCTTCTTGGACAGGATATTAATTCCGGAAACTATAACAAATAATACGCATATCATGAAACTTGAAAGAAAGACACAATGCTTTAAAAGGAAGCAATTTGATTTAACTTCCAATAAAGCCTTGAAAATAAATTACATCGCAAAAGAGAACACTGAAACTTGGAAAACCAGTTAACAAGTGGTAAAAACAGCTCAAAACTAAAAACAGCCATTAAAGTCATAATATACTTGTAACAACGCATTTTTTTTCTTCTACATTTCGTAAACGAGAAAGCACTGTGTTGATGTCGATGTTTGATAGAATCACAAAGAACATAAATATTATAAAAAAATAACAAATCCATCTCTACGAGCCGACTCATCAGCATTGTGTACTCATTGCTCTCACCAAATAATTTTCATCTTTTGTCATTGTCATTTTCAGAGGAAAACAATCAGATACTTGTCAACAACGCACATGCCTAATTATTTCTTCAAAAGAAATTATAAATAAATGGGGTGATTCTCCGGTTGAATTCTCTAACCTCAATTAGATATAATACACCAAAATTGGTATACATAATCAACAGCATACACATAATTTCAGCTTCCTACAAGTAAAACTCACAAAAAAATCCAATTGAAAAAAAAAGTAATAATAATAATACAAACTCAGACTACTGACCATGATCGCCGGACGTACCTTTACCATCGACGGAATGATGATACCCAGATTTGGGGGAATATTTTTTTGCCGCCATTTGAGTCAGCTCACCTTCTTCTTTGAACTCAAACACGTCAAAGGATTTGCTCAGACTCTTCATTCTTTCTGTCTCTGTCATAGAAAAACGCATATGGATCAAGATGCAGCAGGGTTGGATGAACTAGGGTTTTACCAATCAGAATTTGGGTGACAAAAGGAATTTTTAGGGTTTAGAAGAGGCTATTGAATTGGGGATTTGGAGAATGGGGGAAAAGGGTCAATGAAACGAGACGGGTGCGTATTCAATACTGTTTCAGTACTTCGGCGGGCAACATGATTTCGTGAAAATTGCAACGATCATCCTTTAATACTATCTATATTTCCCCTTGGCCCCTCGTCTTTCCTCTTTTGTAAAATTCCAAAAACCAAATCAAAAGCTCTAATCGAATTGAATAAATGTATTTTCAACTTTTTTGTCAATAGATTATAATAAACGTATATGTTTATTCGATTATAATTACGATTTTTTTTTGGAAAAAAGTTGTTGTTGTTCACTTCCAAAATAAGCATGACTGCATCAGAAGTGAAGATGTGGTTACGCGGCAAACTGATCATCAAGTCAATATGTGGTTACGCGCCAAACTAATCATATGACCGTTGGAGGATATGATCCGTTATAAATAAATGAGGAAACCCTATACATTACATAATCGAAAATTGAGCGATCATCATCGTAAATCTCGAATGAATAAATAAATTCTCGAATGACCTTTGAAAGACATCATCGTAAATCTCGAATGAATAAATAAATTCCAAATTAGAAACTACTCGTCTATAATTCGCTATATTAAGGATAGAGGGGTTAAACTTTAAAGTGATCACAATGTTCAAAGTACAATTCTCATTTTGCTAAAGGCCTCAAAATAATCTAAGAACATCAAATTATATTATATACATAATAGGGCAATAATCTTTAGCAATAATCACCCAAAAAATATATAAAAAAACGAATTGTATTCACAATAATCAGTTTTTGTTGTTTCAAAACTTTTGCAAAAAACAATTTAATATAATAATATGATCAATTACGGTTACCATTGAGATAAGGTCAAATTACAAAAAAAAATATTTATCATATTTTGGTAATTACAACCACCCTTAACTATGAATCTTCTTACACGTTCATTCTTATAGTGTCAAATTTTAGTAGAATCTTCCAGATTATGTGGAATATCCTCCAGTTAGTATCCGTTTTACCCAGTTGGAGCTCCACATTTTGAAACAACATGATCATAAGATGTGTCTCTTGACTTGTAAATATCATATTGTTGTGTATCAGAAACTGCATTTTTGCACAAAATGAGTACAAATTAAAGAACATTCCACGAAACCCATATGATTTTGTTGAATTTAACACCATAAGGGTAAACGTGCAAGAAGATTCATAGTTAGGGTCTGATTATAATTATTCAAACAGTAGGTGTTTTTTCATAATTTAATTTTAAATGAGGGGGTCATCGTAATTTACCCTATAATAATATAATAGTGTTACTTTTTTCTATTTATTAGAATCAAAATTGACCGTTGATTTGATCTCACTCATCTGAATCGACGGTATTAGATCAGACCACTCTACCGAATTGGTCTCGGACATCGTTTTCTCAGACAGAACACCACACCCCCAAATAGCTTCAGATAGATCTCTCCATTGTTGAACCAAAACCAAGAGAGAAAAAATGGAGCACCACACCACCACGAGCCGAGCCGAAGCCGAGCGACTCCTGGGCATAGCCGAGAAGCTCCTGAAGAGCAAAGACTACAGCGGCTCAAGAGATTTCGCCATTCTGGCTCAGGAAACGGAGCCGCTGCTCGAAGGGTCCGATCAGATCTTAGCCGTGGCGGAGGTCCTCTTGGCTTCGGAGAACAAGCGGCTCAACAACAACAAGCCGGACTGGTACTCCATTCTCCAAATCCCCCAGCGCACCGACGAGACGGAGCTGATCAAGCGCCAGTACCGGCGGCTCGCCCTCCTCCTCCACCCGGACAAGAACAAGTTCCCCTTCTCCGACTCGGCTTTCCGGCTCGTAGCCGATTCGTGGGCCGCCCTCTCCGATCCGGCTAAGAAAACCGCCTACGACAACGAATTCGCCGCCCGTTTCTCCAAGGTAGATCTCGCCGCCGCCGCGGCCGCGAAGAAACAGCAAACTCACCAGCCAAAGAAGCAGAAACCTAAAGCAAATAATTCGCACCAGAAATTGCCCGTCCGCCGCAGCGGTAGAGGAAGCGCCGACGATGGCGGCGCCGCCGCTCCCGGTGGCGGAGTCAAGGCGAACAAGAGAAGCAGCGGCGGCACGAATTCCGACTGGCCGCCGCCGTCGGGGAATTTCTGGACAGCGTGCCCTTACTGCTACAACCTGTACGAGTTCTCTAGGGTTTACGATGGGTGCTGCCTGAGGTGCGACAACGAGAATTGCAAGAGGGCGTTCACCGCCACCGAGATTCTGTCCATGCCGCCGGTGGTGCCGGGGAAGGAGGCGTACTATTGCTGCTGGGGATTTTTCCCGATGGGGTTCACGGCCGGGAAAATGGGCGGGGCGGCCAAAGGGTTCCCCAATTGGATGCCGCCCATGTTCGAGAACGGCGATGCGACGGCTGCTCCCTCGGCGGAGGCTCCGCCTCCTCCCGTAAACGCAACCCCACTCGCGGACGCGGATGCATCCCCCGCGGCGGCAGTTGCATCTTCGGTGACGAATAAGAAAAGGGGAAGGCCGAAAAAGAATGTAGTCCGGTGAAGAACATGGCCCCCTTGCGGTTTGTAGATTTGAAGAAGGTATGAATTAACAATGTATGTTATTTAGGGTTTGCTCAAAACAAAAAACCAAAAAAAAAAAAAAAAGAAAGAAAAATGAACAATGTATGTTTAATTTAAGCTTGTTATGTAGAATTTTAGTACTGGTAGTTAAAATGGGGAGCTCTGTGTAGCTAAATGTTTGATATGGTACGAGGATGTTGGTTTCTTGGTTTAGCAGAAATGTTTGCTTGGCCTTTAGCAGTAAGCAGTATGGTTTAATGTATGCAGAAATGCTGTCAATCCTTTTTTTCAGGCTGTGGTGAATTAGGTTTATTTCTATACATGTTTTTGACAGTCATCTTATTTTGTGAAGTAACTTGTATTTTGAAGGTTATTTGATATTTCTATGCTTCACCCGGTGAAGACTACACCGTGTGAATTTTTACCGATGATCTACCTACACACACCAATGTGGGTGTGTGGGTGTATGTGAATGGTAAAGATCTACTCGGTGTAGCGTAGAATGTACCGTACTTTGAACTCAATTTCTTGATGTAGTAAACTCATTTTGGTTAACAATGCAATGATCAAATGAGTCTATAAAGAGGACTTCGATGCTACAAACTCGTTGTTTGCGTTGGGCGAGTGTTAACTGTAGACGAGGTTGAATAATCTCCAACTAAGAACATATATTGTGTGTGATTATGAGCAGATTTATAGTTAACAATCACCCAATGTAAATAACTATGTGTAACATCTAATTTCCGGTCTATAAAATACTTGAGTTTCGATATGTGTTTTGATTAAGTTAAGATAAATTACAAAGTTATAGAACTAAAACAGAAATAATTGAAATAAGTTGGAAAAATTAGGAGTGTCAATTAACATGACCATGGTTCAAATAATTTAGCCCCAAGTTTCTTCAACCCAATTCCTTCGTGGACCTTCAGTATATATTGAGGCCCGATATATTCTAACATTATTGGGCCTAATAAAAACAAGGTCAAAACCGAATTGCTGCAAGATTGATGATCTCTCTATTGAGTTTTTGGATCGCTTAATTACTTCTACAATAAATCGACTATAAAAAAACAACACGGTTGACTTGATTTATTAAACAACTATAATCGATCACGTAAACTGTCACATAATAATAGTAAATCGATGGAAGAAAAATTGAAACTCTGCCACGCGATGCGTTGTTCGTGGGGCCGTAGAGGAGGAAGTTGCCGGTTTATGAGATGATGGCCGTTTCAATTTTCGGCGGTGGAGGCGTTTTTTATGTCCAAACCGTGGTGCAAAACAAAGAGATAGTTCTTGAATTATTGGTTTATTTTATCAAATACAATAAAATCTCTTTGGTTGAAATTCCTACAATTAGATTGGTGGAAATCTGCTGCTGATTATATTGTACGCACAACACACGACACAACCCAAGTGCATAATCAGACTATGGTCTATAGTTAATTACATAAACTGTCACATCTAAATCGATTGAAGAAAAACCGGAGTGCATCGGACAAATGAGATAAAGTCCAAAATTCAGATACATTGTTAAGAAAAAGTTTTATATGAAACAAAGCATAAACTATCAAGTCTCCAACTATAATTATTAAATTACATTATTTTAATTTAACCTGGTAGTTTTAGTGACGTTTGCAGTGATCTCATCGCCCATTTATTTAGCTATATTAACGAATTAATTACAAGAAGTTTACAGGCACAATCAATATTTGTTAATATTTAAAGTGTGAGTGTATGTGAATCAAATGGAAATATAGCAAATTGCAATAATCTTTGAAATAAATAATGTCAAGTTCACACTGAGTCATCCACCTGAAATTTGAATGTAATTTACATTAATAAATAACTCTTAAGTTTCTCACGCAAAAACGACTTATTCCTGTAATACTGTTACACTGCCAATTAGTAATATTTTAATTATAAGTTAATGAATATTTAATTAGTGTGCCCATTTGAATGGATATCAGTGCTAGGGGACCCTGTCGAGTGGGAAATGCTCCAATTTTAAGATTATAAAATTGTTAAGTGTTTTTGGTTCGAGGTTTATTAAAAAAATAAAATTAAAATTGTCTAATATAATATTATATGTTATGTGCACTAGTGTAATAATATATTTTACCTATACTCTAAAATAGGGTGCAAAAAATTGTCCCTCTAGTTTCCCAGTTGAAGTGACGTAAATTCAATTATTATTGAACATCAATGGTGAATGCATAAATTATTATATGTTAGTTTCAACAATCACAATTATGTATGAATTGTTATTAAACAAACAAGATGCACGTGTCACTAGCTAGGGGGGCTTTTGTTTATTTATTTGTTTATAAGAAATAATGGTTTGTTTATATGAGACCAAAACTAAAGAAATGTGGTGTGGGATCGGATTTTGTAGATGCTACACTCGGTGAAATAGATCGGGCGATCTCGAATCATCGATCTACGTATAATAACACATAATCGTGTTTATGTGTGCTTAGTGATTAGTCATTTACAAAGATGTGTCTACGGTTAAAAATTAACTAATGTGTTAAACCAGGTATAACATCTCGTAAAGCGTGCGCCGTGGGATATTATGAAAACTAGGAAATCCACCAATAGGAGGGCTAGAACACATGTGATCCACTTATCCTACATATTATTTGTACAAATAAACATCCAATAAAGTCAAATCTACATTAATTATAAACAATTACAAGAGTATCAGATTGCTCATATATGTTTGCTATTTTTTATCTTGACCAATACATTTGTCCCAATTATGTATTAGTGGACATCAAATTGTACCTTTCTTGATTTGTTTAGTTTAATTAGGAACGAATAATTGAGAGCATAATCCCATCCAATAAACAAGGATTTCTCACCACCCATCTTAAGGAAGATAGCTAAGTATTTAATATTTATAGTGTATAATTAATGAATTTTAGCTTTTTTTTTTTTGTTTTTTTTTTGGTAATGAATGAATTTACAACCAATTATGTATGTGCGTCGAGTAAATCTGCACTGTCCTATTGATTCGTCCGAATATATTGGTGGATCTTTTAGATCCGTATATGTTGAAGGATTTCTTGGATTCTGCAAATAAGAACACAAAAAAGGAAAACCGGGCTGAGGCCGGAGTTAGCACTCCGACGATCAAGTCAGTACAGCTTTGATTTAGGAAAAAAGAATAATTATATGTTTTCTTTTTGTTTTTTTTAAAAAAGTAGTCGTGTCCTTTAAGGGAATTAATCTCTTGCTATTTATAGAGAACTTTTGAGAACGGATTTCAAATACGGACTCCAATTCCATTTTAACTGTCATTTCAGGGATGTTTCAGACTTTTCGAGATTATTAAATTAAACTTACCTGTCTTCTCGGTGAACAGTGTTGTGAGCTGCTTATTCCCCAAACTGCATATTCTCTGAACGCTTTTGACATTTGAGAGGGGATATTAAATGCAAGATAATTATGTCGGGCATCATATAGATCATTATCTTATAACTCTCGCCTATGTACTCTCGCTACTGAGAGGGTCTTCCCTCTCGCGCCCACGATCGGCCTTTGATTAGGCTTCCTAGCTAGACCCAGAATATTTGATTTACCAAATCTAGTCTGTATATTCTCTGCGGTTCCTGACATTTGAGTAGACACGCATTAAATGTAAGGCGGCAATGTTACTCCCTTTTTCAGATAATATTCCTTGTTCCCATCCTTTCATTTCGGCGACCGCGAACTTCTTCCCCTCTCACCCTGGAGTGGACTCTCGCGAGCTTCCCATTATTGGGCCTTTATTGGACCTTCTTTCAATGGGCCGAAACAGTTACTTTTTACCGAATCAACTAGCCCCCTACTCGCAAGGACCAAGATGAAGTCCTTCGCGAGTAAATTTTACTACATATAGGTATATTTTTATTATTATTATTTTATTTTTTTGTGTCGATTACGCTTCCCGAAGTCGCGACTGTTCGTTCACTGGGAGCCTTCTTTTCGCCTTAAAGGCGACGTATGGGCTGCCCTAGATGACTGTGCAGCCGTCGCTTCATGTCGCCGCCTCCCTCTATAAATATCACTCATCTTCCTCATTCTTCCACTTTTCTGCCATTTCTTCCTTTCTCCGGCGTCTGCTCCTTCCTCCGGCGATTATTCCGGCCTTCCCTTTGTCCTCAGGTACACCATACTCCTTTTTGTTGTTTTATCTTACTCTTTTCCTCCCATATCTATGGCTTCTTCTTCTTCTTCATCCGGAGAGGCCCCTCCTCCGTCTTCCACGGTCGGCCCTTCACGCGCCGCCGTAGCCCCTCCTCCGCCCTCCACGGTTGGCCCCTCACGCGCCGCCGTGTCGAAGAAAAAGAAGAAAACCGTGCTTTCCAAAGTGCGTGGTAAACCTTCCTCTCGCAAGGCGAGGGAGGCGGAAGGATCTGTTCCTCCCTTGTCACAAGGTCGCGGGATCATACGCGAACCTAAATCGAGAGAGCCTACTGTACACATTCCCTCCGTCCCTCTTAAATCCATCCTCACTGCCGATGACATAGCCGACCTTCTCGTTCGACAAGGTTTGGATGTGTCTTATGACATAGCCCTTCCGGATCCTACCCAAGACTCCCTACATCCCCCTATCGGCTTTAGTACTTGGTACTTAGATCAATTTCTTGCGGGCTTATCCCTTCCCATCCATCCCTTCTTTTTTTGCGGTGGCAGATAAATACAAAGTCCCCCTTAACCAATTTCTCCCCAATTCTATCAAATTTATGTCCGCCTTTTTTATGATTTGTCTCGAAGCTGGCCTCAATCCGACCGGTGATCTTTTTCACTCAGCATTTGTTATAAACCACTCCCCCTCAGGTTTTTTCCATTTAACTTCCCGCCCGCGATTAGGGCTTTTCAGCGGATTGTCCAACAAAGTTCAAAACTGGCCCCAAAGATTTTTCTTTGTGCGCCCCCCTTTTCCAGAGGTTTTTCCTACTTCCTTTTTGTTAGATTCCCCGACACCCGTGGTGGTGTCGGACGGCTGTAAACCGTTCCTTGCTCATTTGGCAGCTCGCGCCCCTCCCGAGCGATGGGATGTCGAAAAACTGATTGCTACTCCCTCTCTTTTTACTCGCTCGGGACTGTGGGCTATGTCCTGCCCTGACTCTCGCTCGCTCGGTACTTTTATCCCCTTTAGATATTTATTTAGTTGACTCGTCATTTATTTATATAACATTGTTCTTTGTTTAGGCGAGATGATGCGATAAGCCATGAAGGCGGCCCTTGCCAAACAGCGTGTGCAGTCTTCCTCTCGCCAGATTTCCGAATCCACCAGCCATGCTCCGTCAGCTCGCCAACCTTCCTCGGACCGGGCCGTGAGCAGCGCGGCTCCGGGAGCCTCTTCTATTCCCCCGCTGGCTGCCACATGGGAACCAGTTATCGAGGTGGGCAGTGAGAATACTGCCCAAGGCACACCTGATCTCTCGATGTCTGCTGAGAGAACTCCTTCAGGCTTGAGGGGCCCCAAGTCCCTATGTATGCCTGAAAATGAAGAAACCTCTCTCGCCTCTAAACGCTCTCGCGTCCGAGAGGGAGGTTTCCTGTCGTCCTACCATCCTGACATTCCTATGGAGGACCTGTTGCTGCATTTCGACCAGCTGAGGTGTGTTGAGGATGCTCAGGCTCTCGAGCAGCTGTCTCCCGAGCAAAAACATGCTCGCATACTGTTTCACGCCTCTCAGGTAAAATGGCAACCCTTACTCTTACCGCCTCATTTACCTAATTGTTTTTACTGCTTACATTTATTATTTGTCAGATGAACGTGCTTCTGGCTCATGGCTTCGGTGCCGACGAGTCATCTCGCCAGAACGAAGTTGACCGCCTCAAGAGGGAGGTAAACGAGAAGTCAGTAGAGGTGGTCCAACTGCGAGATTATGCTCGCCAGCTGAAACAAGCGAAGGAGACCTCAGATGAGAAGGTTCAGATGGAGGCCCACAAATACCGGGAGATGAAGTCCTCCCTCGAGAGTAAGGTTAGAAGATTGGAGGCGGAGAAAGAACAGACGATGGCTGTGGCTCGCGAGACCACGAAGAATATGGAGATAGAGTGTATACGAGCAGTGGCGCACGAGAGGGCGAAAGGACTGTATGAGACACTATGCTCGCCCAGCGGGCAACACTTTTTAAGCAAGTACCGCGAGGCGCTAATCAACAACTATCCCCTATCAATGCACTTTGCCTCCAAGGCTGCCTCCATAGGGGTTGGTTACTTCGAATGTGGGGTTCGTTTGTATGCGGAAAAGAACGGCTATCCTGACCCCACTGAAGTCATCGGTTATTTGCTCGACCAGCTAGGTAATGAGATCCCCGGGTGGGAAGGCAATCCTGCAGAACCGCTCGACCATGATTGGTGGTCCCGGGTCTTGGAAGAGATGCTCGCTTCCTTGAACCGTTATGCCTCTCATGCTCCCTCCACGGTCGCTTTAATGGATTCGGGTCATCCCTTCGTCTCAGATCCTCCTTCCGCCTCAGTACCTGCTCTCGCAAGCTCTGGTCCAAACGAGCCCCCTATTGCTACGGACGTTATTCCTGATTCTTAAAAACATTTTTATGTAATTTCACTATCTGTCGGCACTCAAAAACTCTTGTTCAACTCTCGTTTTCTTTTTTTTTATTCTATCTGCTATTTTCTTTCGAATATTGTTTATTTGAAATTGTTTCATGCGAGATCCTTGTATTTTTATATTATTATGCATTTCGTTCTTTATCGGGAGCTTTTGAACTCGCGTTTCATTGTCCAGTATCCATGATGGGCAGGGGCTCTTGTACCCTTAATGATCCTGGAATTATTCCCTGGATGTTTCTGAGCATATGCTCTCGCAGAATTTACGATCCTTGAATTCTATCAAGGATCTTTCTAAGCATGCTCTCTCGCAGCCTTTATGATTCTTGAATTCTATCAAGTATCTTTCTAAGCATGCTTTCTTGCAGCCTTTATGATTCTTGAATTCTATCAAGTATCTTTCTAAGCGTGCTTTCTCGCAGCCTTTATGATACTTGATATCTATCAAGTATCTTTCTAAGCGTGCGCAGCCTTTATGATTCTTGAATTCTATCAAGTATCTTTCTAAGCATGCTCTCTCGCAGCCTTTATGATTCTTGAATTCTATCAAGTATCTTTCTAAGCATGCTTTCTTGCAGCCTTTATGATTCTTGAATTCTATCAAGTATCTTTCTAAGCGTGCTTTCTCGCAGCATTTATGATACTTGATATCTATCAAGTATCTTTCTAAGCGTAATTATGCTTCTCATACAATATCAAAAAAGGAGGGCCTTTCATATTGTGTTGCTACGAAGAAAATTGTTCATCTCTTTTAGGCGAGACGAACTACAATATGAGCCTTACATTTTTACAAAATATAAGTTTCAAAAAACGGGACCTTCTAACATATTCCCTGTCTTATACATAATACTTTTTCAAATGACAAATATTCCACGCTCGCGGGACCTGCCTTCCGGACATATCGCACAGCCTATACGCTCCTCCCGCTAAGACTTTTTCCACCTTGTATGGTCCTTCCCATTTCTCCATTAATTTTCCCACCTGCTTTAGGGCATCTGCCTATTTAAGGACTAAGTCCCCTACTTGAAATGCTCTTGCTTTTACCCTTTTATCGTATGCAGCCTTGATCCTCGCTTTACTTGCCTCCATCTTGCGCATAACATCCTCCTGTTTTTCCAATATTAAATCCAAGTTTTCTCGTAAGCGTTGATCATTAGCCACTTGTTGGAAGTTCATAATTCTGCTCGACGGCATTCCTACTTCGACAGGGGCTACTGCTTCGGATCCATATACTAGCGAGAAAGGGCTATCTCCTGTTGATTCCTTTCGTGTTGTTCGGTATGCCCATAGGACCGCATGCAACTCCTCCACCCAATTTCCTTTCGCTTTTTCTAATCGTTTTTTTATCCCCTCGAGTAGTATTCGGTTGATTACTTCAACCTGGCCATTCGCTTGCGGGTGTGCCACCGCTGCAAATCGTTGTTTTATCCCCAAACCCTCGCACCATTCACGTATCTTTTTTGAATTGAACTGTGTGCCGTTATCGGAGATGATGTTTTTTGGTAATCCATACCGGCAACATATATTTTGCCACAGGAACTTCATAATTTCGGTATCTGTGATTTTAGCGACCGCGACGGCCTCGACCCACTTGCTAAAGTAGTCTACTGCAACTACCAAAAATTTTCTCTGTCCACTAGCGAGCGGTAATGGGCCCACAATATCAATCCCCCATTGCACGAATGGGTGCGGAGATGTGATGATCGTCATGTCTTCTCCCGGAACATGGATTAACGGTCCATGTCTCTGACACTTGTTGCATTTTTGGACAAACTGCATTGTGTCCTTCCTCATAGTCTGCCAAAAGTATCCGCTCCTCAGAACCCGTGTTATTAAGGCTCTTCCTCCCGCATGATCGCCGCAGCATCCCTCATGGATCTCTCGTAATACATATTGGCCCTCTCGCATGTCAAGGCACCGTAGATGTGGTCTTGTATATCCTCTCTTATATAAAATATCCCCATCGAGACAAAAGTGCTTCGCTTGCTGGTTTAGTCTCGTTATCTCTCGCGAACTCCCTTGGCTTTTACCCCTCAAATGATTTTTTATTTCTGTTCGCCAATCCTGCACTCCCGTCATTCCCAAGATTTCATGTCCAACCTTCAATGATGGCTCTCCTACGATTATCTGAATCTTCCGCGACTCGCACCCCATATCCATGCTTCCTATTTTGGCAAGAAAATCTGCTTTCATATTTTCCTCTCTCGGGATTTGCTTCAAATCTACCTCTTCAAATTCCTTCATAAGGGCTCGCGCCATCTCGCAATAACTATTCATCCGGCTGTCCTTGGTTTCGAACTCTCCTTTTATCTGCTGGACTGTCAATTGTGAATCCGAAAAGATAGTCACTCTTCTTGCACCTGCTATCGCTGCCAGTTTCATACCATGTATTACTGCCTTGTATTCTGCCTCGTTATTGGAGGCTCGAAATGGTAACTTGATAGCATACTCTGCTCCCTCGCTCTCGCCTGCTTTGTGTAATATTACTCCCGCCCCGCTTCCCATTGAATTAGAAGCGCCATCCACAAATAACCTCCATTCTGTTTCTTCAGTTACCCTTGTGGTTTCTTGCAGGAAATCCGCTAAAGCTTGACCTTTGATGGCCAACCGCGGCTCATATTCTATGTCAAATTGTCCTAACTCGACCGCCCATTTCACCATTCTTCCTGAAACATCAATCCTTCCCAGCACCGTCTTCATTGGGTGGTTAGTCCGGACCACTATGGTATGCGACAAGAAATAAGGTCGCAACTTTCTCGCTGTGGTTACTAGGGCTAGCCCGATTTTCTCGATCTCGGTGTACCGCTCCTCCGGCCCTCGTAACAACCTACTCGCATAATATACTGGATTCTGCTTTCCTTCTTCCTCCCGAATGAGTACCGAGCTCACTGAATATTCGCCCACAGAGAGGTATACATACAACTTCTCTCCCGCTTTGGGTTTGGTTAACAATGGCAGCTGAGCGAGAAGTCCTTTCAGCTGGGTGAAAGCGACCTCCGATTCCTCCGTCCATCTGAATTCAGCGCCCTTTCTCAGTATTTTGAAGAAAGGGTAACTCGCCTCACCGGATCTAGATATGAATCTGCTTAAAGCTGTGATCCTTCCCGCTAGTGTTTGGACCTCCTTAATGCTCCTAGGTGCTTTCATGTTGATGACCGCCTGAACTTTTTCTGGATTCACCTCTACCCCTCTCTCGGTGACCATGTAACCGAAGAATTTGCCCGTCTGGACCCCGAAAGCACATTTATTTGGGTTGAGCTTCATTCCATATTGCCGTAAGGTGTGGAAAGTTTCTTCAAGATCCTCTAAATGTGTTCTAGCTTCCTTGCTCTTCACCAGCATATCATCCACGTATATCTCCATGTTTCTTCCTAGCTGTGTTTGGAACATCCGATCCATCAATCGTTGGTAGGTTGCGCCCGCATTCTTCAGACCGAAGGGCATCACCGTATAACAATATGTGCCTGTTGATGTAATAAAGCTTACTTTGGCATGATCCTCTCGATCCAAAGGTATTTGGTGGTAACCTTGTGATGCGTCCATCATACTCAGCATTTTGCATCCTGCGGTTGAGTCTACGAGTTGGTCGATTCGGGGGAGGGGATAATAATCTTTAGGACATGCCTTGTTGAGATCTCGGAAGTCGATACACATTCTCCATTTGCCCGTTCCCTTCTTTACCAGTACTGCATTAGATAACCAGGTGGGAAATCGTATCTCCCGAATTTGACCTGCCAGCAACAACTTTTGCACTTCCTCATGGATTATTCTATCTTTTTCAGCTCCAAAATGCCTTTTTTTCTGTTTGACTGGCTTGGTGCCCGTTTTGACATTCAACTTATGAACAGCTAAGCGACTATCGATCCCCACCAAATCCTTTGGCGAGAATGCAAATACATCCAAATTGTTGCGCAAGAACTCTATTAATTGCTCCGCCATTGTGGGGTCCATATCTCTCCCGATTCTAGTTGTGCGGCTAGCGTCTTTCTCGCAGAGTTGCACAGTCATCAATTCCTCCATGGGTCGCACATGACCGTCCTCCTTCTCGGGGTCGATTTTAGGACGAGGCTCATCCTTTTCCATCATGACAGCTCGCCCGCTATGAATGGTATCTATCCTCCCCGTTCGTCTTAGTGCATCGTAATAGCACCTTCTCGCGGTCTCTTGATCTCCTCGCACCTCACCGATCTGATCTCCCATGGGGAATTTTAACTTCATATGGTAAGTAGATACCACGGCTCGGAATAAGTTCATGGACGGTCGACCGAGTATCATGTTGTATGTAGAAGGGACATCCAATACTAGGAAATTTATTGACCTAGTAGCTCGCACATGCTCCATACCCAATGATATGGGCAGGCAAACTTCTCCGAGAGCTTGAACCGTCTCACCCGAGAATCCCATTAAGCTAGTCTCCACATATTTCAGCTCGAAATTCATATTCATTTGCTTGAAGCAACTGTAGAAAATGACGTCCGCAGAACTCCCCGTGTCAACTAGTATCCGCGCAATATCGAAATTGGCCACCATGGCTGTGATTACCAAGGCGTCAGTGTGCGGCTGCTGTATCCCTTCTTCGTCTATCCTTCCGAACATGATGAGAGGGACTTGCGACACCCTTTGCACTTCCGCGAGCTGGGATTCCATTTCATATAATACTTGCAAGTTCGCACGACTTGCCAGGTCGGCAGCTTCGACCTCTCCAAAAAGCTCTTCAGTTTCCCTCAACTGTCTTAGATGGGCTCTCCGAGCCCTATTCGAATCACCTCCCGAAGGTCCTCCGTGTATCATGTGGATAAAACCTCCTGCTGCCGGTTGGTCCTTCCTCTCGCCAGTCTTATCTCGAACGTTCTCCGATTGGTTAGCCCCAGGCCGAGTACGCAGGGCCAGTGTGCTCGCGGGAGACTGTCCAGGTTTGACAAATTCGGGCAAATTTTTAGCCCGAATCAACCTCTCTATCTCGTCTCTAAGATGCTGACACTCGTTCGTCGTATGTCCATAATCATTATGAAAACGACAAAAACTTCCCGCGACCGGGTTCTTCTTGGGGATCTCAGAATAAGTACGAGGCCATTTTAACTTGGGATGATTCTCGATTGCCATCAAGATCTCGGCAGGAGGAGCCACCAACGAGACATAGTTCTCGAATCGAGGGCCCATTCTTCTGTCCACCAATCCTTCCTTTTTGACTGAAGGGACAAGTCTTTGTACTTTCTCTTCTCGCCTTTCCTTTCTTTTGTCCATTCCTTTGTCTACGGCCTTACCCTGCTCGGCTTCCTCAGCATTCATATATCGCTCCGCCTTTCTTAATAAGTCATTAAATGAAAGAGGCGGCTTTTTGGATATGGAAGTAAAGAAATCTCCAAGTCGTAATCCTAGGGCTAAGGCATTGATCAGGACCTCCTCCGAAGTTATAGGCACCTCCAAAGTGGCCGTTATGAAACGCTTAATGAAACTTCGCAGATGCTCTCCTTCTCGCTGCTTGACCGCGAAGAGGGTCAAAGTACTCCTCTTCTGTTTCTTGGAGCTCGCAAAATGATCGAGGAAAACAGAAGCGAGCTGATCAAAACTGCCTATTGAGGCGGGCCGGAGCTGGCTAAACCATGCTTGAGCGGGTCCCGCCAAAGTAGTAGTGAACACCCTGCATTTTACTCCTTCCGAAAAACGATGCAGGTCCGCAGTGTTGTTAAATCTGCATAGATGCTCGCTAGGATCGGTGGTTCCTAGATATTCGTACGTGACAGGTCGGAACGAACCGGGAAGTTCATCATTCAATATTTGTGTAGTGAACGGGCTCCTTTTGGTCTGCACATGCTCTCGCGACTCCTCCGGAGCGAACGCCGCGTTCAATGACTCTCGCTCCAGGACAAGCTCTTCCCCAGTTTGGTCCGTATATTTCAAACGTCTTTTCGTGGGTGGCAAACCTTCTCGCTCTCTTCTCTCGCTTGGCGACCCCCCTTGAACTACGGCTGTGAGTAGAGCCTGGAGTGATTCCATGGTTATAGTTATCGTGGGCCTGGCGGTTGCAGGGTCCGGAGTGTGCAACACCTCTACCTGCCGGGCAGACGTACTTCCCAGGTAAGGTCCCTGTAAGTCAGGGTCAGGGTGCTGGACTAATTTCAGCCTCCGTCGGATCGGGCTGACCAGCCCTTTCAACTGGGGTACCCATCTTTGGATTTATTTTGAATTTGGAAGAAAGTGATTTTAGAAGAAAGAACATGATACTTTTTGAAAGGGCTTTTAGGCTATTTGTATTTAAATCTTTCCCACAGACGGCGCCATTTGATTCGTCCGAATATATTGGTGGATCTTTTAGATCCGTATATGTTGAAGGATTTCTTGGATTCTGCAAATAAGAACACAAAAAAGGAAAACCGGGCTGAGGCCGGAGTTAGCACTCCGACGATCAAGTCAGTACAGCTTTGATTTAGGAAAAAGGTATAATTATATGTTTTCTTTTTGTTTTTTTTTAAAAAGTAGTCGTGTCCTTTAAGGGAATTAATCTCTTGCTATTTATAGAGAACTTTTGAGAACGGATTTCAAATACGGACTCCAATTCCATTTTAACTGTCATTTCAGGGATGTTTCAGACTTTTCGAGATTATTAAATTAAACTTACCTGTCTTCTCGGTGAACTGTGTTGTGAGCTGCTTATTCCCCAAACTGCATATTCTCTGAACGCTTTTGACATTTGAGAGGGGATATTAAATGCAAGATAATTATGTCGGGCATCATATAGATCATTATCTTATAACTCTCGCCTATGTACTCTCGCTACTGAGAGGGTCTTCCCTCTCGCGCCCACGATCGGCCTTTGATTAGGCTTCCTAGCTAGACCCAGAATATTTGATTTACCAAATCTAGTCTGTATATTCTCTGCGGTTCCTGACATTTGAGTAGACACGCATTAAATGTAAGGCGGCAATGTTACTCCCTTTTTCAGATAATATTCCTTGTTCCCATCCTTTCATTTCGGCGACCGCGAACTTCTTCCCCTCTCACCCTGGAGTGGACTCTCGCGAGCTTCCCATTATTGGGCCTTTATTGGGCCTTCTTTCAATGGGCCGAAACAGTTACTTTTTACCGAATCACCTATAATAACTTGCAGATCATACGAGAGACTTAAACCACACTAGGTTAACTATAAAGACAAACTCGACCTAGCGATCGTTGACAGGGTGAATCGAACTTGAATCAAATGACAATTCTAGATATTTGGTATAATTTTGATATGGGATGCCCAAACAATTGAATCGGAATGAAATTTAATTTATTGGACATGAAGCTATGTCGAAAATTTTGCATAGAAGTATAAAAATATATATTATAATACAATTTTTTAAAAAAAAATCAAATTTAATAAAAAGTTCCAATTATTTCCTCACAATTTTTGTCGGACGTGCATCACTATTCGCAAGCGTTGTATAGCAGGTGCGGCCCTTTGGATCTACATCATAATATTCAGTGCACTTACTATTTACTATGCATGAGAATGTATATAATATTTATTCAAAAAAAAAAAGAGAATATATATAATATTACATTTTATGATAAATAAATAAAATAAATAAAATAAAACTCTTACTTAATTCTGGATTCCGCCGGAAAAAATAAATATCTAAACCTTTTTTTTTTAATTTTTATAATTAATTTAAAATATATAAAATATTAAAAATGAAATATCAATCCCCATGCGATCCACTTGAAAAACCTATCCAAAATAGATGTAAGATCAAGCCGGGGTGCCGGGCTGTGTTTTGGATCTTGCCATAAATAGGTTATTTTTGTAAATCCGTTGTTTCCAACGAGATAGGCCCATCGACTCGGCCCACATTTCCTTACTTTTTTTAATTTTTAAATCGCGGGCTGCTGGCTAAAATACGCCCTAGGGGAGTACTATAGCCAGTTGCGCACCCACTTGCGTGTCCAGTAGCCAGCTCCTTTAAGCTCGACGTGTTCAGCAGGGGGTGGAGGTGTGCGCATGCAGACCAGAGGCGCACGTTAGCCGACTCAATAAAAATTCAATTCTTTAATTTTCCCACCGATTTTTTGTTGTCTGCTCTCTGCCAGTAGCCAATAGGCGCTTAAAATACTCACCTAAAACCCCCCTCCCATTAGTCTGTTTTCTCGGGTTTCTTCCCCTTCTCCATTTTTATATTCATTAAATTAAACAATACATACATACATTTTTATATACACATATACATACATATATATATATATATATATATATATATATAAACGTTATCTTTCTCTGTCATTTTATTTTTCTCAGTATATGCACTGAAAATCGCCGTCTGTTTTTCTCTTTCTCTGATTAATTATCGTGTTTTTTTCACCGGTGAGATTTTGGCTAATATTTTCGCTCTCTAGTTTTAGGTTTTGGGGGCATCGATCAGTAGTCTGCCATTAGTGGAGATTGCTATTTTTTTTGGGGTTATTGTTCGCCGGCGAGACTCCGTTGAAGTGGTAATTGTTTTCCGGGGAGCTGCGAGTTGTTGAATATTGACGGTGATGTGTAGAGAGAGAAAGGAGGGTTGAAAAACGGAGAGAGAGAGAGAGAAGCTGTATGCATCAATTTTTCACGTGATAAAAAGGAGCATAAAACGATGCCGCATCGAACGACCTACTTTTTCCCGAGGCAATTTCCTGACCGCAATTCGAGTGCATCTTCAAAGTTGGTTGAAGATCACGAGAAGAAATTTGGGGCCGACGATGTGAATCCTCATCGGGAAGAGGTCACTCTCAAAACGGATACGGATAAAGGTGATGATACTAATTGGACTAATCAAAGTGGTGATGGTAACAGCAGTTATGGTGGATTCTCTCATGGAGTCACGGGAGATAGGGTTCACGGAAAGCAGTTGTCCGCCTTTGTGAACTGGCTCTCCGATAAGAAAAAGAAGGGAAAATCACATAGCCACGTCGATCCCGTGAAGATCAGATTGTACGAAAACGACGATCGTATCGAAGAGGAAGACGACGCCACCCAGCGACTTTTGCCTCCGCCGCCGTCCACGGCGGCGGAATGCAATCGCCGCCACGATTCGCTGCGGCGGCTGTCGAGTAATGGGAGTAATTACGGCAGCAGTTTCGATCAGGTCCAAGGTAAGGAAAGGGGATTCGAGAGGCAAATTTCTTCGCGGAGATTATCAAGCGAGGGCAGCACGAGTTATGCGGGGAGCTTGTTTTCGGGTACTACTCTGGATGGAAATTGGTCTTCCACGACCACCACCGGAGTACTCAAAGACTCGATCGGGGCAAAGGAGGAGGCGGCGGCGGCGGCCGCGGCGGAGGAGGAGACCATGGAAAAAGTAGGAAATGCGGCGGCGCAGAGGTGCAAAGAAGGTTATTATCTGCAGATAATGCTGGCAAAACGTCTCACCGAACAGGCAACACTTACAGCAGAGCCTATGTTTGTGCAAGAAAGTAGAAATGGCGATGGCTTCACTGTTGGTGGATATTCCGATGCTGAAATAGTTTCCTATCGTCTCTGGGTATGATTGTTACCTTATTATTTTATTATTTATTAGTATTATTCGGTTTGAAAATTGATATTGGTTCTTTTGCAGGTCAGTGGTTGCTTGTCTTATACAGACAAAATTTCAGACGGATTCTACAACATTTTGGGGATAAACCCTTACCTCTGGTTGATGTGCAATGAATTGGAGGAAGGTAAAAGAATGCCCTCTTTAATGGCGCTGAAAGCAATTGATTCGAGTGATTCTTCGCTGGAGGTGATTCTCGTGGATAGGCGTGGAGATTCGCAGCTGAGGGAGCTTGAAGATAAAGCTCAAGAGATATATTTCTCGGCTGAGAGTACACTTGTTCTTGCTGAGAAACTTGGCAAACTTGTTGCTGTTTATATGGGGTAGGAATAGGATAGATGTTATTGATTATTTGGGTTTTTTGCTACTTTATGTGTTGTGTATTTTTTTTTTTTTTCTTTGGCTACTGATACGATAGAGTTTGTAAAAAAAATCAGGGGATCTTTTCCCGTGGAGCAAGGTGACCTTAATCTTGGGTGGAAATTGGTGAACAAGAGATTAAAGGATTCCTACAAATGCGTTGTGATTCCAATTGGGGAGCTGTCTATGGGACTTTGTAGGCACCGAGCCATATTGTTCAAGGTGAATATATATTCTGTGATGTTTATCTGCATACAGTTGATCCTATACTTAAACTTAATCCGTGTATTCTGACTCAGAGAAATACTTCCAAAAGCCTATGTGTGATCTATCTGAAAGTGGTTTAGCGTATATCGTCGCGTACATGTTTCGTCTCACTTCCAAGTTAACTGCAGATGGGTTTATTCTGTTCAAGGGTGCTGTTCTTGCTTCTTTAAATTTTAGCATACGAAAGGCTGCTCCTATTATGCGGTCTACTATATAGAAAGAAAAAAAAATAGTGAACCAGGTTATGGACTGAGTTGTTTAGATAAGGAGTATGTTTACTAGTGCATTTGAGAAGTAGTAAAATATTGTACTCTTCATGAAATTAGACACTGAGTCTTTATATTTCTGAACATGTTTAGATGAATTAACTAGTTATCCTCATGGATATAGTATTTTAACAGAAGACTTCTTTGTTCAGAAACTAGCAGACTACGTAGGTTTGCCTTGTCGGATTGCTCGAGGTTGCAAGTATTGTGTTTCTGACCATCGATCTTCATGCCTTGTCAAAATTGATGATGAAAGGAAGCTTCCCAGGTAAGATACTCTGTTCATTTGTCTTATCATTTTCTTCAGCTATCCCAGAAATTAAAGAAAAAAGTTACTTGATTTTTGTTTTTATAGGATTAATCCCCCCCCCCCCCCCCCCCACTGTCCAAATACCACTGTATTCCATTTTTTCTCTTTCCTCCCCATTTTGATGAGCTTGTGTTCTTCTTGAGGTAATTGCAACTCTTATTTAGGCTGGATGTGGAACCTTGTATTTTGAACTTTAATGGTTTGACTTTGTTTAAATTCCTAGTCTCAAGACTCAAAACAATATTAAGACGAGTATTTAGTTTTTTCATTTAATATCTTTCAGGCAGGCACGTTGCTCGTTTTGTGTTTTTAATGTGTATGCATTTTAGCAGGGAATTTGTGGTGGATCTAGTCGGAGAACCAGGAAATGTGCATGGTCCAGATTCATCAATTAATGGAAGTTCACTTTCCTCAGTCCCTTCGCCGTTTCGGATATCACATCTGAAAGAATTTCAGCAAGATGTGAGGAATGATTTTGATTGTCGAGCTCTGAGCTCTAAGTATGCACGTGGCAGTAATGATCCAATATATTCAGGTGCATTATATTTTTCACGCCTCTGCAGCATATTATTAGTATTCGGTCCTTTAATTTCATGAGAATAAATGGTGAACCACCTAACTCAATAAATGAGTTAGTTTCAAAATGATTTCTTCAATAAAAAAAATCTGACTCAAAAGTTTGTACAGCCAACAGGGACGAGAATAAAGATATTATTATTCCAGAAAATGCGGAAGATGCTTCCGGTGAAAGAATTATTATAAAGCAAACTTACAGAGAGGAGATCGTTGTAGCAGGAAATGCTGCTATTGCAAATCAAGCTGGCAGACAATTACCCAAAGTAACCTTCACTGAAAACAGAAGTCTAATGGAGATTAATAATAACTCTCAAGATAATGCAAAACATCATGCTGGGACAATTCCTAGGTATTTGAATCTAGAACCTTCTCTTGCAATGGATTGGCTCGAGATCTCCTGGGATGAATTACACATCAAAGAACGTGTTGGTGCCGGTACTTTATTTCTTTATCTGAAACTGTTTAATTGTAATTTCTTATATCTTTACACCTTCTTTGAATTATGGGTTTGTGATATATAATTTTGTTTTTTCCTGAAGGATCTTTTGGTACGGTGCACCGAGCTGAATGGCATGGATCGGTTAGTATTATAAGGCTCTGTATTTATTGACTAATTACAGAACTTACTAATTGTTGGAAGGTATTTCATGAAATGAAATATATAATGATTCGGCAAATTAGTAGATAACTCAGTTTCTCCCTGCTTTGTTGGAGTTACAATATTAACCAACCGAAGTATTTTCCGTAAGTGCAGGATGTGGCAGTTAAGGTATTATCTCTCCAGGATTTTCATGATGATCAATTGAAGGAGTTTCTAAGGGAGGTATAAATATTATGCCCGAATGAAGAATTTTTAACCAAACATCTTTTCCGAGTCTATTTGCATGAATTCTTTAGTTAAACTTCCTCAATGATGTAATTTTCCACTGATCTATTCATAACCAGTTTACTTTTAATTTTGTATTTTTACATATTTGTTTAAGGTTGCAATAATGAAACGTATCCGTCATCCGAATGTGGTTCTGTTCATGGGTGCTGTTACAAGACGCCCCCATCTATCTATAGTAACAGAGTACTTGCCAAGGTAAAATTTGTCGTAAATTCTAGAAACTATTAACCGAGTATTTGATGAATATACTGCATTCTAATCTTCATTTAATTGAAATCCGATTGGAGCAGAGGTAGTCTATTTCGACTGATACACAGGCCAGCTGCTGGGGAAACTTTAGACCAGAGGCGAAGATTACGCATGGCTTTGGATGTGGTTTGTTCTCGATTTATAAAATATCATTTTTTTATATTATTTTTATGTTTATCATTATGTCAGCTGATCATGTTATGCATGTTATATTTTAGGCAAAGGGTATCAATTATCTTCATCGTCTTAGCCCACCTATTGTCCACTGGGACCTCAAATCGCCGAATTTATTGGTTGATAAAAATTGGACGGTGAAGGTATTTATTCTCGTTACACTTTTTGCTCCATGGTTTTGGTTTTGTCAGTCAAATTGAAATCGTTAACTGAAATATTTTCGACAATGTGGATTAGGTTTGCGATTTTGGATTGTCGAGGTTCAAAGCTAACACGTTCATATCATCAAAGTCCGTTGCTGGAACAGTAAGACTCTCTCTCTCTCTCTCTCTCTCTCTCTCTCTCTCTCTCTCTCTCTCTCTCTCTCGCTCGCTCACACACACACACACACACACACACACACACACACACACACACACACAGATCAGCTATGTAACTATGTTTTTCTTTTCATTTCAGCCCGAGTGGATGGCCCCTGAATTTCTTCGTGGAGAGCCCTCAAACGAGAAATCGGATGTATACAGTTTCGGAGTAATTATGTGGGAGCTCGTTACTATGCAACAGCCTTGGAATGGACTTAGTCCAGCCCAGGTAATCTATTCTCAAAATAAACATATGAAATCCATTAAGAGTCATTTCTTCTCAAGTTTTTCTTTCATTACAAGGGGATCTGGTTTTGTTTTAAGACCTTGTTTGGATGATATCATTCTACAACGGGTTTCAAATGTTTTAGCTCCCAAAGTGAACTAGTTCTTGAGCCACCCTGTGCATTTGAAATCATTTCCCCAGATACTCTCATTAAATTTTGTCAATCCAAACACATCTTAAATGAATGTGTATTAATTACATCTCCTTTTAAATATGTATATGTTTTGGCAAATTTGAAGGTGGTCGGAGCAGTTGCCTTTCAGAGTAGGAGGCTAACAATCCCGCAAGGCACCTCCCCATTATTGGTGTCTCTGATGGAGTCTTGCTGGGCTGAGTAAGACTTTTTATATTACCATTTTTCCTTTTTTCTCGTATTACAGTTGCAAACATTGAACGAGTTGTCATGCAGTAAACAATTATATTTTCGTGTTGGCAGCGATCCAGCACGACGACCCTCGTTTGCCCACATAGTCGATACATTGAAGAAGTTGCTGAAATCTCCATTACAGTTGATGCAAATGGGGAAATCATGACACCGCTTATTGTATCTATTTTTATGTTTCGTTTTCTTTTTGTCCGTTTCTTTACATGTATGAGTATGTGTTAGCTTGGCTAAAAAAAATAAAAGGCTTGTAGTGAGCCATTCTTTTTTGGGGGTGCTGCATCAAATAGGGGTGTAGCCATAGATCAAAATAATTTTATGTCAAACACTATAAAATGAACTATATTGTGGTGTGGTAACGAATCCATTTCTTTGGTGGAATTTTAGTGAGTCAAGTTTATGAATTATGATAGAGAAGATTGATTATGCAATTAACTGATTGAATAATATTTTGAAGTCGTCTTTCATTAGTGGTCCTTCCCCCGAATATTATTCTTTAGATATCAAATATATTTTATCTTATGAATCAATTTCTCTCTTCAAAACTTGCAATATTTTCCTTAGACATTCAATGGGTTTCCAAGTACAGTGACTGTCTATTTGCTTTATATATCAATAGTGATATATAACGACGATTTTTGCTCGAGACCAGTGATAGTCTCAGTTGTTTCCTATAGTGATCTCGTGGCAACGGTGTATGTTTGACGACTTTTTAAATCTTTTCAACATTTCCACAAAATATAATCATATTTGTTACATTCCTCAAAAACTTCTCCAGAACACGATCTAATTCAAATATGGGTTCTGTAGTAAATATATCTTTCTACACCCCAACTTTTTAACAAAATTAGACAAAAAATGATTCAACTTAGCAAAAATAAAACAACTTATAATATAGGAAATGCCGCTTGCATAATCTGATAGGCTCCTTTGCATGATTCCCATGACGAATGCGCGAGGTGAAAATGTCCATCTTCGCCCCAATGTTCACCATTCGCGCACCTTATCTTCCAATAGCGTATTCCTTCTGAGTCTATTCCCCGTCCCACAAGCAAACCAGCGTGGTTAAAGGTATGATTCTTATAGGATGCGTCGTACGTCGCTTTGAACGTTCCCTGACATTTATAGTATTTATTAGATATATATATATATATATATATATAATCATAAAAAAAATCAACGTCAAACGGAAGCTCACCCCTCTATACTTGTCCAATCTGTGATCACAGTTCCAGATCACAACTGTAAATGGCTGAATAGCTAGCCTTTTACACATTTCCTTATTGGTTACTTTCTCCAACTTCGAAACGACTGAATATCTATATATATATATATATATATATATATATATATATATATATATATATATAAATATTAATTTAACTATTGATATAAAAAAAAAAAAAGTAAAGAAACAATAAAAGAAATACCTCAGGTCGTCTACAGTCACAGCCGTATTCCCCCGTATATGGGTAATCGGCTTGGTAAGATATGCCATTTGCTAAAACATATCTGTAAGCATGCATGACTGAACCCCCTTCGTTTTCCCAAAACTTGGAATTCGCCTTATCGCAGTCCAAGAGTTCTTGGACTGCCAGCAAAGAAAGTTCTCCTCTTTTGATCGAGAGGAGAAACTCTATGGCCTCGATAACGGCAAAGGCCCAACAGTCTTCGAGAAAAAACACGAAAAAAAATAGTAATAAAAATAAATGGACAATTCTGCATGCAATTTATTGAGTATTAAATAAAAAAAACTGAAAAATAAAAAACTATACCCACCATAAGGCCCCTGCCTTCTTATAGGTGGTACAGCAAACCCCTTCTTAGTCCAATCAATATAGAAATTCTTGTAATCTGGTGACTTTTCAGAATTATAACCCCTACATATATATATATATATATATATATATATAGTATTTGTTAAGAAATGTATAAACATGAGTTTATTTCAAGGCCCTTATGTCGAATTGGTACGAAAATACCTGTCCGATTTCTCCGCGGCAATTGTAGACTCAATAAAATCAAGTCTTGAATCAATGCTCGTAATCATATTCTGGACCTAAAATAGACTCAAAACGAAAAAATGGACATAAAACTCAAACCGACAAAAAACGGACATAAAACTCAAACCGACAAAAAACGGACATAAAACTCAAACCGACAAAAAACGGACATAAAAACTCAAACTGAATTAACATAAATCTTACCTCTTTCTTGATTTGCATAACGAATTCTTCACGATCCATGTCCGGATCATCCCTAGGCTGCATAATAAAAATAAAAAATAAAAAATAAAAAAGAGTTTATAACAAAATAGGAATCAGATAAAAAATGTGTTAACTCATAAAAGCTAGAAAATTACCGAAGTAGAAGCCACGATATCTAAGGCATGACTGAGTTGAAGAAGCTTCTGTCGTTTAATAAACGTTTTTCTTCTAGCCTGGTTTGCTTTTCTAAAATTGGGAAGACCTGTTTCCCTCGAATAAAATTCATGAAGATTGAACTCCTGTTTCTTAGCCTCAGCAAATTCTTCTTCATCCTTTGACATTTTCTTAAACAGGGTTTGGACGGCCGGTAATAATAGCTTAATTACCGGAACAATTGTAGCCGAAGTCATAATTGGAGCTGGACTAGACTCCTGCCTCGGATCTGCAGTTTCCAACTCATGATTCATTCTTGTAGCACAACCATGGTTCATTCTTGTAGTTCCAGTTGGGATACCCCAGGAAGACCGAACCACATTAACACACGCAACTGTTCTCCTCAGAGCCATCATCATCATCATCTTCTACAATAAAAAAAAAAAAGAAAATATTTGAAGAAATTCGTAAAATAAAAGATACAAAAAATGCATATACCTCTTAGTAAGCGCCGCCGCACCTTACAAAACAGGGGGAAGCGATGAAACCCTAGTTTCTGGAACTCCTTCTAGCAAGCACTCTTCTGAAGTCGGACGTACTCGTCTGCTCTGTATCGCCTTTTGCCCCTCAAATATGTCAGACTTATTCTCCTAATAAATGTTTGTAAGTTGTAACATAATATGGGAATATATTAACCGGGTGTGCTTCGGACCGGCCGGATCGACTAGAAAATTTGAAAATCGGGGCCAATAAGGCGAAACCCGGTTCAAACTAAAACCGGTGAAGACCCCGGTTTTTTGTTAAATGGTGAGTTCATGAGTTGTATGGTTTCCACAACCACAACAGAGAGATTATTGTAGCTAGGTTTCAGTCTACTGTTCCATCCGCTTTAGCTGAAATTTCTTCGACCGTCATCAAATTCAGGTGCTGATAAAAAGCTTGCGGTGGTTGCTTGGTCCGCCGTAACTCTGGTACTAGCTGTTTCGAACCGCGTGCTTTAGAAACTTGCTCTTATCCCCATGAACCACCCCTTCTTTCTGGCTCAACTCAACAGTTTTGTGTATGTTCTGCACTTATTTTTTATTTATTTATTTTTTTGATTAATTACTAGTTCTATGGATGAATAAACTAGGTTTCATGATAGACATGTATGTGGCGGTTTTATTTTCTGTGCTGCGTGTGAGATACCGTGCTGGAATAACGACCGATGAGATGTTAAACCTTCCCAAATCACCGTTTATTGCGATTGCTTTTCTTGAATCCATTTCGATTGTTTCTGCGATGTATGCTGGAGGTACCGACATAAACATTATTCATTTTTTTCACTCTCAAACTTATTAGCTTATACACTTTTAAGTTTTTTCATATGTTTGTATCTTTATATGACATTCATTATATCACTGAATTTGAGACAAATGACCGAATCAAGGGCCAATTTCTGGAAAAAAAAAATTAAAATACTGTAAGATAGATCAGCTTTGACTTTTTGTATAACATCCGTTTGTGTTGACTGATGAAGGCGTGTTTTTTTGCAGCGGTGCTCCCAGGACCAGCTATACCCTTATTATACCAGGTACAGCTGTTTTACAGTGTTTGTGCTTCATAAACGATCAAACACTGTAATCATATACTTAATGTTTTGGTTGTTTGATACTTATAAGAAGGTAATTACTACTTGTGCAGACATTCCTGGTTTGGCAGCTGGTCTTTTCCAGCATCTTATTGAAGAGAAGGTACTCTCTCAACCAAATTCTAGGATGCTTTCTCGTGGCAGCAGGTGTCGTGGTGGCAGTTACGAGGTAGTGATTTTTCTCCTTTACCACAGTTAGAATAAGGAGTTTTTTAGTTTTGTATATTTACGAGTGTATTGCACTTTTTTGTGCGTGTTATGCGTAAGTATGGTTTTTGATTTGGGTTAATGCACAATTCCTTGAAAGGTTGAGTTTGGTTATCCAGGTTGACTGAATATCAATGTTCAATTATTATATGTTTTCTACCACATATATATGGTGTGTGTGTGTGTGTGTGTGTGTGTGTGTGTGTGTGTTTGTATCTAACACATCTGTTCAACCATGTCCGAATTCTGGCTGATAGTGGAGCAAACAGTGGTGGAATGTTCTCTGGAGTTGGAGTTATGTGGCCAATGCTCATGATAGCTTCAAGTGCTTTCCAAGCGGGTGCATCTATAGTTAAGGTGATGCAACGAGTCATTGCCAATATTGTTAATCTATTATAAATTAGCAATGACAATAATCTAAAGTTGTGGACATGTGTAGGAGTCTGTATTCGTTGATGCTGCAACCTGTCTTAAGGTACATCCATATTAGTATTTGTACTTGTCTTGTTCTTTCTGTTTTCTCTACTCTGTAACTTTTCTTACTCGTGACATTGTCCTAAAGCAAGTTTTAAGAGTATTAAGTTGATACTCTAATTAATCCATCCATGTTCCACAGGGGAAATCATTGGACATCTTCGTCGTCACCTCTTTTGGATCCGGGTTTCAGGTAATGACATTTAGATTGCTAAAATTTCTTTTACTTGTCCATTGTTGCCATTGTTGTGTTAATATATAAGTAAAGATAAATGTTTCAATTTCTTCAGCCCTAACTAAGTTTTTCGTATTTTTTCTAAGCACACAAATTTTTGAAGTCAATATTATCAGTTTTCTGTAGTCTTTTGTTTTGATGGATTGAAAGTTGTTTGATATTGAACTTTATATACTGAAATACCTGATTTAAGTGTCCCTTACAGATCGAATGCCCCAGTAAACGTTTCTTAATTTGTCAATGAAACCAAAAAGGATTTACAGAATATCGCATTCGAAGTTTTATCTAGAACAAGCCACATCAACTCTTGGCTCCTTTAACAACAAATTTATCGTCATCTCTGTTCTCTCTTAAAGAAAAAAATTGTACATGTGAATCAGAAAAAGAAAAGGACTATTTTAGGAGTTGTTGCGCGTAATTTTTGGTTATTACAAAGTGTGCGGATAATAGCTTCAAGAAATTTCAAGAGTTAACTCTTGAAAAAATTATTACACGGTAAAACTTGTGAATAAACATTGTTTTTCTTTTTTCCCCTATATTCCTTTTCCGGCTGATTATGGCAAACTTGAAAGGGATGCTTTTACCTGACCTGCCTTCGTACTTTACAAGGGGTGTTACATGCTTCTATAACAACAGGTAAGTTTATCTCCACCTAAGATAAAAAAATAGATGTTAAGTGCATTTGATTTTTCTCTTTCTCGTTTCCTCATTTTCTCCATTTATAGATAAACAATTGTTATCCTTTTGATGCCTTCACCTAAGATCTGGGAGCAATATCATATGCATAAACATGTACATTCGGGAACTATATGATTTGCATACACTCTTCAGAAGTTCAAAGTCTATAAATTGATCTACATTGTATCAAAATGGTAAATTGCAACCAAGTAGAAAAATTAATGCATATTGTGGCTCTAATGACACTAATGATCGCTGCTATTAGGGAAGTATATAAATCTCTTCTTTCTCTTAGGATGTGATGGAGCACCTCTGCTTCCTCTCCTTTAGTAGTTTCCAAAATCCTTTTTCGACATCTCTGTTCTCAATCTTCTTAAAGTTTCCAATGCCATTGTCCACACCCCCCGCCTCTCTCTCTCTCTCTCTCTCTCTCTCTCTCTCTCTGTGTCTCTCTCTCTCTCACACACACACACACACACACACACACACACACACACACACACACACACACACCCACACGCACACACACACACACACGCACAGAGGAATTAGAAAAGGTGTCTTTGATGATGCATAGTGATTGATAACAGCCATTTTTTCTGTTTTGTAGTGCCAATTTCAATTTATGTTCTTTCACTTCTATTGCCATATCCACCAAAAGGTGTAAGCTTGAGCCCATTTTTCGTTTGGGATCTGTGATTTTTGTTGTCGGGCTCATCCTGTACAACACACCATTGCCTTGGAAGTATGAGTCTGCTATTTTGTAAGTCATTAATATTACATATCAAATTCAATTTTTCTTTTTATTTCCCCTTAAAGTTTAATTATAACTTGGTCCATTTGGCCAAGTTATAATTAAATTAAATGATATGTGAAGATGAATGGCTCCTGTGAACAATAACTACATATATTACATACACTTTTTATATATTTCACTCGATTTGACTATCATTACCCATTCAAAATTTGGATGAGATTGCTACATATATTAGAGAAGCAGCATTCTACTATATCCAAAAAAAAAAGCAATAAATCTAAAAAGACCCGAATGGGTGTTAAAGTATTATGATGAGTGTTTAGCAACAAGTGTCGTGTCTTGATATTTTCATGTCCAAAAGTTTCACATTTCTCACATGGCAGAGTCAGAAGGAAGGAACCCAATATAATACATTATTGGTAGTTGAACACCTGTACTTATTAATGCCGCCATTTCCCCATCGTCTTTCCTCGTCTTCTTCCATGGACCTCCTCCTCGGATCAGCTGCAGCCGCAGTTTCTTCCGGCCGTTTGATCGTCAACTCCGCCACCAACACCTCAACTTCTACTCTTCTCTTTCAACTTCACCCCAATTTTAATCTTAAAACCCCTCCTCTGAAACTCTCCATTTTCTCTCACCCCTCTTCACCTAACCACTTCAATAAGATTTACTATTACAATACTCCGTATAGACACCGCTGAACGAACTTCTCCGCCACCGCAGCAGCAGCGGTCGTTCAAGACCGATGCCAATAAAAGGAAGTTGGCCCTTGTCATGTGCTCTGCAGTTACTGTGGCTCTAGCTATTGCGAATCGCGTGCTTTACAAACTCGCCCTTGTCCCATTGAAGGAATTTCCCTTCTTTCGCGTATTTTCACTTTTTAATTTTCACTTTTGTAAATTATTGAGCAAAATTGGGCCAAACTAAGAATTAAGAATGATTTAAAAGTTATTTTTCTAGGGTAATAGCTTAGTGATTAACAAGTGCCCTCAACCAATGTATTGCAGAATCTCATTTTCCTGGATTTATTTTTCAGTATTGCAATTAGCATAGTTTATATGAGATGGTGAAAATGTAGCCGGTTATCTTTAAATGCTAGACTAACTATGTCATTGGATGAAAAATAATTTAAGGTAGAAGATGAAAAATAATCATTGCATGATTTTCTGCTATGATAGTCTCCACTGTAACTTAATTTATGTCAATTACAGGTATTAATAATAAAAAAAATCGTTTCGATGTACATTGAGATTGATTGTTGTTTATGATCAACTGGTATGTTGCTATATACTTCTCTGTCCTTTTTATAAGATACGGAGTTGGTGTCGCAACTGATGAAATACTGTCGTTTCCAAAATCACCCTTTATAATAATTGGTTTGCTAGAAGCTCTTGGAGTAATTTCCGGGATGTATTCTGGAGGTATGAGAAACTATTATGTTTTTCTTTATTCATAATACAACCACCCTGAACATAACTGCAAAGCCTAATTAAGCTAATACAGGTAAGTTAAGAACTGCTAATCTCTCATGAATGCTAAGATAGTTTACTCAATGTTGTTTATGTTTTACAGCCATGCTTCCTGGACCAGCTATACCTATACTAAATCAGGTAATGCCATTTTGATTTGCGTGAAACTTCGTTGTGAGTTATACCAGATTAAATCCAATCTGAACATAAGTTTATTATTTAAGAAGCTTTCTAAGATGCATTAACTTAATTACCGGATTTATAGATATCTATTTTTTTTTATGCTTTTGGACTGGAAAAATGCCTCTTTTATGTCGTGTGCAGGAATTTCCAGGTTATCTGAATTGAAGGATGGGGTTTAATTGCCATAAAAAAACATATTTAATTCGACAGCAGAGAAAAAAACATTAGTTTTCTATTTGGTCCTTTTTATTATTGTCTTTATCCGATACTCTTGATTTATACAAAGCCAGACCTAATAATTTATCTCCGGGTCCTATTAAATGCAGACATTTTTGCTAAGGCAACTAGCCTTTTCTATGCTGATACTGGGAAGGACTTACTCTTTGGACCGATTTGCTGGATCATTTCTTGTTGCTGCCGGAGTCGTATTGGCAGTTACAGGGTCAACTCCTCTACGTATAAGCATTAATAATTAGTAAAATATTTAAAAAAAAAATGAGCTTGTATTTCGTGTAATGTAGTTTCTCACACTGTATAATACTTGTTTTTCTTGAATTGCAGTGGATCAGAACACGATCAATTACTGTCGGGTGTTGAATTTGTGTGGCCTGCAATGATGATAGCCTCGAGTGCATTTCAAGCAGTTGCTTCTATTCTTAAGGTAATTAAATTAATCCATGATTAATTATTGTAAGATGGCTAAAGGATTACTAATTATCTGAAATATGTACACGTGCAGGAATCTGTTTTCCTTGATGCTGCAACTCGCCTCAAGGTGCCAAAAATGCAACGCCCTCGTCTTTTTCTTTTTTTTTGCTCGAGATTTATGATATGTTCTTGAAATTTCTAGAATACTATATAAAAAAATATCACTAAATGTTTTGGCTGATTAATGTAGGGAAAGCTGATGGACATATTTGTTGTCAATTCCTTTGGATCTGGATTTCAGGTAATGATCATTTATCTCACAGCGATTTCATTTGAATAGTTGCGCTCGTGTATTAATGTATTTGCATGTTTGGGTATACATACAAACACATATTTACATGTATGTGTATGTTTATGTGTATGTGTGTGTGCATTTTATGAGGATGTAAGTTCCTTTGGTTACAATATGCCTCCAAATTGATATATATATATATATATGGGGTCATTTGATATACACCCCTAATATGGAAAATATATAGGGATAAGTCCACCCCTAAAATTCTTCCTTTGAGATACCCCTAGAGAGACAAAAATACTATGGTGCCCTTATGTGCAATTTTCGCCCAACTGCATTCAGTAATTTTGCCAGCTGCATTCAGCATTCTGGCCAACTGCATTAGCATTTTCGACCTGCATTTTTATAGATTTTTTTAATAACAAAATATAACTGTTTATTTTATTATTATTTTTATACGTACCTTTTTTTGTATTTTTTAATTGTTTTTTTTTATTTTTTTTTTAATTTTTTTTTTAATTTTTTTAATTTTTAATTTAGTTCATTCCTGGCTCCGAATCAATGTCTCATTTTATTTTTCTTCGTAAGATTTTTTTTTTTTTTTTTAATTTACTGTACTGAAATTGACTACACATGACTATATGTAGCCATGTACTGTTTTTTTACCCCAAAGTTATGGTCGATCGATTATAAACCGTTGATTATATATTAAAAAAAATCATCTATACCAATAAATAAATTTAAAATTTGATTCTTGATATTATAAATAATTTAATGCCCAATAAAAAAAATGAAAAAAACACAATCATCAAGATCACTATAATCGGAAAAACCACATTGTTTGTATATAAATATATATAACTACATGGAACTATACATGACTATAGTTATCTATACTACTAAATTTGACTCAAATCCCAATTGTCAACACGAGAACCGCTTGTTTTGATCAACGAACACAACCCACTCCGAAAAAACTTACTACATAGTAGTTCAAACACCAAGATCTGTGAAAAAGAAAAAAAAAGTTAAACAAACAACGAATTTTACGGGTATACATAGATACTCCCCACATAACTCATACATAACTACATATGACTACATGACTACATAGTTTACATATAAACTATATATTACTACATGTGACTACACCATATATTACTGTATGTTATTACACGTGACTATATATTACTATATGTGACTACACCATATATTACTGTATGTTACTACACGTGAATATATATGACTACATGTATATGGTTATATACATGTATGTGATTTTGTTTGTCCATTCAAGTACCTGACTTTGTTCTCCAGGCGTTACAAGACAGCTTATATTATCAAAATCAAATTACAAACAGAGTATGGTAGTCATTATTCTTCGTATAACCAAAGATCAAAGATCAAAGCAAGTTGACGTGGAACACCATAGATAAAATAATAGTTGAAACACACGTAAAGTAGTCACCTAATTCATTCTCGATAAATAATATCAATATCATATTACCAACAAAATATTCTCATCACGAACCTACATATACTCCCAAGTATAAATGAAAGTAAACAAATCATTTGAGGACCAATAAACATCGATTCAACATATTAAGAAGCACATTAAAATTCATTACCTTTTCTAGTTCACCTCTTGATCAATATTCCGGCCCAATCTTCAGCTTTCACGCAACGTTTACTGCATGCATTCATGAGATTAGGGATTATTGCAAGTGATTCATGATGCTTGGGAGGGCACTGTGTAAAGGTGAGATCTAGAACACCAAGTGGTATGAAATTCTTGGGGTCTCTGGATGATATGAAGAATGTTTCTATTAAGTCTCACATCTTTTCTTAGAACTATATTTGATATTTTTAATTCATTTGTATGAAATAATTTTCAAATTATCAGTATTCCTATAATTTCTAAATTTATTTTAGTTCAAGTGAACCTGCATCAAAAAGAATGTAAAAGTTGTATTTGAAATTTATATTTCAAAGAAAGATTCGATCAGCGTTTAATTCTTTTCTGATATATATATATAGTTTTTTTCAAAGGGTTCCTTTTATTTACGTTGTTTTTTTCTTCCTTAAGATTGTTCACTAATTAGTTTAGCTGCATATTTTAATTATTTGTAATTATCCGGGGCTTGAACATACAAAAGCAGTTGGAGTTTGTTTTCATCTGCGTGTTAAGTTGGAAAAAAATGTTTGCTATTTTCTTTGAGGCTAAGAACGTTCCTTCCAACATCAATTACTCGAAAAACATTGAATTATTTCCCCTTGATTTCTCGAGAGCGTTCCTTTTATTTATTTATGTTTCTATTTTATTTCTCAAAAGCGTAAATTTGCTGTGATGACTACAGGTTTTCCCATTTCTCATTTTCCAAAGCTTGACGATAGAATAGCTATATGAGGACAACCATTTTTTTCCGGATTTGTGGAATATCGATTATATTGTCCATGTTGTGCCTCTTCAATATGTTTAATTTTGTTGTTGATGCCATTGGTGTTTTGGTGCCAAATTTGTCCCTGATGTTGTATTGTTTGATGTGAACAATATATATACATATCTTATTTGAGTCTTTTTTTTTTTTGACCGGGTATTTGTGGATTTTCTTCTTACGGATGCAGGATGAAGCTATTTGAAACATAATCTAAGCTGGGACCGGGAGAAATGTGTTCGCTGATTTTGACATTTGTTCGAGTTAAAAGAATTCCAGCTCTAATTCGTTAAAAATGTCTGTTGTTCAGAAAGTTTTTCACATGAAAACAAAAATATTTTTCAAGTTAATACAACGCATTTCTCCGAGTCTATTACGTTTCATTTTTTATCATATTTTTTCTATTCTATAATTGTGTATTTGTGATTATCCCTGTAAATTTCTTACGATCAATATATATGCCTTATTTTGTAGCCAAGCATATTTGAACTTGGTTGAGGTTAAAATATTATGAACAATAGCTATTTTTTACGGATTACCATGTTATGAAAAAAAAAGGGCATAGAAAAGCTTTTTTTTTTTTACCATAATTAAAACTAAAATGCATTTTTGATGTGGTCATTTTTATAAAATTTGTATTCTACATAATAAATCTATTATTACTTTTGAGGAAAAAAAGAAATTGCTTTCATCAACAGATAAAGACAATATATTGGGCGAGTGAAAAACAAGTCTTATTAACAAAAGAAGGGTTTCTAAGAAATCCTAATAAATCCTAAGAGGCATGTTTTCCCTCCTATTTAAGATTAAATTTGTCACTACATTTAATATAATTTATTATTATAAATATTTTATTCAATACTTATTTTTTTTAATTTAATTTAATATTACGAATTAGGAGGAAAACATTTTCCACCATTATACGTATCCCATTAGATTAGCATATTGATATTTGAAAAAACTCTACCTGCAGTTGCCCCATTTTCCAAAGAAAACAAAATCTTTAATCCCAAAATAAATTGTTTACTTCTTTTAAAATACTTACTTCATTATTTAACCATTTCCCTGAACAAAAATAAAATAAAATTAAGAGGTAATATAAATTATTACTTAATAGTTTTTTACTTTTTTATAATTAATTTACATTTGTTTACTTATAAACTGTACTTTAAATAATTTTTAAATAGTTTTTATAATTAATTTACATTTGTTCACTGCATGATATATATAGTTGTTATATATTATTATATTTGAATTTTTGTGTTGATTTTGGATTTTTTACATGTGTACAGATCCTCCTCACCCTTACGTTCAATGTTAAAACAACTTATTGAAGATGACTAGATCTTATCAAAGGAGAGCCATTGAAAATACTTTCGGCAAAATCTACAACTGTGCATGTGTAACTCAAATAAATACATAGCTTCAATGTATAAAAGTATACATTAATAATAAAGTAAGAGAAATTAATTTTTTAAATATTTTTGCCTTTCTACGCGTATTTCGGTATTTATATTTTGTTCATGTTCAGTTGTTCGTTTGCATGTCATGTGGTAAATTAGCAACTCCTCACAATTATACTTTATATGAGAATACTTGGGAGATAATTAAGTAGAAACGAGAATTTTGGAGATTCACTCACAATTCCGCCTCAATTATATGAAGTTCTAATGGCAAGGGTTAACTCTAAGCAAGAGGATAATCAAATCAATTCTCAAAGAGTTTAGGATCAAAGATGCATGGTAATTGAAGAAATGTGGACAATTCTTCTCTTTTACTTTCGACAAACTTTTAATCATCTGTTAAATCTAAATGAATCAGAGTTTTGTGAATTGTGTAAAGTCTCTCTTTCTAACTATTTATTTCGTTCATTTGATAACTTAACTAATATTAAAGTTTATTGTTTGGAAGGAAATATATAAATATTTATTACTGCATTGTAAATATTTATGTTAGATATATTTCATTCATTATAAAATTTAGTATGATAAATATCATAGTTTTAGGAAGCCAAATGTTTGCAATATATTTTGTTCAATTAATTTTGAAAATATACATTTTTCGTAAGATTAAAGTGAATAGAGAAGAAAATAAATATATTAAAATAAGATGAAAATATATAAGTTTAAAACCATAGATTGTATTGTTAGTTTAAATTTTCAAGAATTGGTAAATATTATTAATAGATATCAAGTCGTAAATCTTCCCCCTAATGCAGTCTCAATATACTATTTTTCGATCTTTGAGATAACGCATCTGGTAAAATATATCGGATAATTATTAATTATTGATGTGGTGAAATAACTTCCCACTAAGCACACATAGACATGGGTGTGTGTCACACATAGACATAGGTGTGTATATTATATTCAAATCAATGGTTAATAATCACTCGTGTATTTCACCGGGTTAGCATCAAACAAACCCTATTTTCCTATCTCTTCATATCAATCAAGTATGAATACATTTTAACATCCAACTGTTATTTCGGAATAAATCTTCGCCATATAGAGCATCAATAACTTAACTCAATTTTATATGAAATCGATCCATCTCCCCAAGAAAGGCATGTTGTTTCCATATCAAGAGTTTCATAATCCAATTCATTAATTATATGACTATCCACTAAACATTAGGTGATGTTGAATTCAACTTGCTTAACAATATGTATATATCGCAGATCAGTTATTATTCGAAATACGATGTTTACAGAGAAGTTTTGAATTTCTTTCGAAAATATATGAACTCCGGAATATATTAAATTTTATTATGAATTAATTTTAATCTATTAATTTTCTTATAAATCATAAGAAAATAAAACAAACTAAATAAAATTACAAACTATTATAATCAGATATAAAGAAGTCAGCTTGAAAGTCTAAACACAATAAGGTTTATTCGGAATAACATGTAAACAAAAACCTTTCGGATGAACTTGGAATTCGGAACTGGATGATTTCATTGACATGAAGCGGAAGTCAATAATTTATAAATCATGCAAAAGAGACAGATTGAAAACACAAATACTTCGATAGAATACCCCATTCCATTATCGAGAAGCCTCCACATAGAACATAATATATATCAACAAGAGAAACATACCAGCAGAAGATATAAATACTTGTTGAAACATCTTCACAGAACATGTTTGTCAATTTTGCTCCGCAGTTTTTTGATGTTAGCACTTACATACCTATCCACTTCCTCCCCTTGTTTCAGAATCACACAAGTGGGCATAGCATCAATTGCGTATTTATCAGCAACAGCCTGCATACACAACATATTGATATTTTTTACCAAATCAAATTTCCAATTCAAGAAAACCGATCGGAATTGTTAAAGAAAGCAAGGTTAAAAAAGAGGCATAACTTCAGCTCAGAAGCATCGATCTTCATGAATACAACATCGGGTGTCTTCTTTGCACTATTGGCTACTGAGATAGACCATCCTCTGCAGTACCACGGCTTCGTGAAAAACAACACAAACTGATCAAAAGGATTTCGTTACACACGTCGAAATGATAAACCATTAAACACAATTGTAAACGCAAACATGGACTAATAAGCAACTTCAACCACTTCGAAAAAAAAAAACCAAATCAAGAAGAAAAAAGAAAAAAAAAAAGAAGCAAAACCCAAATCAACAATTATATAAAGCAGAATAACATGTCATGATAAGAAAGCAAGTTGTAGTTACCAATCGTTTCGAGCGGAGCATCTGCTTGAAGAAACGGTTCCACTCCTCCATGGAGTCAACGCTAATCACTTTTCCAGGTCCTAATTAGAGCAAGGGAAAATTTACAAAATTTGACACAACAAATTTCAACAATTTATTTATGAATCTAAATTAATTCCTCCTAACTGACTTTTCAATTTGGTACTACACATGAACTAAAAAGTGTAGGAAGCAATAGAATTAATATTGAACCGTAAAAAAAATAAAAAACTAAAGAAAATTATCATACCAGCGGTTAAGCGAATCAACCGCTTACTGAGTTTGAACTCAGATAGCGGTTGCGAATTCGCCGGATGTCTCTCATCACAGGTCATATCAACAAACTCAGTGAGACCCGCTGTGTGAGAGATATCAGGATCCGAGTTGTTCTCATTAATAACTTCGCACGATTCCTGAAATATCTTGTATCTGCGCTCTTTTTCTTCCTCTGAAGAATATTTCTTTTCAAATTTTTTACACCACTCATCAAAAAGAGCGGGAGTGCATTCATACAGAGGGCGAGGGGGTTTGGTCGGAATCGTGCAAAAAGGAAGGCTTTTAATAGTGATTCTGTGATTGAAGCCCACAGTCGTCGTCGTCGTCGGCGGCGGCGGCGGCGTCGAATTCATCAGCGTTTTCAGGAGCCGATTGCAAAGAGCGATCTTGCTAGAAGCCTTCTCTCCAAACAAAAATTACATTAAAACAATCAGTAATTGGTATACACATGTAAATATGAATAAAATTGGACAAATTAAGACCTTGGACGAGGAAAAGAAGAAGCTAGCCATGGCGTCCTGGGAACCTACAACGTTAGAAGAGAGATGTTTCCAGAATCTGGCAGGCGGCGGCGCAACTCACTAGTTCTGCTTATAAATTGGGGATCCTCGACGATTTATCTTTTTTAGGGTTTAGCACTTGACCCTTCAACTATTCTTTTATATCCAAAATACCCCTAGAGAACTAACATATCAGTCATCGTACCCTCCTAGATTAACTATAGTGGCAAATAAGCTGATGAGCTTATATTTTTTTTTTGATAATTAGCTGATGAGCTTATATTAGGCACATACAATAATATAGGTTTTATAGCTTTTTGTTATATTCAATGGATTACTAGATCTTGTCATAAGTTTGAATATTCATACCTTGTTTGAATATTCATATCTTGTGTGCTTATGAGATCACTGAATAATGTAATATATGGGGTGGTTCCCGTCCTTTTCTCTACTTATGACCTTAGTATATTTTTTATTTTTATTTTTTTGAGGAAATTGTCCATTACAAGGGGAAGTAGGGGAGGGGGGGACTCGAACCCTAGACCGTTACCCTATTGGTAAAGGCTAGGTACCAACTCTCCTAATGAGGGTTGGTTTATGACCTAGTATATATATACTACTACAATATGGGCCTTTTGGGTTTGTTTACATTTCCTAGGTACAAAAAGCCGTCATCCTGTCTATTCTGCCACGTGGCGGATTCTTACTGGTCCTTTTCACTGATCTTCGGTCAGTTCAAGCCTGCCACCCATCTTTTACTTCCCAGTATTGTCCCCTGCACGACTTTCGAGATTCCGACGTAACGCTCACTCCGTCAGGCGTGGAATTACCTCGACAATCTATCTCGCAGGTTTTATACTTCGTTAATTACCCTTTGTGGTCTATTATGGTTTTACGATATTGGGCTTCCTTCAACCTTACTTGGGGCCCCCCTCTGGGCCCAAGTCGGCCCTGACCCTCTAGGTTCCATTTAATTGGTGAATTACTAGTTTAATCGAAATCCGGTTGGAGCAGAGGTAGTCTATTTCTACAGATACACGGGCCAGCTGCTGGGGAAACTTTAGACCAGAGGCGAAGATTACAAATGGCTTTGGATGTGGTTTGTTTTCCATTTATCAAATATCATTTCTTCTAATTGTTTTTTTTTTCTGTTTATTAAAATTTATTTAAATTTATCTACTTAAATAGAGTCTTGGTTGATGGCAGCGTTGAAATTCAATTTTACTATTTTAGAATTGGCAGTTAGTCAAATTGGGGCCTCTTTTTTAAAATATAATTAAATATATCTACTTAAATAGGGCCTTGGTTGATGGCAGCGTTGGAATTTGATTTTACTATTTCAGCCATAAAATTGGCAGTTGGTCAAATTGGGGCATTTTTTAAAAATATATTTAAATTTATCTACCTAAATAGGGTCTTGGTTGATGGCAGCATTGGAATTCGATTTTACTATTTCATCCATCAAATTTGGTCCATTTGGGGCCTCGTTTAGGGCCCCACTGGAGTTGCCCTTATTGGTTGATAAAAATTGGACTGGGGGCAACTAAAACAACAATTTTTTCTCACTTCAATACCTCCAACTTTAAAACCATTTTTTATAGAAGTTTTTACAACTTTTTCTTAGTTTAAAACCATAAATAAATAAAAAATGCTAGCAAAGTACAAAAATGCCCTTCATCAACCATAATACAATTTATACAAACAATTTTTTTATTCCTCACTTCAATACTAAGGAAAAAAAGAAAAACAAATCCTCTCTTCTTCTCCCCAAACTCAAATCCCTTAAACCCTATCTTCTTCATCTTCTTAAATCCTCCAAAACATCTCCAAATTAAAAAAATCAAAACCTCACAAAACTTATAAAATGGAGTTATAAGACAATAATATGGTAGTATATATGGAAAGAGAACCCATTAAGGTAAGTATCGATGTCTTTTTTGAGCTTCGGAGTTGATTTTGAAGTTTGGTGGTTTGGAGCCCGTCGGCAATTTTCGACACATACAGGTCGATTTTTGGGTGGATTTGCGACGCCGACGTGTGGAAAAAAAAAAAAAAAAAAAAAAAATTTCGACAC